CATTGAAAGATGTTTATTACAAACAAATTAATTGTTAGGTTTGTTTAAAATAGGTCATTGTGGATTATGAACCACATTTAATACATTAAACATATGAAAGGAAGTTTAAAAACTGAATATTTTAAAATTAATTTTAAACAGTAACAGTAAATCCAAAGCAGTGTATTTTTTTTAATTTCAAAGTAAATGTAAGCATAAATCACAACAAAATTACATGAAAACTGCAGACTCGCTTGATTAAGTCTGTACATGAGCAATAATGAAAAGTGCAACATCCCTCACGCCCCCTAGCACCGACTTAAGCTGTACACTTAAAAGTACTGGAATCAATGATTACAGAGGACCAGAAAAAACATAACACTGACGTGAAGTATGTAACAACTTATTACCCATGTTTTTTTACTGTTGTCATTTTCTAATGGTACAGTTTATTTATGTATTTGTTATAAAAAGGGGCATTTGGAGATCTATATATCATAATATCTATGTCTCAATAATATCCAACCATCACAGGGACATAGTTTTTGAGATTTTGGATAAAACCATTAGGAATCTTGAACTTTTCTGAACATTTGGTTGGATGTAGTCGAGATTTTGGATGAACCTGCTAAGAATCCTAAATTTTTCTTGTCAAACATATCCCAGTGAGATCCTTTTATAATATCTCTCATGAACAGACTTCAATTTTTATATATAATTTTGTTTTCATTGCTTCTTCTTTTCAAAATGTTGATATATTGAATTCAAATTGTCTTATTTCCTGCCACCAAACTTTAAACATTATACGCCATATCACTATCATGGTTTAATAGATTTGATTTTATATAAAAATTCAGATTAATTTCTGTGACATAATGTGGTTTGGGTCTTTGAAAATTGAGATTTTCTGTTAATTAAAGTGTTTTACATGCACGACATAGAGTATTAACTGAGTCATTCTAATTTTTGATAATAGACCCCATTCTATATGTATGAATGTATGGGTGTTGTAGATGCACCACATTAGACTTAACATACTAGCAATTATGGTTTTGACCAATATATTATTGAAACAGATTACATGCCTTTAATGTCTGCCATGTTTTTATAGAAATTAAAATAGAAAAGATAAATCAATGTTAGCAACTGTTTCTTTCCAGGGCTATAAACAGTGAAATTGCAGTTACATTTTTATAATACAGTTGTCCTTATATAATGCAATAAGAATTTAAATCTTTTAAGCAAGTTTTATCTTTATTTTTATAATAAATAATTGAGTAAACAATTGAAAAAAAAAATTACTTAGAGCTGTCATCAATAGAAATGATATTGATGTATCGTTGATAATTTTTTGTTGATCAGTACACATTTAAGAAAACTGATAATTTTGATTTAATAATTGAATGTCTAGAAATTATGAAAATTCAACCAAAACATAATTATGCAGAAGCATATTTCATGGCAGTGATGACAAAAAATTGTTAGCAAAAATCATGCAATGGGCATTTGTTTGAAACAGGACATATTTATGAAAAGACCATGTTTTTACTGAAAACATTTAAACAATTATGGAAAAGAATTAAGAGACAAGTAGTACGTAATTATCAATATATCTGTGTATCATCAAAAAAAATTTTCATCTTAAATTTGTTTTCCACCAAATCAATGACAGCTCTTATATTACTTGAATCATTTAAAAATATCAACAAAATTTGAATACTGAAATATTCCTGTCTATATTGTTTGTTGTTAAATTAAAATAAAACATTTTCTTTAAATGTTAGTTTCCTAAAGTAGATTTATATATAAAATTTGTATTTTAGAAATAATTTTGCTATTTTATAATGCAGTAGTGAAATATTTTAATGCAGTTACAATACTTTTTGCATCAAATTATTTTCAACTTATCGGTATAAACATTGGCGCAAAAACTCATGTAAGTGTACTTACTGTAGTTTTTGCACCAACAAATTCTGAAGCTGCACTTACATTTTTTATTTTTATGCCAAAAAAGTCATTTTTTATCAAAATTCAGCTTCTAAACTTCAGAGACTGGTGAAAGTTTGTATTTCTAACCAAATAATGACAAAAAGTGATTTTCTCAAAAAATGTCAGTTACATTACTTTTTGCTCCAAGGTGACGGTATATGCTTTTCATGCGAAATGAATCTTTATTTTTTTCATTTCTGTAGTCACTTGAACAAAATGTGGCTAATTGGCAATTGCCCTACAATTTACCATTAATTTGAAGCATGACTGTACTTCTAAGCAAAGGTGATGGTAATTTAATATGCTAATAAATATAAAACGATAATTATACAATGCATTTATCAGGCAAAGTAAAATAATGTAAGTGTAGGTTTTTGTGTTGTTCCTTAACATTACTAAATTCTTTGTTGCTAATAAATAGAAGCACTGAAATGGATTATACAAATATTTTTCACTTTTGACTTTTTTTCATAATAAAAAAAGGAACAATAAATCAAGATCTACATTGTATCACCCCTATTTCTAGTGTGGGGGCCCAGGGCCAAAACAAACATTTTAGTGGGCCTTATTGTAGATAATTAAACTGTTCATTGCAGCCTTCAACCTACACTGAATAAGTTATTGAATATTTAATGTCAATAAAAAAAAACTTTGACAGAGTAATTGAATATTTATTTCAATAATTAAATCAGAATGACCTTTTCACATCAACTTAACACTGCAAGCATTGTAAAGTGTTTGTCCTCAATTTAATTTTGATTGACAGGTAAGTTTTTGCCTTAAAACTGAAAATAAATCTACATACTTTATAATATTAATATCAAGATTTAATGCTGCACATCTTCTGATGAGAAAGTACATTGTACATAGTATATAGCTTTAAAGATTAAAAAAATGCAATAAGTTAAGAGTTTAAGAAGTGTTTTAAGAAGTATTTACAATCACTCTATTGCTCTGCATTTTAAACATAAAAGATTCCTTCCCCTAACAGAATGCAACTCTTTAAAATAATGCAGGAATTAACATTCTTCTCACTTTAAATCAATTAAATGCCATAGCCATGTCATTTCAATATCAATTTTCGAGCAATTTAAGTAAATGCATAAAGATGTTAAACATTTTCATTTTTGTTTCAAATTTGAACACATGGGTTCCGGTATTTTTCTTTAATTGAATAATTCTGTATCATGCATTATTACGTCAATCAGTAACTGAAAAAAAACACACACAATAAGCTGTTCACACCCTTTATAATGTGGGAATTTAACAATAGCTATATTATTGTGTCACATATTTTGTATGTTCTTTTACATTCAAAGGTATTTAGCACTTGAATATTTATCTTTTAGGCCTTTAATCTTCTTAACAAAAATTAGGACAATAATTTTTTATCAACTGTTAAAGTATACATTTCTAACTGATTAAAGGTATTACTATGTTATCTTATGTTGTTTGTTTTCTTGTTGGCTTAAATTCAATTGGGCTACAGTATTCCTCTAAACATGTATATATATAATACATACGTATATATGATTGTATATCTACATTATATATACAAACATCTTATAAAGGAGAATTATATACACTATGCTCTTGTGCATTTATTTGTATATAAGCTGTCCATTTAAGTTACTCAACGGATGACCTTATTTTGCCCTTACTGAAATCAAACCATACATTATCCACATTCTTTTTCATGGACAGTCTGTATTTTGACAAACTATTTAAGTGTATATCCATAAAACTGTAATACAATCTGCATTCATTCACAAAAACCACAACCATAGAAAAAACTTATCAGGAAATGGTTTACCATTAACATTATACTAAACACTTTAGTTCTTTATATTTTTGCTGAATTTTCCTAACTTCGGGCTCACCAAAACCTAACATTTTCCTGTTACAATACATAACTTACTATAAATATAACAAATAAATATGCTGCAAGTTGCCTTCAATTTTTGCAACATTTCACTGACCCCTGTCTTAGTTAAAAGTATACTACAAAATTACCTAAATTGATTGACTGTTCAAAAGGTAGAATGTGTGCTTATATTTGCAAAATGAAAACTTACAAACTACATGTAGCTTTTTAAAATATCTTTCTATTTAAATTTGAACAATTTGTTTTGTTGATGATATACTTGGTATATCAATTGGGGAGAAAAATTATATAACATAATTTCTTACTATCTCATACCAGGCATTTTGACAAATTTATCATTTAATCTTACATGAAATAAATTATATATACAGATATAAAAATGAGTAAATGCTGTGAATATCACATAATTCTGTCATATCAATGCATATTTATCACCATCATCAATTATATTAATGGTACATACCACCCAAAGTATTACTGTTTTGTACTCTTCTGGCTAGTTGCTTTTTACTCATTTATAGTGTTGATCTGATTATTGCTACAGCCATCAATGACAGTCTGAGTCATGAAAACATAACATGTTCAGAAACCTTCTTCATTTATTTTATTTTTTTATTTAAGTATTCTAGTAAGATTGACTGCCATTTTTTCTGGAGTAATATTAATTAATGCATTTCAATATCAAGGATATTTAAGAATATGAAAATACCAGTTTCATACCATCATAGATTGATTTATTCCATATTACTTAACACAACAATGTGTAACATTTCAGTCATAATAAAAAAGAAATACAATTAAAACAAGCTGATATCAGACAATCTAAAAAAAACTTCAAGCACAAGAATATGTTTTTCAAAACTTTGTTTTAAATTCAACAATTTTGAATATTGACTCAGATGTTGTGAAACCTCAATTTAAAATGGGGCTTTTTTTTTATTTATCCTCTCAGTTTTAAAAGTTGTTCTTGTCAAATTGCAAATCAGCAACCAACAAAAAAAAGTTCCATCAAAATGTATCAATAATCAATTAAGGTTGTGCTTATTTTGTATTACTGTAATTATCATTAAAATTGTTTCCAATCAAGGACAGCGTCAAATCTTAGCAATGGCATTAGAAAAATTTATCTCCCTTGCCTTATACTTACTTTAAAAACCTCTGCAAAAAATCCTTCTCCAAGTTTCTCACAAATGAAGTCATCAAGCCTACTTAGACCTGACACTGCATGTTTGAGAGCCTTGCATGACGGTCCAGGAACCCTCTTTTGTGTTAACTGCTCCTCAGCCTCATTCTGCACATCTCCATTATTATTTACAGCATTTTGTGGAGGTGCTACTGGTTCCGGATACCATTCTGTATTCAACGTCCGTGAACGTTTCAATTTCCCTGTTTTTGAATTAAGCATCATTTCTCCATTTACTTTCATCTTAATCCAACGGAATCTATATCTTAATAATAAATATAAGAAATTTCTATATATTTTTCATCACTTCAGAAAACAACGATTCTAATTCAAATTTCTTACAATCTGATTTATATCTAGATGATTCTGCTAACAGCATGAGAAAGGTATCAAACTGTCAAACAAGTAACTGTATTTACATTTCAAACGTATTCATCCAAAGAAAAATATTTATGCACACGTTTTATTACAAATTATGGTGACTGCATTATTAAGCTGTATCAATATTCCATGCTCTTTGCATGACAAACCGTAAGCTACTTTCAATTTACATTTTGAAACGTTTGATTTTGACATTTCTCCAACTTCCTGATGCGCCCTCGCGCTAAGTGTAAACTTCCGGAAATGAATTGTGGGAACGATTGAGGCCCGACCGCTGTGCATTGAACCAATAATTATATTGATAAAAATAATAAATCTTCCGTCTGTTTTATTGAAAACTAGTTCTACAAATGCTGTTAGTAATATTCTGCTCCCAAATGTAGCTTAAATAGCAAAGAAGTACAGTAAAGATAGAATAACAAAATGCTGTAAAAGACAATGTGCGATTGAACACCACTAATTGCTTTCCACCTGCTTAGCACATTGAGTGTATTTTGAATCAAACAAAAAAAAAATGACCATGATCTGGGATACTGTAACAGTAACGTATTCATTCCTGGAAGAAGAGGTTACATACTTACTTTCAAAATGCTTATAGGTAAATTACCATGGGGATTGATGCTCCATTTACCTACTTTGCCAAAATCATCCTCTTATATTCTTTGTTTTGACAAGTAAGTGTGTAATGTATGAAAAAGAGAAAAACACAATCCAAAAGGAATGTCCCAAGGGGCATTGTACAAGTAGAATTTAAGATACATCCATTGGTAGGAAAAGTTTTGTATTTGTAAGAAGTATGTAAAGTATATGAAGTCATTTGTCCAGACAGAACTACATTTGTATATTAAGATATTCAGTAAAAACCATCAATTTAAGACCACCATTTGGATTGGACCAAAGTGGTTTTAATTATGGGTTGTCTCAATTTGTGGTTATTCTTATCTTTGTGAGGAAACAGAAGTCATGTCAGGTCTGAAGTATCATAGAAAACCATAAATCTTAAATATATATGTTGATATGTGCCACTGTTAAAATACTTTGCATGAAGAAATGATTGATTAATAATATCTGTCATATGTTGGGGTCGGACCGGAATATCCGTCCCTCGGTGACCCGCCCATGGGCGGGTTACCGAAGGACGGATATTCGGGTTACCGAAGGACGGATATTCCGATCTGAACCGCAAACATATGTCAGATATTTTTTTTGCATATTCTGAAATATTCCATTATATTTTAAATTCTTTATCTTAAATTTCAACGCAAATTTATATTATTACAACCATAACTATTTTCTTACAACAGCGTATGAAATTGCAACTTCATTCATAACAGTAAAATGATGTCATCCTAAGCATGCCATTGTACAGCACGCAACTCATCTGGCACCCCCATGCCAGATGAATTTTTCCGGCATGGGTAAAACACACGAAAACGCCCGTTTGCTATGCAAGAAAGTATTTGAAAAGATAGAATTTGCTACTGATTTGGAAAAGAAATCTGTAATATGGGAAGTATGTTATGTTAGCTTTTTGTGTCAAAAAAGATGGATTTTTCTTGCATTGAGAAGAGAACGAAGCGGGCTTGAAGAAGAAGGAAATAATTTGGTGGCGTGTAACCACTTCAAATTAATTACAGTTACCTCCCTTAATAATCATCGGTAACAATAATTTTGCTATCTACAAAAATACTTAATATTAACTAACTTACAGGAACTGTCATCAGGTAAATTTTACATGGTTTTATCAAATGTTTAAAGTTTTCTCATCTTCTCACACTCATTAAGCTGAAACTTTCTTTAATTTTTAACTGTGATCATTTCATTCTGATAGCACATTGACCTAATAGAATCTGACTGATAACTTGCAATGTTGACCAAGTATTGCAATCAATCAATGCATCATGACAAAGTGACGCACCATTTAAACCATGCAGGAAATCCAACATTGCATAATTAAATCCTTTGCCAAAAATGGTTATACATGTATTAATTCATATCAAAATCTCCCAGTTTCTGATAAACAAATTTATGACATTTGAAATGTACAGTGGAAATATTTGATTATTCTATAAATCACATACCCAATAAAAAGACTGTTTAAACTGCAAAAGATTCATTTTTCACTGATGGCATATAGTGTAACACTAACATTTATCGCGTCTTTACACTACATGTATGTTTGTATAACGCAAAATTTTAATGACATTGCATTTAAATAATTTAAACTCACAGCCATGCAATACCATTTTTATGGAGTTTCAAAATAGGCATGGGTATTTAATAACATACTATCTGTCTTTTTCCTCCAGAAAAATTTAAAGTCACTAAAATTTTAACTTACTACATAATCGTCCAATTTACTGAAAAACAAAACAAATAGCAACTGTTACAGAGGTTGTTTTAATGAAAAATATTGCAATCTATGAAATATAGGCCCTAATGAATTCATCTTTAATCTTCAGGCATGAGATACTTTATTGGTGTAGATGTTGGCACAGGTTCTGTTAGAGCAGCCCTGTTTAATCAAGATGGTAAACTTGTTGCCACTGCATCTAAAGAGATTCGGATCTGGAACCCGAAACCAGACTACTATCAGCAGTCCTCAGAAGAGATTTGGTTAGCTGTTATATATACAATTAAGGTAATCTTGTGCTTAAAAAGCTTTTAAAGTTACCGGTATAAATATACATGACTGTACATTATAACAAGAATGTGAAAGTTGATTGCAGGCCTCGACACTAACTTTTTTAGCAGGTGGTACGCCGGACCACTAGATTTGAAAGTTAGGTGGTCCTTCCAGAAGTCAGGTGGTCAGTTATCATTATTATATCTTTTTACTGCAAATGTAGAAAAAAATGTTTAAACTTTATGACAAAGATGTATTATTAATCTTTAAAGAAAACAGATATTTTTAGATATATATTTTTCATCTATTAATCAGAAAAGGGAGAGCAAGTCAGTAGGTATTTTATCGCAGAGTTATTTGCTTATTTGGTTTTATCTCAGTCAAAAATACACAACAGAGCTTTTATTTATGTTAACTTTTATATTAAAGTGATTTCTCTCTCAACTCAAGTTAGGGAACAGGCCTCGACACTAACTTTTTTAGCAGGTGGTTAGCCGGACCACGAGATTTGAAATTAAGGTGGTCCTTCCAGGAGTCAGGTGGTCACATATTATTATGCCATTTTACTGCAAAATTAGAAAAAATATGTTTAAAATTGATGACAAAGATGTATCATTAACCTTTTGAAAACAGATATTTTAGATATATATTTTTATCTAATCAGAAATAAAGGAGAGCAAGTTAGTAGGTATTTTATCATAAAGTTATTTGGTTTTTTATATGTCATTCAAAAATACACAACAGGGCTCTTATTTATGTTAACTTTTATATTGGAGTGATTTCTCTCTCAACTCAAGTTAGGGAATAGTGAAACAAATTGTGTCTGTAAATTTCTTATTCAATTTGTTATTCATATATTCATTGCTGATATTTGGTACGACTTTAATTATGATAATTACATGTATCTTTTATAGATTAACATTTTTAATAAAACTAACAAATTATCTTAAAACAAGGAAATAGCTAGAGGATAAAAAAATAATACTAATGTTATATATAACTATAGTTTAGCTTATTTTTCTCACAGATGTATAATACCGAATTTTTATCTCCCTGTTGCTTGTTGGTTGATATTTATTTTTAACATGAGTATTTTTAACCTTTTAAAGTAATTTTAACTCTTGAGGAAATGGATCTCTATCGTTAAACAGTTAAAATAAAGATAATTAGCAAAGAATTACTAGATGTATTTTTCCAGTTCCTTTTGTTTGCTGCCATTATTTAAGTATATGAAATTTTAAGTTTATCTTATATCCCATACAATATCATAATTACCATCGTCGGATGCCCACGGTTAATTAACATGTAATATAACATAAATGTTACTGGTTCCACCGTAGGTATCCGACGATGCATAATTATTAGCATCATTTGAATGAATTTTGTACCTTAATTGATATCACAAAGTCTAAACTCTTTTAACTTGCATAAACCAAATTTTAGCGACTTAAAATGAAAGTTATAGATGACTTAAGAACTTCTTTAACTAATCAGATAATTAATGAACCATATACATGTACATCGGACAAATAATTTTAAAGAAAATGTTTATAACATGTTTTTGACCAAATCACCATTCTCCCAAATGAGTCTGCACCAACCAGAAAATTCAAGTGGTCCGACGGACCAGCGGCTTTTAAAATTAGGTGGTCCTTGCCAAAATCAGGTGGTCTCGGACCAACGGACCACCGCTAATGTCGAGGCCTGGGGAATAGTGAAGCCATTTGTGTCTGTTATTTTCTTACTGTTATTCAAATATTCATTGCTGATATGCGGTACGTCTTATAATCATGATAATAACATAGCATCTTTTACAGATTAACATTTTAATGGAACTAATAAATTATCTTATTTTTGTCTTTGAAAACAAGGAAATATCTAAATTATTTAAATAATGACAACGTTATTATTTACTATAACTTATCTTATTTTTCTCACAGATTTATAATACAGAATTTTACCTCCCTGTTGCTTGTTGGTTGATATTCATTTTTGACATTGGGTATTTTTAACCTTTTAAAATAATTTTAACTCTAGAAGAAACAGATCTCTTATCGTTAAACAGTTAAAATAAAGATAAATAGCATAGAATTACTAGATGTATTTTTTCCAGTTCCGTTCGTTTGCTGCCGTTATTCAAGTATCTGAAATTTAAGTTTATCCGATATCATATAATTACCATCATCGGATACTCACGGTTGATTAACATGTAACATAACATAACATGTTAATGGTTCCGCCGTGGTTTAAACCGTTATCAGACGATGCATAATTACTAGCACCATTTGAATGAATTTTGTACCTAAATTTATATCATAAACTCTTAACTCTTTTAACTTGCATAAACAAATTTAAGCGACTTAAAATGAAAGTTATTGATGACTTAAGAACTTCTTTAACTAATCAGAGATTAATGAACCATATACATGTACATAGGACATAGATTTTAAACAAAATTATATATTAACATGTTTTTGACCAAATCGCCATTCTCCCAAATGAGCATTGCATCAACCAGAAAATTCAAGTGGTCCGACGGACCAGTGGGTTTTAAAATTAGGTGGTCCTTGCCAAAATCAAGTGGTCTCGGACCAACGGACCACCACTAATGTCGAGGCCTGGATTGCATTAAATTTTTGTAAATTTTAACTGTGTATTCATATGAGTATCTGCACATTAATTCATTATGGTTCTTGAAGCCATTGAAATCATTGTACATTTCCATTTTTGTTTTTAGAATCATTTTTCATGTACTAAGACTTTTCACAACTTTTTAATCTGACTTACTTTCTTGCTTCAACATTCAGTGTCTTGTTTAAAGGCATCAGTGAATGGTTTCTTTATTAAAGATCCTTGAATTCAAATTTTTTTTAGCAATCATTATTTCTTATCCCCTTTTTCAATATTTCAAAGACTGTATGTGACACAGGAGGCGTAGGCAAAGAGGATGTGGGCGGGATTGGATTTGATGCCACTTGCTCATTGGTCATCAGAGACAAAGAGGGAAAACCCCTGTCTGTTTGTCCAGAAGGTAAAATCTCAAACTGGTTTCCTAATTCTATGTCTCCTACCTGAATTTCCATATCACATAATTGCCTTATTGAAGTAACAAAAGCTAATTTTGCATTTGACTAGTTTAAGACCTGTCCCCTTCTTACTAGGGAATTCAAGAATTTATAGATCTGAGTGTATATTTACTGTATTACCACCTGTTGTAGATTTTTTTAACGGACGTTTTTAACTTTACATCATTTTAGTTGTTGATATTCATTTCTGATGAAGACTTATCAAAGTTGTGACTTGTAGAATGTGTTATCTTGATTTTTTTAAATTGTTTAAGTCAGACTTGTAAAATAGAAATATAAATTACATTAATGATTTAAAACACAGGAACAGCAGAATGTGACATCATTATGTGGATGGACCACAGGGCTTCTGAGGAGACAAACATTATTAACGCTACCAAACATGATGTTCTGAAATACACAGGAGGTGGTATTTCGGTCGAAATGGAACCTCCCAAATTACTTTGGCTGAAAAGGGTATATGATTGTTATTATAGGGTTTGTCACATTTGTGTAAATCGTCTTGAAAAATTATTGTACAATTTTTTTATTTTTTATTTTTGAAAAATAAAAGAGTCTAAAAGTTTTTTAACTAATGAAAAATTGTGAATGTTATTATTCACTTTTCTTAAGAATTATTATAAAATTTTAATTGAAAAAATTTAATGATTTTGAGTAGTTTGTATGTATAAGCATACAAATATACATGTATATAGAATTATATATAGAATTTATTCGGACAGAATTTAAGAGAGAAGTGCTGGGACAAAGCTGGTCATATGTTCGACCTTTGTGATTTTCTTACTTGGCGGGCAACAGGTTCTCTCATAAGGTAAATAGTTTCCTACATTTATGAAATAAGGGATAATAGGGTCTTGAAAATGTATACAGTGCAATTGACGAAGATGGTATCAAGTTGTCTCATGCAGTTTTTTGTTTTTGTACATTTTGTCAAGCAACAGGTTCTCTCAGTAGGAATTCATCACCTTTTATTATGAGGATTACACAGGTATTCAGTAGACAGCAGGGTATCACAAAACACGTTTAGTACCTTTTGTTAAGGGTGCAAAAGTTTATTATGACCCTGTTAAATAGTTATCATGAAATGTGATAAATATCTTTATCACATAAACCGTGGTGCAGGAGTGTAATAAAGCCATTTAATAAAATTGATTTCACACTAGTGTAATAACACTTTGACATAATGTCATTTGCATTATATACAAACATAGCATAAAAGCGGGCATATTATAGCGTTACACTATAGACGTATAAATGAGAAATTGCTCTTTTTAACTGTTTAACATTCTTATTTTAAATATTTGATAAATAATATATTATAATTATGTAGATTCAATATTAAATTTATTGAACTTGTTCAATAAAACAATAGTATGCTCGCCATAGGCTCGCATAAAATGATATTGTTCAACTCCCTCAATAAATTTAATGTTAAACCTACAATCATTCAATATCCTCTATTTAGTTTAAGTCTTTGAAAAATTTATAATTGTTGAAAAGGCAACAAAGTGTCATAAAAACTGTTTTGTACCTTTTTTATATTATATTTATAAAGGTTTTTGAAATATTTTCCAGTGAGTTTGCATTTTTAGATAAGAACATAACAATTAATTAGTATGGGAAATGACGGATCACCAGTTTACATTCAGGTCAGCCTGCATATCTCTGCCATCTGACCAAACTCTTCTATTGGATGCTTATTTTAATTCCATATTATTGAATTCCCATTAATGGATGCTTCCAGATTCAAAGCAGGACATGTCCTTTAAACTATATTGATTTATCAACTAAGTTGTTCTCTTCACCATCCTATGTATAGTCAGTTGTTTCAGGAATTATTCTTGCTTTATCATCTAGAATTGGTTTAAAAAGAAGTACAAACTTTGTGGTTTGTTTTCATTGCTTTTAGTTATATCATAGTGGTTATATCTTTTCTTTGTTCAAAATTGTTTTTAGGTCTGTATGTTCTGTGTCTGCCAAGTGGACGTATACAAAAGATAAGCAGTTTGACCCGAAGTTTTATAAACTAATAGGACTAGAAGATTTATGTGAGAATAACTTTGAAAAAATTGGTAAGTGGTAAGTTATTGTCAGTTACCAACAGATGAGAGATTGTATTTAGTGGTTACAGTCTATGTATTTAGTGGTTACAGTCTATGTATTTAGTGGTTACAGTCTATTTCAGGAAGAAAAAGAATAAAGCAATAGTCATGTTTTATCTTTTGAGATTTAAAGAAGCTATACATGTACAATTATTGTACATGTATTACTTTAAGGCAAAGCTAGATTATGTTTATAGAGTTGATTATGTTTATAGTTGTGATGTTCGGTACATTTTAATTACGCTAAAGTTTGTAACAATAATTCCATTATTTTATTGACATACTGATGCCTCCTTTATTGAATCAATCTATCAGTGTCCTGGAAATGGGCCACTTCCACAGAGCAATTCTGTTTTGTGACTTTGAATTATTTGCCCCCCTTACTTCTTTGGTTTCAAACTCATCCAAGGACTTTGGATTTTTTCAAGTAAGGTAGCTTTCTTATGGAAGGTTGGTTGATCAATTTCATTTGTTCCTGAAATGATACAAAGAGAGAGAACTCTGGTCTGGAAATTCACGATATTACCTTTGCTGTGTTTGTGTGACTCAACTAAACTAAACAAAAAGTGTTCTTCAATTTTTTACAGACATGATTATTGTTCAATAAGTTTTGTCGACCATTTTACTGTAAAATATGAATTTAAATCATGATAAGGGGTAAAATTTTCCTCCTTAGTATATCTTTCATACTTTCCATACAGAGCCTGTTAGATTTAATTAATACAGCAGTATTAAAACATACATGTAGGTACTGAGTAAGTCAAATCACTTACTTCTTTGTTTGTGTGTATGCATTGATGCTTGGAGGGGGCATCTAAGGTCGCCTTCCACCAGTAATGTTGCACAGTCAGCATATGACCATAACAAGGTTGGTATGACTAGACTACTTATTTAGATAATATATTCTCACTTGCACATGTTTGAATATTATAAATACATTTACATGTATGTATATTATATTTTCGACTTATATTTTACCAATAATAAAGTATGTATTAGTATTTTTGCCATTTCAGGCAATGATATACAACCTCAGGGTAAGCCGTGCGGTTCTGGACTGACACAGCATGCAGCAGATGAACTGGGGCTCAAACTTGGCACAGCAGTCTCAGTGGGAATGATAGATGCACATTGTGCTACTATAGGTCATATTCCTTATTTCATATTGTTTAATTCATTGTAGGCAGGTCTGTATGTCATGAAGTATGGACATTCCAGTCCTATGTAACATGTGGCGGTTCCCTGATGTTTGTTTTACCTTTTGTACACATTAATTATGAGGATTCATTAAGGTGTGCTTGAAAAATACAGACAATCATAAGCATGTCATATTTTTCCTCTCATTCTGGAAGGTTTGAATCTATATTGTTGATAGTTTGGTTGTTGTATTTCCATATTGAGATCCCTTAGATCAGTAATGGACTAGTCCAAAATTCAAACCAGGATAAGTCAATTCCATAAATTTTGGATGGGAATAGTTATGAATTTTTATGAAATGACACTTGGCTTTTATTGTCAGAAGTTTTACTCAAGTGCATGCTTATGCCTGGAATAATACACATAGAGGGGCACTTTACGTCTTCCTTCACCAGTAAAGCTGGAAAGTCTCCATGTGACTTTTAAACCCAACAACAACAACACCAAAAACAGTTGGCTACAAATGTTGATACTCATTGTTTGCTTAACTCTACTGAAATTTACATATGAAAGTAAATTGTATATATCTTTATTTCTGATATGTATAAATAAAACACAATTATTTTGTCAATGCAGGTTGCCTTGGCTGTATTCCAAAAGACAGCTCTATAACACTACCTCCATTGACAAGCAGGGTTGCTATGATCAGCGGTACATCTACATGTCACATGCAGGTACAGGAGAAAAACTTGTTTAAAGTTTAGTCCAGACCACTTCTCTTATACTACTTATGCAAATTAAATGAAACTTTACAGGATTGATCATGCACATATTAAACAGGTTTTCTGGTTAAATGATTTTGGTTGTGGTAATGGCCCTTGAATAAAAAACGTGTTTTGTCCTGTTAATGATTTTTGTGTCTCCTGCTGCAACATGGCTATTATTGGGCAAACATGTGATAACTGATCACTCTTGTCTTTAATAATGGGTATTTAATTGATCATGTCTTGAATTTAAACAAGGAAATTTTAGCTTTTTATTTTCACTTCATTTTAGGCAGTGCTTCACAGGCAGGCAACTTATCTTTATTGTATTGTAGTCTTGTTTGTTTTACAGTTAAGTAAGGAGGCAATATTTGTACCAGGAGTATGGGGTCCTAACTGGTCAGCAATTGTGCCTGGATTTTGGAGTGCTGAAGGAGGGCAGAGTGCTGCTGGCAAACTGGTAAGAAAAGTAGAATGGTGTTTGTATGTTTCAGTTTATAGTAACCATTGGTTACTAGGGTAACAGTAGTAGGATGACTGTAACTACTTTTTGGGAGAGAGGGGACTGGGGGGTTTTAAGTTACAATGACACTTTCCAAAGGTCATTTGCAAATGTCCAACTTTAGTGTCGGCTGAAGACTTCAGGTGCCCCTCTGTGCATTATTTCCGGCACAAGTGGGCAGATGAGTGGAAGCACTGACCTGTAAACAAACTGGATGGCTTCCTCCGATGTCCCTGGAGGGATTCGAACCCACAGCGATGAGGGGCAAGTGGTTTAAAGTTAAAGACCTTATTAATTGACCATGCAAGAGATAATGTTTATACATGTAGTAACATTGTGCATATGAGTTGTATTTAAGTCCAGATCATACTATATTTTTCAGATGGACTTTGTAATTGAGACTCACTCATCCTACCAAGATGCCCTGAAACAGGCTACAGACAGGTAGTTACTTTATTTATGCTCTTCTTTTTTTTAAAACTTGTTTGTGATCAGAAATCAGTTATGAATATCCCACAGGAAGTAATTAAGTGTCATGCTAAGTGAATTCAAACTGCTACAATCATAGCCATGGGTTACTGAGCTAGAGGTCATTGTGACCAGAATCTTGCTTGATAAGTTTTGTATGGAAACCTGAGGTTCTAATATCAAGGATTTGGCCTGTTGAATTCTTGCACAGGACGGTTTTATTTCTGTGATGGTATGATTGGCAACATTATATCTAACGCTGTGATCACTACAATTTCTTTGATGATTGTTCTGGAGGAATTGGTGCTAGAATTTAGTCTATCTTAAAGTAAATTTTTGAAATGCTTTTCATTGACATTACAAGAACTCATCTGAGGTCCAAAAGGGTAAAACCATAAAATTTGAAATTCTTCCATTGCTAAATTTGGGCTCTTAAAAAGGAAAAAGATGCAAACATTAATTAAGAAATAATCTCTGAATTAAATTCAAATTTTTTTTTTGTGCAAATCCTTTTGCTGGATTTTGGTTAAATGGGTTTAAATGATTTTTATTTAAAGTTCATTTTGAACAATTAAAATAGTTCTTCTAGTAAAAAATGGTGTTAACAATTATCTAAAAGTTTGCATGAAAGCTGTATGAAAGAAATATGTTTGTATAAGAGCGAATTGGTTATACACAAAATCAATGCGAAATCAGTAAATGGTTAAAATCCTACATAAAATAATATTTTGTTCCTGAACATCTTATTTTCTTTTAGTATAATATTCTTTAGTGTTTCAAGAAACAACAAGAAGTTAAATTTACCATTTGTAAATTTTATAAAAAATATTATATTACATGTACATGTAGCTTATTTATGGGTATATTTGCTGTAGTCTTCTATTCAAGTCAACTTAAGAATTAAAATAAACGAATGAATGAAGGATACCTGTGAATGTTCATAAACTTTAAAAAAATGCATTTTAGTTTTAGAATACAATTTTACTCTTATCTTCAAAATATTTCAGTCACATCAATTGCAGTGGTACACTTTTTATCATAAAACTACCGTAAAAGTACTTTTTTCTGCGGGAACTTTATTTCTGCTATTTCTGCAGTTCATAACAACACCGCAGATTTAAAAACTGCAGAAAATTAAGCCTTTCCGCGTGTATATGTCGGAATATGTCAACTACCGGTATTATATAATTACATTACCATGTACCGTTATCAGCTTTTGTAGATGGGAACTTTTCTTTATGTATCTGTCGTGAATAAAATATTTAAAAAAATGTTACTTTGCTTGTTTTCTTTGTTTACATAATATCATATTTGTATGGTTTTCGCTCATCCTTAGCTTGATTGTTTTTGTGAAATAAAACTATTGTAGTTTGACGGGTGCAATAAACATACCCTTTTTATTGTGTCGCCTTGAAAAGGTGACATATAGGGGTTACTTTTGTCGGCGGTGTCGGCGGCGGCGTCTGTGTCGGCGTCGTTGTCGGTGTCGTTGTCGGCGTCGTTGTCGGCGTCCCCTAAAGCTTGTCCGGAGCATAACTCAGTCACTATAAGTCTGAATGACTTCAAACTTGGTATGCATGCTTCTTTCAATAACCCGAAGTGCAGTGCACAAGGACCTGTACTCTGCAGTTCTTATTTTTTGAGTTATTGCCCTTTGTTAATTTTCATACTTTAATTTTGTCCAGGCCATTTCTCTTCAACTAAAAAAGCTATGGACTTGAAACTTCATAGGATGATAGATCTCATTATTAAGAAGTGCAGTGCACAAGAACCAGTACTCTGCACTTCCTAATTTTTGAGTTATTGCCCTTTGTTAATTTTCATACTTTATTTTTGTCCGGGCCATTTCTCCTAATGTATAAAAGCCATGGACTTGAAACTTCATAGGATGATAGGTCTCATTAAGAAAAAGTGCAGTGCACAAGAACTGGTACTCTGCATTTCTTATTTTTTGAGTTATTGCCCTTTGTTTATTTTCATACTTTAATTTTGTCCGGGCCATTTCTCCTTAAGTATAAAAGCTATGGACTTGAAACTTCATAGGATGATAGATCTCATTATTAAGAAGTGCAGTGCACAAGAATCGGTACTCTGCATTTCTTAATTTTTGAGTTATGGCCCTTTGTTAATTTTCATACTTAATTTTTGTCCAGGCCATTTCTCCGAAAGTATAAAAGTTATGGACTTGAAACTTCATAGGATGAGAGATCTCATTAAAAAGAAGTGCAGTGCATAAGAACTGATACTCTGCATTTCTTATTTTTTTGAGTTATTGCCCTTTGTTGATTTTCTTACTTTATTTTTGTCCTGGTCATTTCTCCTCAAGTATGAAAGCTATGGACTTGAAACATCATAGAATGATAGATCTTATTGATAAGAAGTGCAGTGTACAGAAACTGCTGCTCTGCACTTATTATTTTTTTAGTTATTGCCCTTTGTTATTTTTCATATTTCATTTTTGTCCTGGCCATTTCTTCTAAACTACATTGTTCACAAGGCGACACGTCCGACTCGCGGAGTTCTAGTTTGTACAATATTTTGTGTTTACGTGCGATTTTGCCATTGTTTATTATTCACACTTCATATTCATACACATACAGTATTAAATTTTTTGCCATTGCACCTTGTTGAATTTTGTTTATTAACGTGCATATACCGATAAAAGGTGATTACGATGAAACACATTATAATTATCAGTCGTCTGCATGTTAAGGGAAGTAAAGAACATGGTACATCAACAAATCTTGAAATGTTGTCTGTTTGTGTCGCTTAATTTTGTAAAAAATATCCTAATTAAAATGCAGAAATAAAAAGCTTCAATGCGAGAATGACACCGCAGAAATAAGATACGCAGAAATTTAAAACCCCTTATTTTAACAAAAATCGCAGAATATTAAGACCGCAGAAATAAGTACTTTTACGGTATGTCATCTTAGTGCAATAACTGGTTAACTCCTATTAAATTTAGAAGGACTTAACCTGTTACTGCACTCAGGTGACATACAGTTGTTTTTGATGTTGAATAGTACTTCGGATTACTTATAGCTATGATAATTTTATCAACTTTTTTCTTACTATAATTAGGAACCAGCATATAACAGATTATTTATATGAGCTGCTTGAGAAGGAAGCCAGGAACCAGGGACTAACAAGTATGGCAGAACTGACCAAAGAGTTCCACATGTGGCCAGATTTTCATGGCAACAGATCACCACTTGCTGACCATACTTTGAAAGGGATGGTATATTACAATAATTACTACCACAGTAACATTATAGTTATAGCCTAAGGTCATTGCCAGGCCTGTACATCCATTAAATGTAACCAGAGATGAGTTTCATATGAAGTCCTAAGTTTATCCTAAGTCCTAGGACTTATGGCAAACTATAGGATTTATTTAAGACTGTTTCAAAAATTATTTTTATCTTAAGTAAGTTTTAGACTTTAAATTATTTTATTTTATTTTCCTGAAAAAAAAGAGACAAAATACAGTTGCACAGGTTTCAATCCGCAATGTGAAAATGGTCATCTGCATCGAAATTCATAAATTGATTTGCATCGCAATTCAGAAATTGAAGAGTCATAAGTTAGGACATTTTCTTTGAAATTACTTGATTAAGACAAATCACAGGTCCCTTTCCTACAGCTTAGTAAGCTTGAGAATGTACAGAAGCCTTTGACTGTAAGGAAATGCCATGTAGTAAGCCACTCACTACTTGGGCTGTTTATCCTGTGCCTCAATAGTTTTTAAAAGCTATCATTTAGGCAATCTGCCCCTGATACTGGTAAGTCTGCAAACTTCCTTGTTGTCTCAAGCTCTATTTAGGAGCAAATCATTCAGCATTAGTCAGTCAACTGACAGCTGCTTTCCAAGTATTTTTGTAAAAATTTTGTAGCTGAAAGTTTTTTGTCTGCCTGAAGAACTGGTTTATTTTCTGCTGTTACCCATAACATTGTCTGAAACATCTACAGGGGAAGCTCCCTTGACTAAAACAATAAATACTCTTGTCATATGAGGAAAACATACATATATTTGTAGTTATAATCCAGGCAAAGCTTACCGTATACAGATTGTCAAATAGATACCTTAACCTTTATACTAACCTTGGAGACTATGCTTTCTTTAACTAGTATATGCATATAGATGCAAGATAAGGGGAGGGGTTTGACAGGAAAGGTCTCACAAATTTGATAAAACTTTCAAAGAGGCTATTTGTAAATTTAGATTACAAACACGTTAACAGTCACCACATGACAATGTCTTTAGAACATAATTCATATACTTTTTTATAGCTTAATTATAAACTTGGTAGACATACAACAGAGAATTCAGTCAGCAAGGTCACAGTTGGCATAAAACTATCACAGAATGACAAAAAATGTCCAGTCTGACTCAGATTTGAACCTGGGACCATGAAAATTCACTTGTGCAACTCTTAGGAGATTTCAACAATTTTCACCTTGAAACAACCTTATAATTTCTGGGTGACACTGTGATGTAACAAGTTCATAATTATAAGACATGATATAACATTAGTTATTCGGTCCGTCCCTGAAGTAATTCAGACCGTCCCTGAAGTAATTTGGTTCGTCCCTGAAGTAATTGATTAACCTTACTAAACAACTTATATGCCAGCAACAATAATGGCAGACCTATTTCACCAATATTATAGAGTTAAAGCAATCTGTAGATCCAGAGTTCATACTGTTGTCTGCTTAATTTTAAAATTTAGCTGTAGCTAATTTAGTCCCTGAATATATATACAATATCAACATACATATAATATAATTATGATACAAGTCAAATCATATATTCGAAGGAAAGGATTAGAATGGAAAACATAGTCTTATAAAAATTTTCTTCTTTATTTGAATATGCTAAATTCTTAAAACTGCTGGTGGACAGTTTCATATTGAAAAAAGAAAATAACTATCATAGAAATTCAGCAAGTAAGGGATTTAAATATTACTGACTTAATTAAAAATGATTTGTAAAGAGATTGTATGTGATAAATCAATTCTCCCATTAAAGTAAAGACATGTATTTTAAATTTTAGTTACATAATCATAAATATGTAATTATTTAAGTTTGGTATATGCATACATATGTGCAAGTTAGAAATAAAAAGAATTAAAATCATATATTTGGCCATTTTGTCGCAGTTTAAGGTTTCCAAATTGATCCTGAATTCGGAGATAATTCTGAAAACTTTCAGTTATGTTTCATACAATGATTGAATACATATTAACTGGCACCATACAAGTGATACAGCGCCATATGACCTTTAATGTGTCAGTATGACTTAAAACCCAATTAAACAAACAAACAAACAAATTATACAGTGATTTTCGTAGAAGAAATGAAGTAAATCAACATGCTTTTGATTTATCAATTACATGCATGCAGAGATACAGATAAAATGTTATCTAAATCTCTGATACTTGTACATACATGTGTATATATGAATATTTATTAGAAAATTGTTGATAATTCATAATGAAGAAAAACGATTTCATATTCATTTACATGTATTGAGAAAACGTATTTAATTGGAGGTCATTTAGAACTTAGATATTAGTAAAATTGATACTGTGTATACATTGTATATGATTTTCTGATATTTTCTTTTTTTCAAGCATTTATTTATTATCTATTCTGTCCGATTTCAATGTCAATATTTATTTAAGAAGATTGCAAAATTTCTTTAAATTCTCTCCCCCTCGTTGGCTGGCCTTGATGTTCTATATTGACTATATTTATACTGCATTACAGATAATGCTATTTTTAGCTGAAAGGTATAATGTAATATCTATTTATAGCCAGGTCATGAGCATGCTCAGTGGACTAGTAAACAAATGAACATGTTTCTGACATGTCTGAACAAATCTATACTGACTTGTCCAATACAGTATATATACCACTCCACTATCGGTTTATTTCATACAACTTGCGATAGTGCAAAAAGAGGTTGAGATAACTCTTACAGGAAAAGATTGTGAAATAATCTTCCAAGATTTACCTACCTTCATATTTTAATAAGGTAAAAATTAATGCTGACAAATTATTTTTTTAGTTTCTTTTAAATTGCTATTTGTTTTTAAAATTGTTATTTATAATTTTAATTTTACTTCTATTTTAAAGACACATTTGAATTTATTTTACATTAAAATATTGCATAAAATATTTTGAACTGAAAACAGTATGTAACATGTAAATACATTTTCTTGTTACTGAATTATGACTTGATTTTAAAAGACAGTTTTTTTTCATCATTTCAGAATCTTACATAAGAAATGGCTTTACCAAATGGACCAATGGAGATTGTTTTCTCCTTCGACACAACAGGCAGTATGAGCTCGTGTTTAAACGAGGTACGTGGGAGAATTGCAGACATGGCTCAGAGGCTTCAAGCTGATATCCCCGGTATTAAAATGGCAATCTTTGCACATGGTGACTATTGCGACAGGCACAATTACATCACGAAATTTGTAGACTTCACTGATGATGTTACAGAACTTGTGGATTTTGCCCAAAACGTCAGCTCAACCGGAGGTGGCGATTCAGATGAATGCTATGAACTTGTACTTCATGAGGTTCGCACCAAACTGTCTTGGACACCAGGGTCACAGAGGGCACTTGTCATGATTGGCGACTGCAATCCACATGAGCCAAACTATCCTGACAACAAATTAAAGTTAGATTGGAGAGTTGAAGCTGATGAACTGGGGAAAATTGGAGTCCGCATTTACTCCGTACAATGCCATACGTATAATGCTGACAAATTTTACTCAGAAATTGCCCGCCGCACTGATGGTCAACATTTGAAACTGAGTGACTTTAAGAATATCTTTGATTTTCTGATGACCGTATGTTACAAAGAAAGAGGGGATGATCTCTTTTTTAACTACGAGAAAGAAGTTAGGGCTCGTTCATCAAACATAAATAAGGACTTGCATAAATTGTTTGGTGATCTTAGAGACAAAACAGACGCAGCTTCTGATGCCCCATCTGAAAGTAGCGTAGAACCTGCAAAAAAGCTTGGAAAAGGAGGAAAACTTGTCAAAATGGCAAAGAAAATAAATGCTAAAGGAGCTAAACCAGTTCTTAAAGCTGTGAAGAAGTCACCTGCCAGCATTAAGAAGGCAAAAGTAGTACCTGCTCATAAGAAATACTTGGAAAAGTATTTGCCAAAACTTCGAAGAGAAAACGTCTCAGAAAATAACTTCCTTTTGAGAGAAATGAATTGGTCAAAATGGCAACTTGTTGTTCATCCAATGCAGAAAGTTGTAACAGACTCAACGACACAAATTGCAAGTGATGTCAGCTGCAAGAGGAAAGGATGCGGCCACGGTTACAGAGCCAAAACAATTTTTGGCGGGAAAACAAAACTTCCGGCAATCTATGAAATTGGAGTTCAAACAAAAACTCATGCTAGAAAGTATGTAACATACAGTAAAATGTGTAGGGGATTTACATCCAGTTCTAACTGGGAAAGCAAACTTTTTGGACGAAAAGACATCCGCAAGCAAATTGACAATTTGGTAACAAAAGACTGTAGTGTATATGTACGTAGAATGTTGTTAAAGGGAGACAAATCAAAAATGAAAGTGAGACAAGCTCTGAGAAGGTACGATTATGCTTGGAAAGGAATGAAATCTGTGAGAGATGGACATAGAAGTGTTTTTAAAGGAGCTGTTGAAATCTCATGCGAAATGGACATGTAAAAGATAAAAATATGTAAAATTAAGGACTGAGATTATGAATGAACAAGGTGCAATAGAGACTTGCCATGTAAATATTCATCTATTTCATTAAATTATTACGGGTGTTTTATTACAAGTTATGTACATGAGTTCATTAGAACATGAAATAGACAGCATTTTTGTGCATAAGAAAATGTACATTCTAAGCAAGTGACATTGTCACATTTATACATAACATTATAAATTGTATATACTTTGTAAGATGTAATAGTTTGTTCATTGTAAATATTTTGTTCTTTACTGCTATCAATATTTTGTTTATTTTATATTTCATTCTCATTTTTGTATATAAAATTATTGTGAATATTGTTAGTTGAGTATGTTGTGAAAAAATAAAAAGATGAAAATACATAATGCTTATTTTTTATTTATGTTGATAACATTTAAATATGAGTTATCTTAATTAAATTTTGTAACACTGGTTTATTTCCAAAAAATAAGAAAAAAATGAATGATTATTCAATTTTCTTCATTTTTTTCATCAAAGACAAAAAAAGAAAATCAACGAAAGTAAAAAAGAATGATACACATAAAAATATGAGGCTAAATCACTCTCTGTAAGAAAAAAAAAGTATTTGTTGTTAAAATTTACTTTCTGATTTGGAGAATCACTTCATCAACATTGCATATGAATAAAAAATCTGTACATATTATGAACTGCACTAAGTGACATCAATATTAAATACCGTAAAAGAGTTTTATTGTTACAGTTTCATACAGTAAATATGGTCACAACTTTACCTCTTGAATTCCTCCCATACTGACATCCCCATTTGGAGAATTGTTTTTCTGTTTTTGGTGGCATAAAATATAACTGCTCACACAGCTACTTATTTATACATGGGTGAAGTGAAATAATGCATGGTTAATTTCTTGCTCAAGAAAAAAATAGCAGAGTCAATATAGAACTCAAGTCTAGGATCTTAGTGTGTACTACCAATGAATCATTTCTTTAACCGGTTTTCCTTGAGCTTCTACAATCTGTTAATATATCTCCGAAGAAAATCTTTCATTCTATTTAGAGCTGGAAACAGACAAAAGTCCTCCTAGACAAAAGCCCTCGCGTCCAAAAACGACACAGCGGACAAAAGCCTTCCCATGAAAATGACAGGATGGGCAAAAGCCCTCCTCTAACTTGGCAGACAAGGGCTTTTGTCCGCCTAGTAATTTTCATGGGAAGACTTTTGTCCGCCTTGTCATTTTGGACGGGAAGGCTTTTGTCCGACACTCATTTAGAGCAGCGCACATTATGTTGATATTAATATAAAGAAATTATACTTCCCCCCTCAGGAACCTATTTAGAATTGAATGAAATGAAGCAAAAAATACAGTATATTCATCTGACTCAAAAAAAAAATAGTTGTACAGTCGACTCCGCTTATAACGAACTCAATGGGACATTAAAATATCGTTCGTTATATCCGAAGTTCGCTAAAAGCGAAAAAAACAACAACTTTCCTTGATTTGTGTGGCGGGCAAATTTGCCAAGAGAAAGCCATACCTGTCACCGGTCACCGATGATATCGCTATATTACGGTTTTTCTGAGCCATCCATGTTCGCACAAGCCATAACAGTTATGCGTTCTTTCCCCTTTTTACCACCGTGGCATTTCTCTCCCTTGAACTGCAGTGTTTTATCTGGTAGAAGTTTATAAAAAAGTCCCGTTTCATCAGCGTTAAAAATATCTTTTGGCTCATAGTCTTTAAGTAGCTGAGGAAGTGTCTCGGTCATAAATTTCTCCGTTATGCTAAGATCTACTGCAGCAGATTCACCACAAACTGATTTGCTGATAATATTGTGTCTTTTCTTAAATCGTTCAATAAAACCAGACGAACCAGTGAAATCATCAAAACCCAGCATTTTGGCAAAATCGTTGGCTTTTAACATTAAAGTTTCACCACTTAATGGAATATTTGAACTTCGCGCTCCTCGAAACCATTTTAACTTCGCATCATCTACTTCTTCGTGCCTACCAAATCGCATTTTCTTGTGAGCATGAGATAGACAGTCCGACTCATATGCCGACTTGATAGAGTCACGGTTTTTGATAATTGTGCTGAGCGTGCTTTTCTTTAATCCATATTTGACTGCAATTTGGGTTTTTGATAATTTTCCATCATCTATTTCATTAATAATTCCAATTTTTGTATCTAAAGAAATCGCCTTTCGTTTAACACCAGCTTTTGATGGCGTTGCCATTTTACACTGTTATGTTACAAAGTTATTTAATACAAGCAAAGCAATTGATTTGCAATATTTTGGAAGAACATTTTACCAAAATATTTATTCCCTGAAGCCATAACTTACCTGTACATTCACTCGATTGAATAATTATCGAATAGCGGTATTTATGTACTGATCTTTAATCGAGCGCATCCTGATATTTCAATGAAAACAGTTTGTTATAACCGACAAAATTTACATGTTTTTCGCCGTTTGGGACTTGAAAAAATGGTTTGCTATAGCCGAAAATTCGTTATAAGCGAGTACGTATTAAGAGATGGGATTTTATATAAAATAAAGAAGGAATTGGCCGGGGATTTCAGATTTTGTTCGCTATTACCAATAATTCGTTATAAGCGAGTTCGTTATAAGTGGAGTCGACTGTATATAACGTTGGACTCAAACTTGGGATCTCATGACCCAGAAGCGGATGTCTGACCATTGGAACATTGCCTAATATGGAAATAAACATTTTTTGACTTAGTCCTTTTGATAGCAAATATATGTTTTGTTTTGCCTATATGTAGTAATTTGATTATTAATTTTGTGTTATTTTGATATTGAATTTATTGAACTTCATGTTTCAGATCAGTGGTTTGACACTAAGATCAGATGATGTTGGTCTTGCTATACTTTATCTTGCCACGGTACAAGCACTGGCTGTAAGTTTTTATACAGTTGAACTTTTAAAAGGCAATCAGCTACTTACAATATTAGTTTACATCAACAATATTGAAACATACCAGTCTGCTTTTCTATCTGAAAAAAACAAAAACAGTCTACTTTTCTATCTGAAAAAAAAAACCCAGTCTGCTTTTCTATCTGAAAAAAAAACCCAGTCTGCTTTTCTATCTGAAAAAAAAAAACAAAAAAAAAAACAGTCTGCTTTTTTAAGAAGCCATGGTCTGTTTCAGTTTTAGCTAACCTGTTTTATAATTTTAGCCATAATAAGAACAGACTCAGGGTTCATGCTTCATACCTTTACCAGCATCATTTTCAATTTTAATCATAAAACATGTATATAGAACCAGGAAATCATACACATGTATGCATTCTGATATGGCACTATCTTTTTTGCTGTTCAATTTCCTTATTCTGATATAGTTCTCCCTCAGTCAATCATGTTTATAAAAAATAAAAGCCCAGTCAATGATTTTGTTATATAGAAATGAAATATTTTTCTATATTTTTACAGTATAGTACAAATCATATACTCACTGAGATGAGGAAAAGTGGACACAGTCCAGATATTCTGTATGTATGTGGGGGACTCAGGAAAAACAAGCTGTATATACAAACCCATGCTGATGCTACAGGTAAGGACACAGTCTAGATAGGGACACAGTCTAGAGACATATGCCAGGAACCCTTTACCTGCTGAATTTCTTAAATGTGCTTGCCAGCTTCCATTTTTGGAACTGTCCATTACCAATTTTGGGGATATCAACATAAATATCATTATAAAGCCTGGTCAGATTGCATGTAAGAACATGTGGACAGGCTATGTACTGGTGACTGAGAGTTAAATTTTGATATATCAACTATAAATGATTTATGACTGTAAATACTGACATTAATTGTTTTATTTTCGAGTAAGACTGTATTATTTCTGCTACTTGGAATTTTGTAAACTTATTTAAGTTTTTGCAACTTATATGCATGTATATTACATTGAGTGGACCTCATTGATCTAAACAGTACTGGTGTAAAAGGAAATGAAATTAAGACAAGTGGTTCTTTTAAAATATTTGAAGCAATTCCTAATGTTTATAAACTTGACCAAGAATGAGCTCCTGAAAATGTTATTGTCTACATCCCAAGGGTTGATCGCAAACCTGCAGAAAGCCTTTATGTCATATAAGTTACTGCCGTTTTGCAACCAACCCTCGATTTTTCAGGTCTTTATCACCAATGTTCCTATCACCCATGTAATATGAAATTGATAAAGTCTGTAATTTAAGGATTTTAACAAAAATTCTCTTGATTTAATCTAATTTTAATTACATTGAGGATAGAAATCAGCATTTATACATGTACAAACGTTTGCTCTCAATTGTATCTCAGGTCTACCGGTTGTTGTACCAGACGAGAAAGAATCTGTTCTTCTAGGAGCAGCTATTTTAGGGGCAACGGCAGCGGGCTTACATCCTACAATACAGGTAATTATCTTGTATGAAATGTAATGTTTTAAAACCAATTTACCTTTGATATATTAGTGCATGAATTTTCTATCAAAGAACATGGCTTAGTTTTCTTCTGTTACAATTATATTTTCAATATGGAAAGCATAGGATTTGTTACAGGTAATAATGAGACATATATGAGCAGCACCATGACAAAACCAACATAGTGTGTTTGCAACCAGCATGAATCCAGATTAGTCTGTGCTGATGTACAGACTGATCAGGATCCATGCTGTTCGCTATCAGTTTCTCTACTTGTAATAGGGTTGTAAGCAAACAGCGATCCTGATCAGACTGTGCGCATGTTGTTAGTTTTGTCATGGTGTGACTCAATTTGTCTTTTCATGGCTTATTCAGAAATCATGTGGTGTTAGAATTGGGAATTTGGTCACTTGCAGAAAATAAGAAATAACTGGTTATCTTAACCAATTTGATGTAAATTTAGAATTTCTCAAAAGCAAAGAATGCTGCCAAATGAATGTGGTTATTGCAATCTGAATGCAACGTTTATGTCCAACCATGTTTTTGGTTTTAAGTGATCAGATTTTGTATATGTATAAAATGATTGATTTTAATTTTCATTTGTCCTTTCCAGTCATGTATGGACAACATGTGTGGCTCTGGTGAGATAACTCTACCAACAAAACAAGATATACAGTAAGTAATGGGTCAAATTTAATTGTAAAATATGCAGAGATGTTTTTGTTTGTGAATTTTGTGGTAGGTAAAAGGTTACAGTGATTTAGATAGATACAGAGACTATTGGAAAATGTTAGGCTTATACAGAAAATATTGGAAAATGTTAGGCTAATATTGGAAATATTGGAAAATGTTAGCCTTATACAGAAAATATTGGAAAATGTTAGCCTTTTACAGAAAATATTGGAAAATGTTAGGCTTATACAGAAAATATTGGAAAATGTTTGCCTTATGTTGAAAATGTTAGGCTTATACAGAAGCTATTGGAAAATATTGGCCTTAAATAGAAACTATTGGAAAATGTTAGGCTTATACAGAAAATATTGGAAAATGTTAGCCTTAAACAGAAAATATTGGAAAATGTTAGCCTTTATATTGAAAATATTGGAAAATGTTAGCCTTATACAGAAAATGTTGAAAGCCTTATATTGAAAATATTGGAAAATGTTAGGCTTATACAGAAAATATTGGAAAACGTAAGGCTTATATAGAAAATGTTGTAAAGTGTTAGCCTTAAATTGAAAATATTGGAAAATGTTAGCTTTATATTGGAAAATGTTGGCCTTACACAGAAAATATTAGAAAATGTTAGCCTTGTATACAGAAAATATTTGAAAATGTAAGCCTAATACAGAAAATAGTGGAAAATGTTAGCCTTATACAGAAAATATTGGAAAATGTTAGCCTTAAACAGGAAATATTGGAAAATGTTAGCCTTATACAGAAAATATTGGAAAATGTTAGCCTTATACAGGAAATACTGGAAAATGTTAGCGTTTTACAGAAAAAATTAGAAAATGTAAGTCTTAAACAGAAAATATTGGAAAATGTTATCCTTAGACTGATACAGAAAATATTGGAAAATGTTAGCCTTATATTTTTTTAATCTTTAACCCATTTCTGCATGAGCATTTTGTGAAAAAGGCTGTTTTCATTGAAAAGTCTCCCGTTACAAGTTCAAATTGCTTTAAAACTATAAAAACTGCTTCAATACTAATCAAACTTGGCACAAACGTTGACTGGACCGTTGCCTTTGTAACAACATGTTCAGTCTTAAATTTCCTGTTTTCATGGCAACGAGCGGACATCTCAAAATTTCCAAAAATCACTATTTTGTGTTGATTTTTTCCATCAAAATTGATTTCAAAGTGCTGCAACTTCTCAATGGATTCAGATAGGCTTTTCTGCGTTGGTTACACGTTACCTTATGATCGACTTGGGGTCATTTTTTAGCCTCTCACAAGTCCAAAATTTTCTTGGCGATGAGGGGGACTGCTGCCCCCCTTCAAACCCCCAAACAGAAGGGGGCACATCCTTCTGGCAACTCCTGATGTACCTTTTGGATGGGGGGGCGCCGCCGAAAAAGTGCTCACTTTTTTTATCATCATTTCTCAAATGAAAACATATGATTCAATGGGGCCCAAACAGGACATTTTTTCACTATCTGAGGCCTAAAAGAGGGGGGAGTTGGTCAGTGCGTTGTTTTGCGTATATATGAGGTAAAGGGTTAAACAGTCATATTTTTGTTACTATAAGGTTATGGGTGATATATTCTACGGATGGGCAGAGTGACACTGAAACCATTAGGCTAGAAGCCGATGGTATTAAAAGAAGGAAAAAATAGAGTGTTGTTTCTAAGTGTCATCAAATAATTATTGTTATGATAAAACTTGATATAGATAAATAGGGTTTTTAGAAAAGCCTTGATTTGTGCAATAATGTATTAGCCCCCATGATGTGTATATATGCAACCAACATTTGTTACAGCAAATTGAAGACATATAATCAATTTCTTTTTTCAAGTTTCTGAAATATAGCAAACCTAAACTATTTATGGATTTTATCTGTCACTTAATCACCTGATTATTTGTATACATTGATAACACAATAATCGGCCGAAACAGCGCCAACATATGTTTGTAATATATAGAATTGAGACATGGTAAGAAGTATTTGTTGGGATAAAATTTCATTGGATCGTAAATTTGTGAATTGACCTATTAACCACGAAAACCACAAAAATTTGTGCCCTTGAATAATAGTGACTTTAAAGAATACATGTTACATTTATGAATTAAATACTGTTTAAACCCAATTTTAATTGCTATGGTTACAGGTACCACAAGAAGAAATACCAAGTGTTCTTAGAGATGTATGCGGACCAAAGAAAATACAGGGACTTGATGACTCAGTAGAACTGGTGGGCATAGACACTACAGTCAATATTAATTGTTGTAAAGTCACCCCCCTAGTAAAGATAATGTCTTGTTAGGGGGATGATATTTAATATTTGTATAATCATAATGTAGAAAGAGATCCTTGTGGCCATAATTAGTTTTTTGTTGAAATTGTTAAAGGCTCATTTTGCCTCAGAAATGCTTTTATTTTTATTTCTTAAATTTTTGTGTATTTTTATAGCATCCATAAGTTACTCATTGGCCAATTACCTGAATCTGTTGCTTTTTGGCAATAAGTACACCTATAGTGAATTTGTATTCGTATGGAAGTCAAAATAATGTGCCTTTAAAGCCACCATGCCTCCAGATTAGTGAACTTGAATTAAAAAAATCAAACTGTAGGAAAATATATGAAGGTTTTATGAAAATTATAAATATTTACATTCCATGTAATGGTTTAAGTGCAATAGAAAAGATATGATTGGATTTGATATTTCTGTCAGCATACCCTGGCACTAATTGATTTAAGGGCATTTTATCTTTCTTTTTTTCATTTTGACATACATGTGATTATATTTAGTAATTTATTAGGATTATTATTAGTGCCCTTTTCTTAGTTAGGTCAAATTAAGGTTAAGGTGATATTGTTACTCATATTCAATTTAGAAGGACTTAACCTGTTAATGCACTAAAGGTGATGATATCAGAATGATTCAATATGTTGATTTTGTCATATGTGTTGTTTTGTCCAAGTACGATTCAAATCCATAAGTAAATAACAAAGTTGTCAATTTAAGCAAATTTCATTAGTTTACTACTTTAAACAAATTTTTAAATTGATTTTCATAGCAATTCATAGATCTGGAGGCATGCTGGATGATTGAATTGTTGTGTCCATTATGGTATATTCAGATAGTCTTTCAGACAAAGTTTTATATGGCTATTATCTAAATGCAATATTTGATGTAACAATTTTATACTAGTCTTTTACGCAACTTTACTAAGATTTTATTTTATATATTTGTGTATACTATATTGTGTATAAATACATGTTAAAATGTAAAGTATAAAGTATTTGTATGTGTTTCAAGAAGTTTTATTTGCTCAATAGGGAAAGCGTTTTATTTTCCTAACAGAGTTTTTCGGCTCATTAAATAATTTATCTGTTACAGTTTCACTGGAGGTGAAATATATGAATCAACATATCTTATATTCAATACACAAACATCTCATGCTGAGAAGTTACCCGTGGATAAATTTGATAGTTTAAACCATTTGAAGTACTGGTATAGAAATGCTGAACTGTATCTCCATTTTTAACAGGACTACAATACAGCCAAAATATTTTAATTGATTCTTGAAAAAAAAAATAAATAAATAGTACATGTTTGTGAACCCTTTTTGTTTCCAGCAAATTATAATAGTTTTTATTTTTATATCCGTTGATTGATGGTTTCATTTTTGGGAAATTGTTAATTATTTGGATGTTTTTGCAAATTTTTCAGCAATATTGGCATTTATGTAGCATTATCTCCATTACAGTTGTATTATCATTTGACAACAGCATCGTTATTAAGATATATTTTTTTTTGGTTGGGTTTTACGTAACACCAACACAACTTTCTAGCTTTATTGGTGAATGAAGACCTCAGGTGTCCCTCTGTGCATTATTTCAGACATGAACCGGCACCTGGTAGAACCATCTGTTTCATAAGCTTGATAGCTTTCTCACATGAACAAATCCAAAGTACCAGTCTTGATTCAAACCCTCAGCTGTGATGGGCAGGTGGTTTGAAGTCAACAACCTTAACCACCCGGCCATTGAGGCCCCTCTATTTATATAATTATAAACATATTCACATCTTTTTAGAATACTAAAATAGTTGAGTGTGTCATCTCTTTACAGGAATACATGAAGTGGGATTTGTTGATCTGCTTTGAAAATAATTTTTTATTACAGAAATGGAACTTAAAACTGACATAAGGTTTGTTTAATACCATCATCATAGTCATTTTTATACAATTTAATAAAATATAATGGAAAGGGAGACCAAAGTCATGTTTGCCTCAAATTTATTTGAAGGTGCTACAAGGGGCTAGATATACATAGAAAGATTTGTTAAGAAATATTGTGATATGTTTAATAAAGCTTATAAAGTTTTTATGCATATTACATTAATAACTTATTTAGAATAAACAGATGATTATAATCATGAATAAAATGTCTTTGTACTAGTATATTTTACTTTCTTTACCTGTTGAATTTCTTCAATGGACTTGTCTAGTTTCTATTTTTAGAACTGCCCATTATCAACTTCGGGGGTATCAAGATGAGAATTTAAAAGGTTGGCCAGCAAACAGTATAGAAGCTGTGCAGACTGACCAGTCTCTGTAGTCTGGCAAAGGCTTATCACTTAGCTCCAGCTGGTTTAGGGTTCAACATGTCTTGTTTGCTATATTTTACTTTAAACATAATTATGTATCTGTACATAATGATATTACAACAAACAAACTTTAACCTTGACACTTTATAGTGGTTGGGAATGGAGCCAGTTAGTCATCTCTCCCTTTTAAACTGCAATCCACTTAATTTCTTGTCCAGCTTCTAATTTTTTAACTTTCCATAAAGTGCAGATGTGCAGGCTGGACTGGCTCTATACCCCATGGCAAATTTGTGGTTGAGAACATCCTATGCAAATATCCTCCAGTTTCGAAAAATGATTACAGATAGACCATTTCAATTTATCATGGACTGCTATGCATCAATCCTAAAAATTAGCACCAAGTGCTAGTACTTCATCGCAGATGTTTTTATTCAATAGAGACTATATGGGAATGTGTTTTTACAAGTGACTTTTCTTGTTTTGAATAAATTAAATTTCAACTAATTTTTATGGTAAAACCAGTATAGAGCAAAGCCAGTTTGCACATTTGTGCAGTTCGGCATGGTTCTTTGCATCTCAATTTTTGTATTTTATATTCTTAGAATAGTTAAATTAAAAGAGGGAAATCCACAACACAAATTCAGCAGGTAAAAAATTAATTACAAAATACCTTTGGGATAAAAATAAATAAGAAAACACTGTTTATTGTTTTTTTTAGTCATTTCTCTTTCAACATTTATTATGTTTTTCTTACATATGAAATCCACATGGCATTACAATGAATGAGCGAAACATAAAAGAATCATTATAATAAGGAATCACTATAACATGATATGAACACTATTGTTCAAAAACATGATAAAACAATAGGCATTAAAATAATAGATCGCACATATGCTGTGCTCAAACAAAATATTTAGCAAATGCAGACGTAATTTTTAAGTTATTTTAATTCATTACAACAAATCAATTATGCACATCACACTTAAGTGTCAGTCCGTTTTCTTCGTAAAATTATAAACTAGTTGGGGGACCACCAAAACCGGACAACCATCAAACAACAGCAGCACAGAAAATGCCCGATTTAGGTTTTTTTTCTTTGTACAGTGGTTGTCAGTCATTTGCATTTTTATCATTAATAAATGCATGTTTCTTCTATAATTAAGTAATTCAATTTATTACAACTTTCATTAACGTTAATATTTTAATGTCTATTTAAAAAAAACATTGACATTGCAAATTTGGACGTCAAAAGAGCAATACCAGACCTGTTTATTATACTAGCTATAATCATTTGCAGAATAAACAATAGAATATCAAAAACTTCAGCATTTGCTGCTGAAATATTGATTATCGTGTTAAAAATAAAAACAATTCAACTAAAACTTGGATTAAATCAACATCATTTATATATCTGTCTGGACACAGGACAATAATGGTAATTTTGATACCCTCCTCGACAGGTCTCAGATGTGTCAATAAAATCAGAAATAGGGGAGGAACCTAGCTTTACTGTGTCAAGTTTTCAGATCTTAAGCTTTAAAATTATGAAATCTATATGGAAAAATGTTCAAAAAGTGTCCGGTTGATGGTCCCCGGCAAGTACAGTAATATACAAATTTTCAAGAAATTTTTTCTGGTATGATACTATTTTCAGTAACACAAACCAGATATATTTATATATGAACAAACACATCAACTATTTGTACACCTCAGAAAAGGAAGGTTCAGTGTAGAACTGAAACCAAAAGAAAATAAACTTAAAAAAATAAACCAAACTGGTGATAAACTGGTTTTCCGTGAATTTATTAAATTCTATGCCTTGTTATTGCTAACATTTAAAACTTTAAACCAGTCTGAAAAAATGAAATGCTACCATTGGTTGGTTTTAAACATATAGTCAGAATCAACCAATCAGAATCAGGAGGTAAGGACTGGTCTTCATTTCCAAAATGTAACGACCTGCACAAACTAAATAAATTTCAATTAATGTCATAATTTTAACTATATGATTGGGTTTCATGACAATTTAATTCAATGCAATAATCTTCTACAAGGAAACATTGCCCAATTTTATAAAAACTGACAACAAACCCCCTAAATAAAACAATATGATATAATAGCACAACAATTCAGATCTTCATAGATACATAGTATTCATCAAGTAATAAAAAATGTTTGTTTCTGGTCCTACCACCAAAACGATAAAATTTTTCTTTTGAGTAAAAAATATGTGCCTCTAGAGAGATCTATGATACTTCACACTGATTTAGAACAAGTAAAAACATTTCCAAGCTATGAAGGAAAGTACAAAAATAGATTGTTGTCTTCAGTGACCTGTCGGGACTCTATAGAATTACCCCACCCACCTCCATTAAAGTTACTAGCCAAGCTTTGCAACTACATGTACATACATAATACCTAGCATATCAGTTCAAAATTTGAGCAAAAGTAAGAAAAATCTCTATTTTTAGCAACAGTAACCTTGAACCTATTGATGTCCCCCATAGCATAAACCCACCCACCTCAAAATAGGGTACTAGCTAAGCTATGTAAACTACTCATACATACATAATCTTAAGGTATCAGTCCAAATTCTGTGTAAAAGTAAGAAAAAACTCTATATTTACCTACAATAAGTAACCTTGAACTTTAACCCCTTGGCATCAATCCCAAAGAGATTGGTATAGGTCCCTGGAAACTACCATCAAACATAATGTGCAAGACAACTGTCAACAAATGAAAGAACCATTACTAGGCTTAACAGTGTGACGGAAACAAATCGGTCTATATATATGCTCCCCTTTATTTTTGTCCGAAAGCATAAAACGTTCAGGTAGGTCATAAAATTTATGATTTATTAGAAAGCAAGATTTCATTGACTTAAGTAAACTTAATAATTATATAATTGTTATTATTTCTATCTAGCATTTATCATAAAAACATTCTTACAGCTTTCGTACATCTTGCATCAATACAGCACATTTTTAGCCTTGAAGCACAACAAAAACTCAAATAATATTTGTCACCAACATGAATAAAATATTCATGAAACAAAATACATGTTTCTTGCACTAGTCATTGACATGAATAAAGTATTCATAAAACAAAATATATTCATGAAACAAAATATTTTACACTAGTCACTGACATGAATAAAATATTCATGAAACAAATTATCTTGCACAATCTAGAAAACTTAGAATCCAGTACTTACTGAAAATCTCATTACAATATTTTTTCAAAATAAAATTTACAAGATATGCATGCAAGTCTTCTTGGGGCTTACTCAGCATGATTCATACTCTTGCAAATTGTTAATATTCTCTTGCATTGCTTTGCTAAAAATTGATATATCTTTTTTTACAATTATTGGGTCTCTAACGTTATCTACATAATCTTGAGGGTCTAAGTCTATTTTCACCACACATTTCTTTTGTCAACAGAAAATGTGGTATTGACCTAAACATTGATGAAACCTACAGACATCAAATTAAGTGGGATATACATGTATCCCGAGGTATTAAATAAAAGGCCAATCGTACCACATGCATGGATTAATACCTTTTTTGTTCAGCATCAACACTGTGAAGGTAATATGGAGACTTTTCAGCTTTACTGGTGGCAAAAGACTCAGGGGGTGCTGCTCTATACATTATTTTTGCCGTAAGCACCTAAGTAGAACCATCAACCTTCTATAAGCTAATCCAAGGCGGGATTCTAACCTACAGTGAGTGGCAAGTGATTTGATCATTGATGTCAGCAACTTTAACCACTCTGCACGGAGGGCCTCTTCACATCAATGATATGTTCCCAGTTTAAGCCATATCATTAATCACTAGTATCTTTTAAAAAAACAACACAACACCCAGAAAAAAATTGAAGACCCACAAGCAAAATTGTTACCCAATCATCTTCACAGAAACATTTGTTTAATATCCAAAATATTGTCTACAATCTTTGAATGAAATCTTATACATTTTTAAAAAGCCTTTATCTAGTATTTTATCTCAAGTTACTCAGTTGGAACACAAACTTAACCTCCTACAGATAAACCCTCATGACATTTCCCTATAATGACATTTCCCCATAAGCATATAGCGTCTTAAGAACAGAGCTGTGGGTGATATTTCTGCAGCACAACTGTTGATGGACTTAAAATGTGTACATAGCTGAGCTTTCTATAATACTTGGAGGGGGATGACAATATAAATGCATGTATATTATAAAAAAAACATTTTTTTCTCCTAAAAAAATATTTGTTTCCACCATGAGTAAAAACAATTGAACCTTTGAGATCTTCACTTTTACAACACCAGACAAAATAATATTAGATAGAAAGCAAACATTCAAGTATATCCGTTAAAAACTTGACATAACCTAATCCATTTAAAATACAGAATAACGTCTCAAATCTGTCAAATATCTTTCTTTTATTCCTCGACTTGTTTGAAAATAAATCCAGATTTACTAACGGCCATATACCATCAAGATCTTATTAGTTTGTATACTTCTCATAAAGTTCCCAACAAAAGTCGCTTCCAGACGTCACAAGATTTCCTACCAAAAGATCTAAAGGAGGGAATATCGAACATGAATGCAATACAGACCCTGTCAAGTTTACACCAGTTAACATATAAAGTTATCACTGTACAGTCTAATATACAGTGGCACTGTTTGTCAACAATAAATACTGCTACTCTATCCTGTAGTTATTTTCCCTATGCCGCTAGTTGTTCTCAATCTGAATCTGTCCTCAGAGTGAAGGACGATGCATGGCTTTCTGACGATACTGAAAATACATATATCAGCTTTGAATTGTATGGAGCAACACATCTTAAATGTATATTCAATCTCTTATTTTAAGTTTTACAATATATTTAGGGTAAAAGTTTTTGAACTAGAAATGTGTCCATAGGACACGGGTGCCCCAGACGCACCACTGTTCTGTCAATCTTATGACTCTAGGTCAAATATTTTTTGAAAACTAAAAATCTTTTACTAAGTAAAGGGCAAGAACTTTACAAATACTGAATAAATCCACAAGCAAACTCCAAGGTGCAAAAGTACACATGCTGACCAACATTCTTGTAAAGTTTCAGGCCTACAAGTGAAATACTTTTTGAGCTATGCATGAACAAGTTGAAAATTGCAAATTTATACTACTGTAAGTCAAGGGCAATAACTCTTACAAAACTGAAAAAATTCACATGCAAAGTCCCAGGTTCATAGCTTCACAGTGAAGTGAATCATTATTCCTGTAATTCAGTGATGTTGATCATTATTCCTGTAAAGTTGGTTGATTCTAGCTCAAGCCCTCAAGGAACAAATAACAACATAATGAAACGATTTTTACTAAGTCAAGGGAAATAACTCTACAAAATACTGGATAAATCCACAAGCGAAACCACGGGTGCAAAACTAAATATGCTGAGCAACCTTCCCGTAAGGTTTAATGACACTATGTCAAATCCTTTTTCAATTACATGCGACAAAAGTTGAAAATTGCAAAATTTTATTAAGTCAATGACAATAACTCTAAAAATACTAAATAAATCCAGACGAAAATACCTTGGTGCACAACTACACATGCTGATCAACATTCCTGTAAAGTTTCATGACTCTCGGACACATACTTTTTGAGTTACGTGCGACACAAAAGAAGACGGACGGATGGACGGACAAGGGTAAATCTAAATGCCCGCCACTAAAGTGGGGGCACAAAAATTGCAATAAGAATACCAATAAAACCACTGCACATAATCAAATGTTGCAATGTCCCACATCATTCTTTGCTTTCACTAAACTAAATGTCAATAATATGACCAGGCCAAAATAATGCTTATGACCATGTGGAATGCTGATTTGACTAAATGGCCAAGCTGAATACCTCTTTGACCAGGCAATGTTGGTTCCTTGATTCAATTAGATTTTTATAGATCATATCCGAAAAATTATTATCCAGTGTATTTTAATGACTTCAAAATTGCAAAGAAATATTTGAAAGTGAACTTAGCAATGTTTCTAACCTTCGGTCTCGGGATCTACGACACTACTATCTGACTCTTCCCTCTTATAGCTTGCTTGAGCCTCGTCATCGGATTTTCTGAAATTATAAAACAAACAAATTTTAAAATTCAAACATATTCAATAATTATTATTCTGGTTGTTCCCTTTCTCTACATTCAGATTATGGACATTGCTTTTTTCAATATATCACTTGCTTGATGAAGCAGTTTTAGTTTTGTACAAAGCAGCAGCTAAAGTAAACAATCCCTTAATTATAAGTGATAGGCATTGCGTCATTCTGGCCAAATGTTATTTTTGTAAATTTTTAAGTCACTCAGACACTGAAGGTCATGTGCTTTACTGGAAGATGAAGTATAAATTCTTTCAATGTTCCTGGTTACATAAGTTTGAACATACAAAGGGAACAAACAAAGAAATTTTAGTTGGTAGCCTTTACCAATCAAAAATGCAGATCCCCTAGGATACATGTTAGGAAATATTGTATATGAAAATGTAGTGTATAATATATATGAATATAAGCTTTGACAAGTATTTGCCACATGATAACTATTATTTTAACTTCTTAACAGCAAAAAAATTGAAAATATCAAATCAATTCCAATACTATTGCAAGAATAGGACATAATCCTTTAAATATTCAAAATAATAAACTGAACAGAATAAAAATTGCATGAGCATTATAATACTTTGTTTTCTTCACAGCAAACTCCTCAGTGGGAGACTCGGGTTCAGCTTTTCTTTTCCCTGAGACTTCTCCACTTTCTTTCAACTTTTCTTCTTGAACACGCAACTGCTGTACACGCCAATCTAAAGCTCTTAACAAATTTTCTGAATCTTTGGGATTTGACTGAAAACAGATTAGTTTTGCATAAGCATGGTCTATAATTACCTTTTTTCTATACATTCTACAAAATCTGCAATTTCTTTAACCTTAGATCAATTTGGAACAAAATATTATCATTTAAAGGGATTTCAGTTATAGAATTCTACAAGAGCTGTTGATACGTCAGCATGCTCAACTATTTTCAGTGTTTGAAAGATAGATAAAACAAAGAGTTTGGATAATTAAGAATTTTTCAAAAAGGGTCATAATTCTGACAAGATCCAAGTAAAAAGTTATGAGCCCTGGACAGTGACCTCCTATTATGCTTTCAAAGAAGTGTGAGAATTTTCAACCCATTCCCTGAAGTAGTGTTGGAGATTCGGACTTGCAAGCAAAAACTTTACCAAAATTTAATGTGACGCTGATGTCTGGGTGAGAACGACAGCTCTCCCTATTTTTCAAATAGCCGAGCTAAAAACTAAGTTGCCATAATATAGTTTCGCTCTAATTAGAATGATTAAATATGAGGGATAGCCTGCCATAACCTAGTCAATATCACTGCTAGTATACAAACAGTTATAATAAATTTACTTACTATTATTAGAAAGACTTTAACATGATCTCCATCGGTACCCGTGACTCGTACACTTTTTTGACTTGCTCGCTCAACTGTCATACCTGGCCATATCTTAGTGTTTAGAATTAAACGTAAACTTCCTTGAGTGCGCATTACTGGAATTGAAAAGCACAATGGTCAGAAAAATTTCATACAAATAAACTGTATAAAATATCTAAACACTTGCATGATTTTTTTTATTTGCTTCAGTTTTACTTAATTACTTGATTGGTTAATATACAAGTATTTAGAAAGAAGTTCTTGGAGTTTATCATTATTTAGATTTTGAAAAAAAAAACAAAAAAAAACATAAGAAAACTAAAAATATAATATTGATTTAAAGCTGTCATTACTATTCTAAGCGCTTGATAGAAAAATAAGAACTTAGATACTGAAGTAATTTTCTAAGTTCAGAAAGTGTAAACATTTCAGTTCAAATATATAAACTTTTTTTTTTTTTTTTTTCATCACACCAACACAGTATCAGTCATATGGTAACTTCCCAGCTTTACTGATCGGGGAAAACCGCAGGTGTCATTCTGTGCATTATTTCAGGCAGAAACGGGCACCTGAGGTTCTGTCAGTTAGCTGGATAGCTATCTCACATAAAAAAAATACAAAAACTGTGTGTGGCTCAAATTTACAGTAGTGAGAGGCAAGTGGTTTGACTTCAATGACCGTATCCACTGTGTGTTGGACACTCCCACATATATACTTACATAATCTTGATTGAAAGGTCTGTGAGGATTCACATCTCATGTCATTTAATCTCAACAAGCCACGCCCACGCTCTATCCAGTTCTGTGTGTCACCATCAAATACAAATAATTTCCCATTTGTCTGGAAAAAAAAAACGAATTTGAAAAACAAACTTTATACAAACAGGAGCAAAATAAAAACACAAATTTAACATAGACTGAGCAAGTCCTTTCAAGTTTGCTAGATTAACATAAAAATCAAAAATAAACATTTTAGTAGTTCAAATCATGCGTCTTTACAATATTTTGTATCTTGAACTGAAAAATTTAGAAAGTAAACTGTATCTAAGATATGGCAGAACATACAATAGTTAACATAAAGATTATCAAAACTACTCTATTTTTCCTATTTCACATTAACACTTTTCTGCTGATTTGGTTCTTAGTGACTTCAACACTAACAAAGTCATATTGGGAAATCTTTAGTCTTCACTGGTTAAAAAAACACCCTAAGATGCCCTTATGAGCTATATTAAGTCAAAGGTGAATACAGATCTACATACTTGTTCCAAGTCAGTTTAATAACTATAATTCAATATCCTTTGCATTGTTCATAACTGAACTATTCTAAAAAAAATGACATTCACCTGTAAAACATTGGATTCGTTTTCTTCCCCAGTGACCACTTCCACCTCCTCAAGCTCTGTTTCCCGTTTATGGGTGGCCTGATATTCACGTGCAGACTCTTCTAATGTTTTTTCTCTCTCTGTAACAAAATAACACCAGTTTTTTTGTAATGAACTTGTCTTCCTTTGAATTTGGAACAGTCTATTATAAGTTTAAGGGATTTCAGATCAATATTAAATATAATAACATATTAACAATTATAAAAATTTTTTTTAGATAATAATTAAACTCACTGATTAATGAACTGTTTTTTTATTTTTATTTTTGTCAACTATGAATTTCTTTATAAACTAATACAGATTTCTGATTTTAATTCAATTTGTGGGACACTGTTTCATAAACAGGAATTTTTTTTCATTTTCTGAAGAAGAATTTGTCCAGTTTTGAGGAAAATTGAGGTTAAGGACCCTATCTTTAACCAGATGATCGTATATAGTGCCCCAATGCCTGAGTCTTTAATTTGAAGTTTCCATGGACAATATACTTGATTTAAGAACCTTACCAATATTATTTGCACTGTCTGACTGCTCCGTTGAATCAGGGGAAGCAACTCCATTGTCTTCCGGTTTGTCTTCGTGACCATCTTGATTAAATTGCACACGTTCGGCCAAATTCTCCCCAAAAACAAAACCTGAGCTACTGACTAGACCTTTCGGGGAGGTGTGTACACCCTGAATGATGAGAAATACTTACAGATACTACGTAACCTTAAATGACATTTTTGTTTAAAAGACAACTTTAAAGAAATATATATATTTTGTATAAATATAGCTTTTTGAAATAGAGGGCAAGGTGTACTCTAGGGTCAAATACACAACAAACTGTTGGTAATATGACAATTTCTTTCTACGCTTTAACTGATCTAATAAAAATTATCATCCGTGGAAATAATGCATTATACAGTATGTAATATCAAGAACAACTTACAGTAACTTTTTCTGTGAGATTTTGTCCGAGGATATTTTCTCCCTCTCCTGATGAAGATGCACTGTTACTTTTACTTGGACTACAACTACTGTCTGGTAATCTGGAAAATAGAATTATATTCAGTATTAAATACAGCTGTCAATACATGTATTGGTATGCCTTCATGACAAAGCTTATGTCACCAATGAGCAAACTGGATTAAGATTTGTGTCAGATTTTAGATTGTTTATGGAGTTTATTTAATTTAATTAACCTCCTTTGTAATAAATTGCGTATTTCACAAAATTATATCATTCTAAGATTTTTTACAACTAAAGTTGAAAAAACTTAAATCTTGATTTGTTTACGGAACAATGTCAAAGTATTTATAGACTGGACTTACTTTTTTTCTGCCTGTTCTTGTAAAGCAGCCTGAAAAAGGTTTTCCCCACCACTATCAGGGGGTGCTGAATCTTTGAATACAGATGATGATGCCCCAAATATTGTACCTGAATCTTTGTTCTCTTTTTCTGTAACTTCACTTTCTACTCAAGTTATAAAATAATTCAAATAAACCCATGAGCTTCTGGCAATAACTATCAAAATTTACAATGAAAATTTATTTAAAGACAAAAAAATTGGTGCAATGCCGATGTTTTCATTTTCTTAGATTAAGAAATTATTCCTGCATATGGGACTCTCTTTATCAGATATATTACGACACCATTCTTTTAATGTAGGTAATTGTGTATGATTTTAATTAAGATACAAATGAATTTTAACTGCCTTATTTCATGACAAAACTACCGACTCTTCATTATCATACTAGCTTCCATTTTTGTTTGTCCAATGTTTAATCTTTACCTGCATCGACCAGTGCAGATCAAGATCCTCTCACACATCTGTGCTGTCTGATCACAGGCAGCACTGTAGAACATTCATTCAGTATATATTTTGAAAATTTCCCTAACAATAATGAATGGTAATGTCCAGATTGAGAGATGGATTAGTCCATTTAATATATAAAGTGTGGCAGGAATTAAAATTGATAATGAGCGCATGTAAGACAATGATAATTACCTTTTGTGAGACCTTTTGTTGGATCAGGTAGTTTGGCTGGCTTTAATAAAGGAGGTGCACTTCCAGTTTCAGCTCCACATACTGTAAATATACCCATAGGGAATATTGCATTGGTCTGTTATGCATAAGTTACTTTACAGATTCACAGTATTAATAAAACCATGAAATGCATAGGTAAACCTTGTAATGTATAGGTAAACCTTGTAAAGTAAAACCATACCAGTTTGGAATGTCATGAACAATTTACACTTCCAAATAATAAAAGCATTTTTTTCCAAATAAAAGTAACAAATTCTTATAAGTATATTACAAAGAGTATCCTACTAATTAACATCTTCAAAGATAATATCAAAACCTTGAATGTTTTTTTTATATATTTGATTGAATTTAAGTCACACCTGCACTGTATAAGATATATGGTTACTTTAAAGCTTTACTAGCAAAAAATACCTAAAACAACCTGTTGTGAATTATTCAAGTCACAAACGGGCACAATGAGTAGAACCACTTATCTTTCTTAAACTTACACAATGGCATCTTCATTTGAAATGTTTTAAAGTGACTGGAAGGAATCAAATCCAAAGCAGTGAGGAGCATGTGATTCAGAGTCTTTGTACCTAAAACATAGAGCCCTATTTTTTTTTTAAATATATTACCATCATTTTTATTATTTAATGGATGAGCAGAGAGCGCTGATGGGCGGAGAACAAACTTCGGAGGATTCGGAGCACCCGTATATGTACCAGAGGTTGATACGACATCCGACTTCAATGTTGGCCGTGCAGCAAATGGATTCATACTGGGAGCTGAAAAACATTAAATAAATTATAAAAAAAAATTCAACTTGAAATTTGCAGAATTCTTTGTTGGACATTTCCAGCTTCAAATTTATAGAACTCTCCATACTCTATTTGGGGAAAATTAAAATTAAAAACTAAGAAAGTTGGCCCAAAGTATAGAGCCTGGTCAGATGCTATACTATACTGGTGGAAAAAGGTAATCACTAATGGTTTTAGCAATGTAAATGATATAGAAATTCAAGCTTTGACTAGCGTTCAATGATAAAAATACATTATTTATTTGGTTTTTGTTTGTTTGTTAGGCTTTACCCTGTTTTAAAGAGAATTTTTCATCACATTAAGTCAGTCAGTCTACCATATCAGTTTTCCTAGATAACTAACCAGTAATAACCAATTTCTCCACAAGACACTGACAACTATTAATCCTACATATTTGAGCCGCGTCACGACAAAACCAACATAATGGCTTTGCGACCAGCATGGATCCAGACCAGCCTGCACATCCGCGCAGTCTGATCGGGATCCATGCTGTTTGCTTACAAACCCTATTACAAGCAGAGAAACTGATAGCGAACAGCATGGATCCTGATCAGACTGCGCGGACTGGTCTGGATCCATGCTGGTCGCAAACCCAGTATGTTGGTTTTGTCGTGATGCGGCTCATTTCTGAAATCAGTGGTGAGAGACAAATTACCATAAGACTGAATGTTCAAAACCAATTGTCACAGGGAAATTGTATCTTTCTCAAGGATCGAACCATAGACCTCTACTGTACATTACAAATCTGAGGTGATTGAAGTCTTATCAATACAGTTAGGCAGGGCTGCTGCTTCCATTAATGGAAGTTTGGGAGTCATTTACTCCTTGATTTTGGCTTGTGACTTCCAAAATCTAATACTTTCCTTCTTTACCTTTATAATGTGACTCCAAATATCAAAGATTTTGCAGTCTTTGACTTTCAAATTTCGAAACTTATTGGAAGCCCTGGTTAGGGTCATATTGAGATTTTTCACATTTATTATGGATGGAGAAAACATTCCGTATTCCACTTTGCATTACATGTATTTCAGAAACCTCAACATAACCTAACATAACATCAACCTTTTGAAAACAAGCAGGGTAGATTCCTCTAAGTAAAGAATACAAGATAATATCATGTGCAGTATTCCGCTAGGAACAACTGATCTTTAACTCCAAAATATATGAATATCAATGAAAAAATATATCACCAAAAATAAAACAATGTCTTATTACTGAATATAAAACACAATAATACTTCTTATTAATTGATAATGAGCTAAATAAATATTGTTAACATACCATTTATTGTAGGCACAAACTTGGCAGGTTTAATGGCTTGGTAAGAATCATATGCCGGAGGGTCGTTTGAACTTCCGTTGGTTGCTCCCCCTAGTAACAAAAGAGACAGTGTTAATTATATATTTGCTAACATTTCCCAACAATTTTTCACAGTTCAAAAGGCCATGAAAAAACAACTTTTTACTGGTAATTGGTAGATGGATGCTATACATTTTATCATATGTTAAAAATATATTTTCCATACAAAACTTTGGAAAAAGGTCAGCATTTCAAATTTATATAAAAACAAGCATTTGATAGTATTGCGGGCAATACAGTAGTCCCCTACCGGTCCCTCAAAAAGTTCTTTAATTGTCATACACTCCTGTGTATTGCCATTTATAATGAATTTGAGGATGAAGTCTGTATTTGAAAATATCGACCACAAAACATAATAAAATAAGTTTGTCTATATCACAGTAATGTGTTAAGTTTCCATGCTTAGTAAGGAAATTATGTTTATACAACCTTGTCATATTATTACGATGTGGGATTTTAAAGTAAATCCTATAAGGAATGAAGAAGTTGGAGTGAAAATACTAGTTTCTCGAAAAAAATCTAAGTTCAAGGGGGACATAATTCTGAAAATAGTCTTGCTAGAGTATTTAACCTTCTCAAAAATGTTGAGTGATAATAAGAAACATATATATGAAGTTTTAAGTAGATACATTAGGAAATAAAGAAGTTATTTAAAAAAGACAACATTTTTTCCCCTAAAAAATCTAAGTTCAAGGGAGGTAATACTGATATTTTTTGTGCTAGAGTTATAAACCTTGTCACATATGATGTGGTTGATGATCAGAAACTTATATTTAAAGTTTGAAGTAAACACCTTAAGAAATAAAGAACATATAGTGAAAAAGCTGAAAAATTTAAATCAGAAATCTTGAAATTCAGGTTGCCATAGCAACCAGAATTTTCAACATAAGAAGAAAAGAAAAAGATGTGCATAATCTCCAGACTGCCATCTACCCATATTTCAAGTTTCATAAAAATATTTTCATTACTTTTTGAGTTATCACTGGATCCAGTTTATGTGTTAAATTTGCCATATTTTCAGACTATTTGTTGCCATAGCAACCAGAATTTTCAACATAGGAAGAAAAAAAAAAGATGTGCATAATCTCCATACTGCCATCTATCCATATATCAAGTTTCATAAAAATATTTTCAGTACTTTTTGCGTTATCGCGGGATCCAGTTTTGTGGACGGACGGACTGACGGACTGACAGACTGACAGACAGATGGACAGACAGACAGACGGACAGACGGACGGAGGGTAAACCTAAAGTCCCCTCCGGTTAAACCGGTAGGGGACTAAAAACTATTTACTGCTCAATCTAAGGCACAAATTTTTTTTTATTTTTTTGCTTTTAATTATTCTATTCTAAACACTTAGATGAGTTTCAGTTTGAACTATTAAAGGAACTCCACCCTAAAAACATTAAATTTGAAAATCTTACATGTATAGATTATCTGGGGCACTTAAAATTGAAATATATGCAAAAAATATTTAAGAATCATATTTTCTTTAGCTATTTTGGCCCAATTTGAGTGGAAAACATTGCAACACATCTATATAATACCTGAGGCAGATGAAACTTCAGTCTCCTGTAAGAAAAAGAAAGATTACATAGTGATTAATGAGATTTTTGTAACACTTAACTTTATTACCTAGACTGCAATGCTAGCACTTAACTTCTTTTATGCAAATTAATGTTTGTCAACAAGAATACCAGAAAAGTCTTACTGAAGTACAGTGCACTCCGGATATAACGAGATCGTCGGGAATTCGCATGATTCCTCATTATTACCGGGTCTTGTTATAACAGGAACAGAACAAATTGAGAAATCCAACACCGTCGAACATAATTTATTTCTACATTCGCTTTCGCGTACCCCCTTTTTAAAGAGTACATAAGGGGAGGTAACTTTGCACACAGTAGGCTTTGTTTTAATAAAATATACATGTAAATGAATATATCTAGCTATCATAGAATTTAAACAAAACATATGAAAACCCATACCACGTCAAACCGCGTGTGTTTTTATTAATATGTACATTTTAAATTTATTTTTCCAAAAGTCATGCAATGTATTTCTCACGAGCATCGAATAACAATGCAAACAAGAGGGCCATGATGGCCCTAGATCGCTCACCTGAATTATCAAACTCATCCAAACAATTACCTAGACAAGCATTCTGACCAAGTCTCATGACAGGTGAGTCAAAAATGTGACCACTACAGTGTTAACAAGGATTATCCATATTTGAGCAGTGCGACCTAGTTTTTTACCCAGGTGACACATATTCAAACTTGACCTAGAAATCATCAAAACAAACTTTCAGACCAATTTCCAGGATACTTGGATCAAAACAGTAGCAACTAGAGTGTTAACAAGATTTTTCTATTTTTAGCTCCGGTGACCTAGTTTCACATGCGATTTCGAACTCATCCAAGCAATTACCTAGACAAGCATTCTAACCAAGTTTGATGATAATGGAGTCGAAAATGTGACCACTAGAATGTTAACAAGGTTTTTCCATATTTGGGCGGTGTGACCTAGTTTTTCATCCAAGATGACCCATGTTCGATCTTGACTTAGAAATCATCAAAACAAACTTTCAGACCAATTAACAGAATATTTGGATCACAACAGTAGCCACTAGAGTGTTAACAAGATTTTTCTATTTTTAGCTCCTGTGACCTAGTTTTTCATCCGAGATGTCCATGTTCGATTTATTCCCAGCAATGACCTAGACAAGTTTCCTGACCAAGTTTGATGACAATTGAGTCAAAATTGTGACCACTAGAGTGTTAACAAGGTTTTTCTATTTTTAGCTCCTGTGACCTAGTTTTTCATCCGAGATGACCCATGTTCGAACTCATCCGAGTTATTACCTAGACAAGCATCTTGATCAAGTTTGATGATGATTGATGCAAAAATGTGACCGCTAAAGTGTTAACAAGGTTTTTCTATTTTTAGCTCCGGTGACCTACTTTTTCATCCGAGATGACCCATGTTCGAACTCATCCAAGCTATCAACTAGATAAGCATCCTGACCAAGTTTGATGATGATTGATGCAAAAATGTGACCGCTAGAGTGTTAACAAGGTTTTTCTATTTATAGCTCCGGTGACCTAGTTTTTCATCCGAGATGACCCATATTCGAACTCATCCGAGCTATTATCTAAACAAGCATCCTGACAAAGTTTGATGATGATTGGGTCAAAAATGTGACCACTAGAGTGGTCACAAGGTTTTTCTATTTTTAGCTCCTGTGACCTAGTTTTTCATCAGAGATGACCCATGTTCGAACTCATCCAAGCAATTGACTAGACAAGCATTCCGACCAAGTTTGATGATGATTGGTTCAAAAATGTGACCACTAGAGTGTTCACAAGGTTTTTCTATTTATAGCTCCTGTGACCTACTTTTTCATCCGAGATGACCCATGTTCGAAGTCATCCGAGCTATCACCTAGACAAACATCCTGACCAAGTTTGATGAAGATTGGGTCAAAAATGTGACCTCTAGAGTGTTCACAAGGTTTTTCTATTTTTAGCTCTTGTGACCTAGTTTTTCATCTGAGATGACCCATGTTCGAACTCATCCGAGCTTTCAACTAGATAAGCATCCTGACCAAGTTTGATGATGATTGAGGCAAAAATGCGACCGCTAGAGTGTTCACAAGCAATTGTGGACGGCCGGACGGACGACGGACATTCATCGATCCTAAAAGCTCACCCTGAGCAAGCTCAGGTGAGCTAAAAATTAACCGCTTCCTTTGTGCTAATCACTCAATAAAATTGTTTTGTTATAACATTTCGTCACCTAAAGGACAATTTAGCCTGGAGCTTTGACAAAAACAAGACCGACACATTTGATCGCTAATTGCTCAATAATTTCTTCCTTAGTTCACCTTTGTTCTTGGTCACCATTGTTTTTCTCAAGGTGTCAAACTAATGCAGACAAAGTGACCTCATTAAAATTCTAAAAATTACACACGAGACCTCGAATATATGTACGTTGTAACCAATATCTCGCTAAAACCGATCTTGTTATAAACGATATAAAATGGAAAAAAAATAGAAGGAAAAAGGACGGGAAACAGTAAAATGTACGTTATAAGCGGTACCTCGTTAAAACCGATCTCATTATAAGTGGAGTAGACTGTATTGCATGCAATCCTGCACAGGGTATATTATAATATCCTTCAGTAAAAGACCACTTCTTCGAAATGTAACCAAAATTGTGATAGATTTACTGGAAATAGGTTTTAATGCTTCAAGTTTAAAATGTTTAAAAGAAATGTTTGCTAATTGTTTCTGAGAAATTTTTATGAAAAAGTATTTTATATGAAAAATATACTTTCCGATTATTTATTCAATGAATGTTAAAACTTACATCAGAGGATTCTGGGACAGTCTGGCCAGTATCTGGACACTGTCTAGCACTCTGAGTTTCTGAAGTGACGATAATAAAATTACAAAGTTTAAAGATAAACAAGTTAGTCAAAGGATAATTAATCTTAGTGTTAACAAAGACAGTATTTTGGTGTTTTTCTGGCTCACGAATTCACCTGTCCACAGACAAGTGCATTGAGAAAGTCTATATTTGTCCAAAGGTACAGTCATATTCAGTCAGAAGAGATATGTTTGTTATATGTAAACAAATTATTTTGCCATGGCAATTGAAATTGAAAAAACTAGAAATGTGTCCATAGGACACGGATGCCCCCACACGCCACTGTTCTGTCAATCTTATGACTCTGGGTCAAATATTTTTTGGACTACATGTGCCACAAGTTGAAAACTAAAAATCAACAAAGGGCCATAATTCTGTTAAATTTGGTCGCAGCAAAAATTCCTACCTTTACTACCATCTACACATTAAGGTTGTTAATCCCTGGAAGTTTAAGCAAAATCTGCCATCCGGTTTAAGGGGAGTTGCGTTCACAAAATTTGTACATAGTATATAATGAAAAAAACAACAAAGGGCCATAATTCTGTTAAATATGGTTGCAGCGAAAATTCCTTCCTTTACTGCCATCTACACATAAAGGTTGTTCATCCTTGGAAGTTTAAGCAAAATCTGCCATCCGGTTTAAGAGGAGTTGCATTCACAAAATTTCTATATAATATATAGTGAAAAAATCAACAAAGGGCCATAATTCTGTAAAATTTGGTCGCAGCAAAAATTCCTTCCTTTACTATCTTCTTCACCTTAAGGTTGTTCATCCCTGTAAGTTAAAGCAAAATCTGCCATGCGGTTTAAGAGGAGTTGCGTTCACAAAATTTCTACATAGTATATAGTGAAAAAATCAACAAAGGGCCATAATTCTGTTAAATTTGGTCGCAGCAAAAATTCCTTCCTTTACTACCATCTACACATTAAGGTTGTTCATCCCTGTAAGTTTAAGCAAAATCTGCCATCCGGTTTAAGAGGAGTTGCGTTCACAAAATTTCTACATAGTATATAGTGAAAAAATCAACAAAGGGCCATAATTCTGTTAAATTTGGTCGCAGCAAAAATTCCTTCCTTTACTACCATCTACACATTAAGGTTGTTCATCCCTGTAAGTTTAAGCAAAATCTGCCATCCGGTTTAAGAGGAGTTGCGTTCACAAGATTTCGGGACGTACGGACGGACGGACTGACGGACGGACGGACAAGTGCAACGCTATATGCTCCCACATTGTGGGGGCATAAAAATCCATGGCATGTGCAACTGAAAATAATACAAATTTTGCAATGGAAACTTAAACTGGAAAATTGAAAATATCATAAACAAATTAAAATAAAGTAATGAGAATTTCTGCAAAACAGCTAAAAAGCTGTTGTTAAGAATCATATGGGTTTACAGTGTTTTTTTTCCATGTAAATATTCGGCGAAATTCGGCCCCATTCCCCCCTCAAAATAGTATGTTTTTCCCCCCCTCAAAGCCTAAATTTCCCCCTATATGGCAGCCCAAATTTGCCTGCAATAAATATCATATTTTTTGCAACTAACTGCCGAAAAATGTTTTATTAAATGCACGTAAGACTTACTGTTAAGCAAGGTTGTTTACAAATCATTCTCTGGTAGGTAAGGGGAGCTACTCCCGGCGTCCCAACAAGTATAACATGCGACGCATTGATATTTTAGATCCGTATGCAGGGCTCACACTGGCTCAAATAAAATAATAGCCAATAATTTCAACTTAAAAAAAATAATAGCCAAAAGTTCAGCGGACTATTCACGAATTAGCGATTAACAACATAAGCAGTTGATTAAATAAACATTACATTTATATCTTTCAGTTTTATAAGGATTCTCAAATAAACTATTACATTTGTGTATATTGATAACTACCTTTTTTTAAATAGAACCTCAACTTTAATTGTTATTATAGAACAGAATAAAAACGTTATAATTAGTATAATTAATGTATAACAATAATATAAAAGATTCATTATAACTTTATATAATGCTGTTATCAGACAACTTTTTTTTGTTTGTTCTAATCAAATTTTGTCAGCTATAACCACTTTCAATTTCCACATTTCACACAGAACTGGAGTAGATCTAGGTCATATTAGCCTACAGAAATAACACAAGTTTGCAAACTCATTCACAGAATGCAGCCTTTTTTCTGAATAATTTACTGAAAAATATCATCATCACCAATGTAATACAAATTTTCTGCCATAGTAGTAAAGATTTTTAAACAGAACATAGCTTATTTCACCTTTAAATAAATATCAAAATTATCAGTGTCGCGAAAATATGTGACAATCGGATTTTTCCTGTTTTCTGAAGAAATATTCACAATTTTGGTTGTTGTGCAAATAGTTGTTTGGAATTTAATACTTTTTAAATATTTCACCATTGTTTTCACTGGCGATTTAGTCAAGTAGCTTAAAAAAAAAAAAAATCAAAATTTGCAATAATTTACTGGAATTCACGGTAAATTTTGAGTAAGTCAATATCCAGTTTATTAATTTTAAAACGATTTTTTGTGGCTAATTGACGGATATTTGATGGCTATTATAAATGCTGGACAATATCTTTAAAGTACTTATACAATTATACATCTCGCATGTATTTTATCACCTCGGGCAATATAGTTAGCAGCACGTGACCGGTAAAAAGTTGACACTCAATTAAATGCACCCCGCTGGTGTTAATTGGGTCTACTGCATTCATTATCGATTTTTACACCTTATATAAACACTGTTGGAAGTAAAAAATAATCGCCAGATTTTGTAGCCAAAATGCAAAAATAATCGCCAATGGCGACTATGGCGACCGACAGCGTGAGCCCTGCGTATGTTAAGAAAAAGAGACGTATTTTAAACTTGCGTTGCAAGAGTTGCTCCCCTTTTCCACCGCAAAGAAAACAATATAAAATAAGTAAACAAATAAAATTCCCCCTCCTATTGCATTTTTCCCCCTCCAAAGGGCACTGACCCCCTTCCCCCAAAAGTGAAAAAAAACACTGGTTTAAGATAAGTGAGATATACAATGAGAACTGATTACCTAAGATAAATATCATCTTTTTCCATTTTGTTTAAATACCATTGTACTATTAGAGATAGATTATTATCATTAGAATGAATTGATAGTTATAACATTTAATTTCAAATATGAGATCACAAAACAGACTTACATATGTATATTCATATATAGTGGCATTTTCTTAACTTTGCAGTCTCTGAAATTATGCACACGTGTTGCTGCATGATCATGACATGATTGGCTATGATTTAAAATGTATTAGCATTTTATTGCCTTTAATCTGTTAATTTTTAGTTCATTGATCACTTCCTGCTTTACTCAAGATTACAAGTCAATTCAGTCTTATTCATATTGCTTACTATATGAATATGTTTAACTTAACAGTGGGTTTATTAAAATCCGCAAAATGACAGCGAAATCTATCCTAAAATTTCCACACCAGAAAATATTTTCATAAAAGAGTCATACCCCACCCACTAAAAAAAACATTGAGTAAATTTATTGTTTAATGGACGACGTGACATGAGGTTTTGTTAATATTGTAACGCAGCCTTCTTGTACATGAAGGCGTTACAGAATGTAATAACTCGATATATTTGTTAATTGTGAAGAAATAGCAAGAATGTTGCTTATAATTGACATATTTCGCGCTCACCCGTACCTGAGTCGGCCATCTTTGAATATTATCCGATTATCACGTGACCGAGCTAAAAATAAAACGTAAACAAATCCAACACGTGGTTTTGTTGATAATTTAAATGTCTAAATATGAGATTATATCTGTGTAAACACTGATCAACAGCTACATGGAAGATGTGAATGTTTAATTGAAACAATTTTCACAGTAATGGTCTAGAATTTTTAAAGGGGTTATACAGCCAAGCAAAAATGTCTTTTTTTGATGTTATCACAGACTTTAATTGACAATAATTGTAATATAAATCCGTGTACCAATATAACAATTAGCAGTAAATATTTTTGACTAAGTCAAACTAAAAACAATATAAGTAGTCTTGCTTGTGCACTAAAAGTACACATATTTAAGTGCACTACAAAGGCGCATTAAAGTGCACACCCTGCAAGTGCATTTTGTGTAACCTTTAGTGTGAACTCAACTATACATGTACTACTAGTTATAAAGATTTTTGACAGGTTAGATGGCCCTATATAAACAGTTGTTTGGAAATATAACCAAAGCTGCTAGGCGTCAGGGTTATATCACAAACAAGCATTAATATACGGCCATAAATTATAACCTTTCAGAAATATTTATAACAAATTTATAATATAGCAAGCATCATTTTTTAAGAGAAAAAAATAAGTATTCTCCATAAATCAACAGCAGCGGTGTATTTAAAACTATATAATCATCACGATTATCCAATGAAAAGCGGCGTTACAAACGTGCAGTATTATAAGTACATTTATATAGTATCACTTACTTCATTTACTTTAATTCTTGTATAATATCTAGAACGACAGGTATAAAACCCATGCAGACACCTCACTAGACTGTATACTTAATTAAGTTAAACATTGGAAATTGCCTTTGACAAAGTTTTGAATATTGCTTCTTTCATGAATGACAAAACATTACAAAACCTTATATATAATTATTAAACCTGGTTTCTGTGATGAAAAAGGTGTAAATTGGGGAATTATGTATATATACATTGTATATATGTCTAGTGGATTATAAATAAGTTCGATCCTAACAGTATTTTAGTCATATACAGACATGAAGTTTTACTGTAAAACATATCAAATTTTGCTTGACTGTCAGAGACAAATTCTTAACAACCCTTATAAATCATGCTCTAGTCCACTCCAAGAACTGACAAATTCTGATTTTGTATTGAAACACAGATGTTTCCAAAGAAGGACTCAAACCCATCAATCCACAGTTGAAAAATACGGCTCCTCTTCCGTTTTTATTTCTAGTTGAAATGATATGTTATTAAATGCCAGTAACTCATATAGATCTCAGGCACAATATTTCCATCCTTGCATTTTAATGAGAATATGTCTAAAAGATTTTACAAGATAATGTAAATATATACATATAATAGTAGGAAATGTGACTGCAAGAAAGAACTTTAATGCTTTAATGCATGGATTTCTCATGTACAAAATGATTAATAAAGGCAATACATTTTTTTGTACTAACCAGAAAATGTAAGTACTTAAAAAGTGAAATGGATTTGACGTGTTTGAACAATCAGTTTGAAGTTTAAGGGATTTTAATATGTAAATACAAGAATTTAGCAACCAGCAGTCTGGCAAAGATTAATCACTTTCAGTTACAGCTGTTTAGACTTGCAATTAAAGAATTTCTATTCATATAATTCTGTGCCAGTTGCATGTTCAGTGGTTGCTCAAAATACTTTTAACAATTGACTTGTACAAAAAATCTAGCAATAACACAATGATCTCTTCAGAAAAATATTATCAACTGTTATCTTGTTCATACAACATAGTGTGATAAAAATTGATGTGCAAGCTGGAAATTCAGGCTGGCCTGGCTACTGGCAAATGGACTGAAATGGCAATCACTTATGGCAATCACTTTCCGTTCCAGCAGGCCAAGGAGAGATGCATCTGAATCTTTGTGTTTCAAATTTTAAATATTTGTAAAGACTGATTTACCTAGAATACGGCTCTATGGTATCAGTAGATGTGTCAGATAACTGTTGTTTGCAATGAGTCCGTCTAGCCTTTTTTTATCCACAAATTGTCAAAAATCGTTACTTCTCTAAATCGCACCAAACACTTTTTAACTTTAAATTTAAGAGCAAAACAGTTTTTGATGTCTTATATTTAAGTGTTAGTATCTCAATAGAATAGGAGCGGCGGCCTAGTAGTTAAAGTGTCAGCCTCTCATGGATTCGAGCCTCATTGGGTCAAGCCCATGTTTCTTCATATTAAAACCAGTTCTGGTTAAGTTCCAGACAGCAGACTCGAAAGCGAATAATATATGTTGCAAGAACTTTTTTCACAATGAAGCTTAAATCAATATGTTTAAAGTAAACAACTTTTTAGATTTTTACTCATACAATAAACAAGAAGGGGCTAAAGATGTGAAATAACAAAATATCATATCTTTATTTTTTCATTTCTTTATTTTGATCACTGCAGTTCATGGTTCATAACAAATATAAAATTAACAAGGACAATGAATACATTTAAGCTTGAAATAACAACATGATCAATGTAACAAAATACAATTGGGGTATAATGATAGTATCTTGGTCTGGGACTAATATTCTGCTAGTCAAGTTTACCACATGACGAGAAGCTGAATGCGATTCAACCAACCAAACATTACCAATGGGAGAAAAATACAAGTTAAAGGTCATGACATTTTTCATGGTAAGTAAATACTTTATTCCACACATGATCATATCTAACTTTATATGAAACTGTATAACAATAAAAGTGACTCCAGAATATCAGCTTTATACTTGTATACATGTATGATTCTCCTTTCTGCCAGGTTTGTTTTTCAAATAATACAAGTACATGTATATCATGTGACAGAAAATTTGCAGGTTATTGGGAAAAAAAATGAAATAACAGGATAATTATCATCATGCTACAATGTACAATTGAAGTGTTTTATTCCTCAATAAATAATCATGAGTATCGAATAACAAATTGAGCAATGAAATGGAATAAAGCTACCGGTTGACAGTACAAATGTTGCTACATGTTGTTCCAAATTTTGTTTTTTTAATGTAAAGAAGAGAAAAACATTTAAAGAAAACGTAATGAATTTCACTTAAAAATGGTTGCAATCAAAACTGGTGAAAATATCATGGAATGTTTAATAAATGATGCTGAAAGGTATGACAAGTATTTTGGTTCATTCAATAGTTAAACAAAAACTATTTTCATAAAAGAGCTGAAAAAGATTTATGTGCATAAATTTTGATCTGTTCCATCAATGTAATCAAATTTCATACAGCTATTTTTAAGATCAAGCAATAAATTCAGTATATGTCAAATCTATGAAGCTGTGAAGATATAGAAATGTTTGATGGATGCCAAGTAAAACCATGGAAACTAAACCCTTTAGACTAATTAGTCTCAATAAAGAAAGAAAATAAAATAACAAAGTCAAAACAAAATAAAGACAGCAAATGAGAACATGAAATAAGAACATATAAAGTACATTAATTTCTAACTTTTACAGACTAGAAAAGTGCTCATAAAATTTAAGTTTGGATTTGATTTTGGCCCCAACAAGCTATAAGCAAAGGTTTTGAAATACAATTATCAACTTTCATTTTTTTCCCCCACAGTGACATATTAATGCTAAAATATCTACTTTTTGACAGTTGTAAATTCAGACAGACCTATAACAATAAGTTTATAAGTGTTGGCTACTTTGTTAAAGCAAAAATACACATGGAATCCGCTATTCACAATACAAAATTCATCTTTGAAAAAACACTAACAGTAGCTAAATGGATACTGTTTTTATTTTTTCATAATTATCAAAATTAATACTCTTCTGTACATTTAACAAATCCATCTTAAAATCCGCCCTATATCAAAAATCTGGAAACAAAGTGATCCCTCGGAAGCATTAATCACAAGAAAATAACAAGAGAGTTGCAGACTCGGTTTGATTGAGTCTGTACATTAGGGATAATGAATATGTGCAACATCCCTCGCGCCCCCTAGCACCGGCTTGAGCGGTACTCAATTCTCAACACTTAGTAGTGCTGGCATCAATGATCCCGAAGGACCAGAAAAATATAACAACACTGAAATGAAGTACGGGGCAACTTTTTACAGGTGCCACACAGCACTTGACACCTGCTGTTGTGAAGTATATAAATCAAGAACAAAAATAATGATCTCACAGAAGTGATTCAAGACAACGAGATTCAAGAATACTTATATTAATATAATATAAATATAACAGAGATGTCATCTGCAACTTGGCCAATGTGGGGTTTACCCCATCTTATCCTTCGGTACAAATAAACTTTAATATTAAAACTTCACAGGAAACTATCTTTCATAAGAGAGTTATCTTCGCATTGTGCTTATTATCGCTTTCACCAAGTTGTAACTCTAAATGTTTCTTTGTATCCAAGGGATTATATAGGAAAAAGCCCACATTTGCCGAGTTCCATGGTATTTCTATTCTAGCATTATATTCCCAATTCCTTGTTCGTCGAAATCAAAGCACTTTAAACATGACATAAACTTCATCGTCAACATTACATAATATGCACCAAAATAATACTGCAGCTGCTTCATTCTAAGGTCTTCCAAAAGTAATGATGGAAGATGAAAATAGTTATAGTAAAATAAATATCTTGGTGTATGTACAAAACACCTCCCGAAAATCAGCTGACAAAAATATAGAGGGTATTTAAGTTATTTTTCTATAAATCCTGGATTTATTTTCATTGAGTGGTATGAAAATAAATATTTCATGAGTGGCGGAATATAATAAACACATATTCTTTTAAATTGAATCTAAAGTGTATTGAAATATCATTATAAAATTCATAAATGGTAAAATTATGTTGTTTCCATACTCATAAGGTCGATTCTTAATAGAGATGTAACATACAATGTGTCTGGCATTTATTACACATAGACAAAATAAAATGTTATCTTGAACAAAATATTACTTTGCCATTCTAAGTAGGCTTTTAACAGTTCAGTGCATGTCCCATTTGCTGTAAAGGAAATAAACAAACATATATGTGTATACTGGCGCCTCATATTTCCGTGGTACCCATATTTCCAAGGTATTAGGCTTAAACAGTCCAAAGTGCCTTCTAGACTTCATGAACCTGCCAGTAGTTTTACCTTTACTATTTTATTGTATTTTTATAGAAATATTACATATACGACTGGAAAAAAATATTCTTTTTATTCAGATTAAGAGCAAAGTAATTTATTTCACCATTTTACTTTTAGATTTCATACCTTTTAAGACAAATGTCTTTGTTAAACAACCATTGAGATATTTGATAAATGCCAAAGAGAAAATCCCCACATTCAGACAAGCCTAGGTATAGGTGTACTAAAAAATAAATATTACTATTGGGTTTGCTTTTGAAACTATTAAAATGTAATTGCCTTGGAAATATGAGAACACAACTTTACTCACTAGGCAGCAGATGGGTGTTAATTACAATGCTGTACACATAATTGCTTACATGCACACATTAAATGGAATAAACTATGAGGCAACTGACATGTCTATCCTACAATATTCAATGTATTTTTCAGAATTTTATCCTTTTAACTTTTATTGTCTGTGTTAAACAGTTAAGTACCTCGGAAATATGAGGCACCAGTATATATCTTACACAAAAATTTTGGGGATTATACTTTTATCAAAATTCAAGCAATAATTTTCTTTACTACAGTACCGGCATCAGATATAGAGTTTTATACACTTAAAAACCTTTGTTATTTTGATGTTTTCCCTCCAATTTATAAGTGTACATTAATGTTTATGAAAAATTCGAAAAAACTGACAAAAAACTGAACTGAATAAATTAGCTCAGTGCTATCACAAGTTTGAAATGCCATGTAAATAATCACTAGAACAACATATGAAAATACATGTAAGATAACAAACATTTTTTTCTCCATTTTTTTTTTCTTTTCTTTGACTCAATGTAAAATATATGACACAAATTTCTACCATGATTTTTTTATATCTATGACATATGGAAAAAAAATCAAAATCCATACTACATGTATATATTTCCTACTTTAAAACAAGAGCACCGCATGCGATGTTAACACTTGTCTTTTTAAATACTCACTTTTGGCAAAAATTCGTAGTAAAAAAAGGGGCATAACTTAAAAAATATAGCTTTATACCCCTTTTTACCCAGAATTATACCCCTTTGTCTTACAACTGCACCTTGTCAAAATAAGCAAGTATTACGAGTTTCATTTTGATAAATTTTAAAATATTTGAATAATGGGCTACATTAAATGACATTGCAAGACAACAACAACAACAACAATGCAGCTATCATAATAGCTTGACTTTTTCTTGGAAACAGACAAACTAAAAAATAACATAGTTTTTACAAAACAAAACATAATCAAATAATTCATGTAAAACAGCTACCTTCAGAAATTTTATTTTTGTACTTTTTAAATATACTAAAATAGGATAAAAAATATTCTCCATATTTTTTTTCAGTCCAATTCAACAGTCCTTAAAGCATCTTCGTCAAACATTTCGCATGTTGCTATGGCACCATCATTAAACCGGAATGAGCAACCACCATCTAGTACGAGACAGGCATCCCACATTCGTGATGAGATCTGGATTCTGTAAAATAAAACACCCTTACTGTACAATGTCTCCCTTGATTGTAATAATCAACAGGCTTAATCAAAGAGAGTCTGCAAATCTGTTTTTGTTTTCATTGCCCTTTAGGGATCTTCATTGGAGTAGAAGAAAACTTAACAGCCATGTTTAAAACATGGCATCAAAATCAAACAAAATTATCCCTTAAAACCTTACCAGTATAACAAATGTGTATGCTGAATAATAGCTTGTATTTGCTTTAACCAGAATATTATCTTTTTCAGGCAACAAAAAAGTGATTTTTTTTATTACTGAGATTCTTACAACAATATTGCCATTGCAAGCCAACAGCAATGTAAAAAGACTTATTCTACCTGACTCTTTACTGTTTGTGGCTGAGTTTCAATTCCTTAAATATCTTAAGTACAAAACATCATTCATTGCACTAATAAATTCAACAAAATATTTATTAAAAAAGCTTACTTCTTTGCTTTCCCTCTTGAGGATGGAACATTGAAAACACCTGAAATATCAAATGGACAGTGGCTATTTTTTCAATACAAGTATTTAGTTTTACTTCATAAGTAAAGTAATACATTAAAAATCTGCCAAACTGTTGAGGAGACAATGTTTTAAACTTAATTTTTTAACTCTGGTAGCCATCTTGTTCAGGAGACTGGAACAATTTTGGCAACTTTGTAAGGATACAGCTGAAAAGATGTTGGTTAAAGCTTCTTTTTTTTAAGCCTTGATTAAGCCCATCCTGTCTGATAGACCAGACAGATTTTGGCAAGTTTTGTAAAACATCACCCAATGATCATTCTTATAGACTTTCAACAATATCTAAAAAGTAGGCCTAGTTGAGGACAAAATGTTGTTTAAAGCTTATTTCTATTTTTAGCTCTGAAGACCATTTTGCTTAACTGATTGGAACAATTCATGCAATTTACACAAAGCCCTTGAAGGGACTTCCTAAAAACCTAAAAAAAATCTACTTAGTGGTTAACAAGACGATATCATTTATTTCTATTCTTAGTTTCCGGTTGCCATCTTGTTTAACAGATCAGAACAATTTTAGCAATTTCACCTTATACTGATTCCTACAGATTTTCATTAAATCTATCTGCAGGTGGAGGTGGAAATGTCATTTCAAGATAATGTTTTAAGCGCTAGTGGATATCTTTGAGTTATTTTATAGCTGATCAACTATTGCCCCACAACTATTGGCCAAGAGTTTTATGAGGAGATCTTGTTTTAGAAAAATATAAGGAAAGCTTAATGTGAATATGTTGTGCTTAGGTGAGTTAAAAAGCTAAAAATAGCCAATTATAACTTCAAGCAAGTCTAAGACTTTTCCATTTTATTTATCACAAGTTTTTTCCATTTTTCTCTTTCTCAGAAAAAATATGCATCATTTTTGAGACAAGAAAATGTAACATTTAAAAAGTATGAACAAGGGGGATATCAATTTACACATGAGTCTGATTAAAATCTTACCATTATTTACTGGGTCCCTAACTGTGTAGCCCATGTATGATTCATTGGGGTCAAAAATCAAGGAATTATTGAACTTGTCTGTTACAGATTGTACGAAATATGCATCCTCTGTTGGAAATGATACTGTGCCCTGTGAGTTTGCTGAAAAATGAAATGATATACTATATTGAAAAAAAGTGCCCCATGAGAAGAAAAAGAAATTCACACACTGCAGTCTAAATAACTACAGCTTAAAATATATAATTCAGATGAAACATAATGTATACAGTTACAAGACAAAAGCTTCATTTTAACATCAATTTAGCTAATGTGAAACAATTTGAAAATATTTCCTTCATACATTCAACAACAAATGAGAGTTAAAATAAACTACATGTACAACAGTGACATAATGCCACTAAACTGAACACAAGCCTGAATAATGACTTACTACCAGTTATAGTCTGCATATCTATGTAATCTAATCAGACTAATAATATACTGTAAGCCACTCACTTTAAGTACTTTAATTCTGAAATCCATAATAATTACAAAAGACATTTCCAAAATTCAAAACGGGGCAATGTAGCAGGTAACTATTCAGTGTGACAATCAATGTATCTAATGGATCTTACTAAGTAAATACAGTTAACAGTGTACGTCTATTCCAAATGAATTATTTATTATAGAAACCAACCTATTCTTAGAATGTCTTGGACCGACTCGGAGGGTATTTTGTTGATATGAAAATGCCATGATGTTGACCCTGTACCTGTACATACTGTGACCCCAGAACTCTTCTGCTTACTACCAGGTTGATCATCAATACTTAACTCATAGTAAGACACCCTGTAAATATACATACATTTATACTAATAACACAAGCCATGTTCCTATTTGCTTAAACTATTTTCACTTTAGCTCAATTTTGACCATAGCTATGAGTTTATTTAAAATGTGTAGACCATTTTCATACAAAAACTTATTCTACTAGTATATGAAATCCGGATAACATGAAAAAGTCACAGCTCTTGTACAATGCCTTTTTTCTCAAATGAAATTTAAACACTAATTTCTTACAGCACGTTTAAATATACAAGAAAGATGTTGGCAAAGCAGACTTAAATCATACATCAAAGTGGTAAAATTACCTAGATGAAAGACATTCTCCAAAAAACACTTCATTCAATGCTTTTACAGGTAATACTCTGGTATGAGTGTGACCTTTGACATATAAAGATCGAGTGCAGATCTCGTTCTCGGCCACATGTTCCGTGTACCGATGTTCAAGATAATGAAGCTGCTGGTCCGATAATTCTATAGGGTCGTCATTGGCATGGTAACCGGATATTGTGATGCGTATTCGCTGCCGCCATAACCATCTGTAAGATTAAGAATATATATCCTGGAAGGTATTGTAACTTGATTTCTGACTTCTCAACCTTTATGTCTTCAGTGTTAACACTTTTATTATTTATTTTCACTATATTATTTAAAATTGTATCAGCTTGTTAACTTTTCAACCAGGAACGATGCGATGGCTGAACTGTGCGCTGGTTAATTCAATATGGCTTACTGCCGTGATCCAGACTCAAAACTACCAATACAACCACCATAAAATAAACAATGTCATGTAAAATGATTTTTTACTCAGTATTACTCAATTGGTATTAAATTAAAGTTTCCATACCTAAAGTCACCGGTCAGAAGTTTCTGTAAAATAGTATCAAAGTTGGCAGCAGAGTATTCATCTTTTGACAAACACAGTCGACCTTCAGATCTGTAAATAAAATCAATATTTTCATTGCATTAAAATAAAGTTGTTAACATACTGCCTATCCACTGACCATTTTTGAAGACGAAATCTGAAATAAGCATTTTGACTTGATATTGGTGTCTGATAATGATAAAATTACTCAGTCAGGTGTAATTCATACTTCATTTAGTGATCATAGCTTAATATTTTGTACAAGAAAAGTCAGTAAAATTCCTCTTTGTTTTCATAACAATGTCACTTTAAGATCTTTGAAAAATTATAACAAAGATGACTTTCAAGCTAGTCTTCTAGATACTGACTGGTCTCCTGTTTTGCTAAGTGATGATGTAATTGATGCCTGGAATATATTTAAACAGTTACTTTTATCTGTGATAGACAATATAGCACCTGTGAAACAGACCAGAATTAAACAGAGAACAGAACCATGGATTGACTCAGACATTCTTAGTGTAATTAATGAAAGGGATAAAGCTTTTAATAAATATAAATGTGATAGAAACTGTGATAATTATGATTCATTTAAGACTCTCAAGAACAAAGTTCAGTATCTTGTTGCCAAAGCAAAAAAGGAATATTTTACTTAAACACTGGATGAGAACAAAAATGACTCAACCTCTTTATGGAAAACTGTTAAAAATCTTGGTTTGCCTTCCAAGAAGGGTTCATCTTCAACCAGTTCAAATTTGTTTAAATATTGATGATAATGTGTGTTTTGAAAAGAAACCTATTGCTGAATCATTTAACAAATTTTATACAACAGTTGCATGTAAACTTGTTGAAAAGTTGCCAGAAAGTATGCATAAATTTGGTACGAATTTTGTTAATACTTTTTATGCAAACAAGGGTGTTTTTGCAAACAGTTTTTCTTTTTCCATTGTTTCTGAAAGTAAAGTTCTTAAATACTTAACTTCATTAGGTGTCAAAAAAGCTACTGGCTTAGATGGTATACCCTCACGTTTTATCAGAGATGGATCCCCAGTTATTGCTAGTCCATTAGCTCATATCATAAACTTATCCCTTATCCAAGGTCAAGTCCCTGATGATCTTAAATCTGCAAGAGTTGTTCTCCTCTATAAAAAGAACGACAAATTGTCTGTTGGTAATTACCGGCCTGTGTCCATTTTAAATGTTGTATCTAAAATCCTTGAAAAGGTGGTTTATGACCAGGTTGAAGCTTATTTTAAGGATAAAGATCTGCTGTATAAATTTCAATCAGGTTTCAGGAGTGGCTTCTCTACTGATACTTGTCTGATTCACCTTACAGACTTCATCAGGTATGAAAATGATAAAGGTAATGTTGTTGGTATGGTGCTGCTGGATTTGCAGAAAGCGTTTGACACAGTCGACCATTCCATTCTTTTAATGAAACTGCAAGCATCAGGTCTTAGCATTGACGTCCTAAATTGGTTCAAATCATATTTATCAGATAGACAGCAGCTTGTAGATGTCTCTGGTACTTATTCTTCCAATTCCAAAATAACATGTGGTGTTCCTCAGGGCTCAATCCTTGGACCCCTTCTCTTTTTAATTTATGTAAATGATATGTCAGCTGTGGTCAAAAATAAATTGCTTTTGTATGCTGATGATTCTGGTATCCTTGTATCTGGTAAAAGTTTATCTGTTGTTGAAAAGGCATTGACAGATGATATGGAATTGGTCAGCCAATGGTTAGTGGACAATAAGTTATCATTGCATTTGGGTAAAACCGAGTCAATTTTATTTGGGTCCAGGCAAAAACTTAGGTCACAATCTAACCTGCATATAACCTGTTCTGGTACATCCATTGAATCAACTTCATCTATCAAGTATCTTGGGATTACTATAGACCAAAATCTGTCATTTTGCGCCATGGCCGAGTCTGTTCTTAAGAAGGCCAACTCTCGGTTAAAATTTCTTTACCGCAAGAAAGAGTTTCTTACTCAGCATACCAAGAAACTTCTGGTTATGTCTCTTATTCAGTGTCACTATGATTACGCATGCTCTGTTTGGTATAATAGCTTGACACAGTCTTTAAAAAATAAGTTACAAACTTGTCAAAACAAAATAATGAGATTTGTACTTGACTTGGACTCTAGAGCCCACATTGACCCATCCCACTTTAAGTCCCTTAACTGGTTACTGGTCCACAAAAGAGTTGAACAGATAATGTTGTGTCATGTTTTTAAGATAAAAAATGGCCTGTCTCCGGATTACATGTCTGAACACTTTGTTTCACAAGATTCCATTCATAATTATAGTACAAGACTTAGTCAAAAGGGTGGATATTGTCTACCTAAGGTCAAAGGCCAGGGTTCTAAATCATTTGCTTTCTCTGGTATTAAATTATGGAATGATTTACCTGTAAAGTTAACGGAGATCAACAGGTTACAAAGTTTTAAGGTTGCCATCAAAAGTCATCTTATGAACAGTATTTAAATTTTTTTTTTAAACATGTTTTTACATATTTCGGCTCAGGATTTTAAATTGTCTTCTATTTATCTTATTACAATTTTAGTAATGTGTTTTAAATCCTAGCTGTAAACAGGAGTATCATTAACTCAAGATTTGACTGTGATATACATTTTTATGATTTATTAGTATTTTTAAACATGATCATATTAAGGTTTGCCTCTCTATGTCATGCCGCCAATACAAAGGACCACAATGGAAATAAGAGCTTTTTTGCCCTTTTTTGTGTTATCCTTGGTTTTGGTGAGCATGTCATAGTTTTACTCGTATGTGATATAGTATTTAATAATGCTCATTATTTTATCCTATGTTATATTGTCAACTATGTATATGCTTCCTTTGCCGAAATAAATCTATCTATCTATCATACTTCTGGCCACACCTCATATATTAACATCCATAGTATTCAAATGCACTTACAAAATAAAGCACCATATCATTACACTCATGTATACTTTCATATATATAATATTTCCATTAATTTTTATTTCACTATATAATAAAGTTTATACATCTAATTATGTGACACATTTCTTATCATCTTTAATATTTTGAATTGACTTAACTTTAACTTTAACAACTTTTTTGTCATGGTTTATCACATTATGATTATAATTATAAGTCTACCACTGTTTATCACCTAATAATCTATCAAATTTCAGGTATCCATAAATAAAACCTACATTGTAAGTTACTTAGTTTTCAAGCTTTATTCTTATAAAATCAGTTTAAAAAACAAGAGGGCCATGATGGCCCTGAAGTTGCTCACCTCTATATATAGGCCCCTGGAGCGGGGCCAGTTTAAACCCCAGGGCTTTTATTTGAACAAACTTGGTAGACACCTATTAGAAGATGTTTCATGCTAAACATCTAAGGTCTAGCTTGTTGGGTTTTTTAAAAGAAAATTATTTAAGTTTTTTCTTTACACATATAGTTAAAAACAATGACACCCTTGACCCCAGGGCTTTTATTTGAACAATCTTTGTAGACACTCACTAGAAGATGATTCATGCTTAGTATCTAAACTCTAGCTATTTGAGTTTTTTCAAAGAAGATTTTTTAAGTTTTTGCTTTACACATATAAGGAAAATGAATGACCCCCAGGGTTTGGCCAATTTTGTCCCCAGGGCTCTTATTTGAACAAACTTGGTAGACATCCATTAAAACAAGTTTCATGCTAAATATCTTAGCTCTAGCTCTTTGGGTTCTTTAAAAGAAGATTTTTAAGTTTTTACTATATGCATATAGGGAAAATCAATGACCCCCTAGGGCGGGGCCAATTTTGACCCCAGGGCTTTTATTTGAACAAACTTGGTAGACACTCACTAGAAGATGTTTCATGCCAAATATCTAAGCTCTAGCTCTTTGGGTTTCTTAGAAGAAGATATTTAAAGTTTTTTTCTTTTGGTTGCCATGGCAACCAGAGTTCTGCATGGAATTATATTCTTTGAACAATTTTCAAAGGTGACCACCAAAGGAACATTCCTGTGAAGTTTGGATGAAATTGGCTACTAGTGGTTTATGAGGATATGTCATTTAAAGTAAAAGTTAATGGACGCCAGACGGATGCCGGACGAAAAGCGATCACAAAAGCTCACCCTGTCACTTTGTGACAGATGAGCTAGAAAACAAACGCTTTTCTTCAGCTTTAGACGTTTCGTCTTCGTCAGAATAAATTCAAGCTTTATTCTAAAAGTTTGCACTTAGTTAAAAAAATTACATTCCTAAATCCCGATTTTTTTTACCAGTTTTTACCTTTTAGGGTCTGTATTAACACCTATAATAGGTTTATCTCTATTGTGGATTTTGGACGCAGCATCCAGGAATGTCCCATCTCCTCCAGCAGTAAAAACCGCATCGGCCCAGTCCAATATCTCATTTGTGAACTGTGGCCGTTTAACTACTTTAGTTTCTATACCACTGGCCCTGTAAGACACGATCAATATATCATGTATCCTTACGAGTATTTTGCCTCCAATATGGAAACATGGTTTATTATCAATAATCTGGAATATTGTAAGGTATAAACTGTACAGGTAAAAATCTGTAAACTGTACCAGCAACTGATTTCATTCCTTCAATGTTATGGTTTGATACATAGAAAAATGTTTTGTTTCCTTTTTTAGTGAAAATGGAATATATCTTACAAAGAAGCGAGAATTTTCAAGAGTTTAAAGGAACTCAGATGAAGTCCAAAAGCCTAAAAATAAATAATTTGAATTTCTTAAATAGATCTGCTTAGACACTAAAACAGAATGATATGCAAAAGGTAATTAAAAAATATATGCTGAAATAACTAAAATTCAAATTGTTTATGCTTTTTAGCCCAATTTGATTGAAAAGCATTGCAACTCTTTTCAATTTCAGGTCATTTTTCACAATTAGAATAATTATTCTGGATAAACAGAATGAGCAAATGATTTGGAATTTTGCACAAATGTTATTGCTCTAGATGAATTGAATGTATATTTTAAAAAAAAATTCAGTCCTATCATGTCAAAAAAACTCAGGAGAGTCCCTTTAAGTCTTACATTTTGAAATTACAGAATAAACCAGTGCAATCTGACCAGGCTCTATACTACTGATAGCTCAATTTTCTTATCTTGGAATCCCTAACATTTTAAATGGATTGTTCCAAATTTAAAGATAGGCAAATCCACAACAGAAATTTAGAAATTAAATTCAGATGAAGGCAAAAATATTCTTACTCCAAGCTTTTTGTCATGAAGTCGACACAGGAATAATGAGTTTTGTGTCTTTCAAGTAATGTTTGATAGTCTGATCTCTTTCTCTCCATCTGAAAACACACACATAAAAAATGCAGTAAGTGAGTAAATATAACAAATTTCAACCTCAAGATAAAAATTATGCTCTATGTACTTGCATACTCATTTTAATGTAATGCCCAACACCTAATTAAACACAAAAAAAGAAGACTTAAACTGTAACAAAATGTGTAAATGTCTTTGTTGAACATTAATACCTCAGGCTCTTACTTCTAATCTGTAAATAAAATACAACCCCTGTTTAAATAGAAGCAAGAAGCACCTTTTGTTGTCACTTCAGTCAAAAAGAATCAATTTATACTCAATTATCTATCTCTTTTTATGTTTATGACATATACTGTCAACAAATTATTGTACCGAGGAAAATGTATTTATTGATGTACCATGAAATTTAATGCACATGTGTGAAATTTGTATTGGTGTTTTATTCATTGATTATTTAAGATGAAAAGCTCTATAATGTAAATTCTTATTCTCCTGCCTAAAAAAATGACCAAGCTTCTTCTTACATATTAATATAAATGAAACCCTGGTATTTGTTACAGAATAGATTGGTTTGCAAAGCAACTGTACATTCAGAAATAATGAAACTGCTGTCTGTATTAAATCATTAACAACTGTGAATGATGATCAATCATAATATAAAATCAATGACTTTTCAGCAATGCCTCTGTTATTTTGAGATAATTTGAAACTATATTATATAAAACAAAAGCTTTACACTTTAAACTTGAATTTATAAGCAATCTCTAAGTGAACAGCATCGACCTAAGTTTATTTTGTGATGTCAGGGACTGATGTTTCTATTGACAGTTGAAAATTCACAAGCCTGTAATTGAGACCTTGCTACCAGCTTAACCAATTTGGGAATTTAAAATTATGTAGTCAATTACCAAAATCATTAAATGTGAAGTTACTCTAAGTGTGGCATATCACATTGAATAATGCATTATAAGATATATTACAATACTCCTGACAATAACATCTACAGCCCAGCATATGGACAGACTCAGCATCGCTAATTTACTTTGTCAAGCAATAACTGCTTGGGATCATGGTCAGGCCTGTTTTCATCACAGTAAAGGAAAAACACAGACATTTTATTTATGAGTTCAATAAATGTGAAGTATTTTCATGTATTAAACCAGTATTTTTACCCTATTTTCTGTTTTCTTTGTCATTCATTAAGTTATAAGACTCTGAAAATAATGTACATTGCTAATGTAAACAACTGGATTTAACTCATCACATTGCTAGAGCTGTAGTTCTAGACACTTGCAGAAATCATGTTCACAATCACAAAGTAGAAACATATCACTTTTTTCACTGAATATTAAATTTTTCATTCATGTTCAACATGAATGAAAAATGTGTTGGAGCACCATATCTGATAAATTCCATATTTCAGTATCTACCGATAAGGCCCTTGAATAATTATATGCTAAAATCTCACCTTTCAACCTGCCGAAATACACTTTAAGGCATCTTATTTATCTCTTCACATTGTTAACATACCAACAGTTGGTATGTTAACAATGTGAAGAGATTAATAAGATTTCGGCAGGTTGAAAGGTGAGATTTTAGCATATAATTATTCAAGGGCCTTATCGGTAGATACTGAAATATGGAATTTATCAGATATGGTGCTCCAACACATTTTTTAGTCTCTCTCTAAAGAACTTGGTATTTAAAGGTCATCTTGGAAAATGCATCCCTGTACTCAATATATTTACTGAAGTATTAAATCATAATCCCACGGGGTCCATTTAGAGGCCCAATTTGTCACATGACAGCAGACAGACCTAAAGGTATTCCCATTAAAAAATGATTAAAATATCAATGTTATTCGCTCAAAATTATTATTTTAATAAAAGGAATAGCAAAATAATACAAAACAAGTAATACAAGAATTTGTAACAGAGTTGCCAATGTTCCCCATCTAAGGGAAGTTTTCGTGAAGCTCAAAATTGTGGTATTTCAAACGAATGAGGTATGAATCTGGACTTCCAATGCAAAATCTTGATCAATGCTAGATCTGCACAAGTAACAATAAACTCATTAAAGAAATATAATGAAATAACTGTAAATGTTTCAACAAAAATACATTTGTATAGTTATTACTATTTCAAAGCCACAAAATGGGAATTAAACAAAATCAATACATGGGTATGTGATGGGGAATGGTCTGTTACATGGGTATGTTTCGTGTCCAGTCTGTAACTTTTTCATCAATCAAGGTATGTAGGCAATTCAGCAATGACATTTTATTTGAATGGCCTGGCTTGGCATCATACACTGTAACAGAACTTTTGAGGCTTTGACCTCCAAGTGTGACCTTGACCTTTGAGGTAGGGGTCTGGGTGTTGCGCATGTCTCGGTTCAGAACTATTCACTACTTAGGGGAGCGATATGTAAGCGGCCGAATAGCTCAATCAGTTCAGAACTGTTCACTATTTAGGGAAGATGATGTGTATGCCGCTGGATAGCTCAGTAGGTATGATGTTCAGAGGGTCCTGGGTTCGAGTCCCAGTCAGGCTGCACATTTTTCTCACCCTGTGACATACATGACATGTTGTCTTATCTTTGTTAACATTTGTGCAAAGTTATTTTAAAATTCCTTTATTGATGAAAAAGTTATATACTGGACACAAAATATACCTGTATAATGGACAATGTTAAGCTTTGACCCCCAATTATAACCTTGATCTTGGAGGTAGGGGTCCGGGTGTCCACATTGTCTTATTATTACAAACATTGTGCCAAGTTATTTCAATGTTATGGACCGGACACAAAAGTGTGACAGACAATCAGATGGACAGATAAGGACATTTCTATATCCCCTTTTTTCTTTAAAAAAGAGAGGGAAAATTAAGATCTCACAAACAGATCTACATACATGTTAATTTTTTTCTGTTACAATAAAAATTGAATTTTAAAAAGTTTGTGAATCTGGCAAAACAAGGGCACCCGAATATTTACATCCATTATATATCATGAGATTGTGATGGTTTGGGAGCTATACTCTTTGCTATTGTCCTAGCATTTGAAGTCTAACCTTGCTTTTGAATTGCTCCTCTGTAGAATCTTTGTGGCGTAGTTTTTCAAATTCATATCTGGTTATGCGCGATAATATAACTACTCTTCTTGGTTTAAAAGTTGCAGTATCCTCATCGCCAAATCGCTCACATTTGCTTGCCATACATCTACAACCTGCTGGCCTATCCACATAGTAAAAATTCTTGCTAGTTTTTACAAATTTTAAAGCACCAGCAAAAGATGTGTATTTGTTGGTAAGGTGAGGTAAAATTGCCAATTTATTCATTGAAAATACGTTCAATATTGCAGATCACCGTTCACTGAAAAGAAATAGAGCTGACAAAGCAAAATTAGTAAAATATAATTGAAAATATTTTTATTTTAGTTGCGAAGTTTCACTTTCCTTCCATATTGGAGTTTACAAGTAAAGCTGATATGTTTGTTTCGAACTTAGAGGTAATTGTATTAAGTTTTTAATTATGATATTAAAAAGGATAAATGAATTTCATGAAATATTCATTTTGTAATATTTTATATCATCAGTATATAATTATTTCCTCTTTTACACAAATTTTCATTCGAATTTTTTGCTATAAATATAGATGGAAAATCATGCGGAAAACTTCTTACTTCATCCTAGAAATAACAACCGGCCACGACAGCTGTTTCCTTAAAATGTTTTGACTGAAAAATTAATGATTTTTTAATAACTACAGCAGATTATTTAAAAGAAAGGATGCTTCCACTACATAAACATGATAAGGAATATCGAGGGCCTGGCCTGATAGGAAAGATAACAGGATGGATGAGGTAAAAATGTGTTGGAAATTTATGACAAACGCGATTACCAAATCTGTCACAAGTGAGCCATGTGCAGTATGGGTTTTGTATGAATGTCTATTTAAAACTGAAAAAGAATTTGACAGATTATATCTGATCAATTTGAGTTTGATAATGGGGGGACCAGAGTTAAGATGCATAAAGAGAGAACAGAAGCTACTGTGTATTTATTTTATAAGACCCTTGTTCAGATGCAACTGAAGTCTTAAATGCCATGTCCCGAAGTTGTAAATTATGGTCTGATATATGAAAGAGTTTTTTTTATAAAGTTAAATGAACAAAGAATAAAGGTTTTTTTTTATCTAATGACAAATCCTTTTGAAATTTGGTACCTGGCATTTTGCTTTTGAATTTGATACACACCAGATGGGTACATAAGGGTGAGAGTGGTTTTGTCGAACTATCGGTTCGGCGAACTAATCTTATATAATAAAACAGGTTGTGGTTTCAGCGAACTTAATTTATATAATGCAAAAAATACCTATTGTATATAGGGCACGTCAATTATCGTGGGTCTTAATCTGTTGTTTATCACACATTTTCATGCAACTAAAGACAAGATATTGAAAATTTAAACCTATTATTTATTATTTTCTTTAGTATAATAGTTATATTTTACATAAAAGCATAACTCAATACAAAAGATCTCAGTAAACAAACAACATCATAAAAATATATACATGTACGTATATAAGTGAAGCCTGAAAAGAGAAAAACATTTTTTTATAATCTATGTTAAACTGTATTCACAAATGGTAAAAGCTGAAAAAGGACGAATGTTATTTAGGAATAAAATCGACATTATACACAGTAAAATAAAACCTGGAAGAGAAGGAATGTATTTTATAATTTAAGTATATACACAAAAAACAAGACATACAAAAACATGTAAAAATTGAAAATAAGAAAAATTTGTGCCATGATTTTGTACGTAATAAACAACACATCTTTTTAAAATACTTTATTCATCTCTATATAAACAATTGACACATGCATAGTATTAAAGAGAATCTACTATGTTTTTTACGTAATATTAATAAACAACAACAATCTGTTTTTATTCTTTATTCATCACTCAATATAAAACTTAAGAATGGTCCTCATAAATCCTGTTGTTGAAGTTGTTGGATCCTATTCCTGAAATGTGGCTACATAATCTCAGTAGTTGGGAAGTAGTCATCTCATCATCTTCGAACTTGTCCCAGGCGTCGAATAAGGCTCCAATTATTTTTTTTAATATTCTTTTCTCAAAAATAATTAATCAAGTAACAAACAAATCATTACCAAAATAGGTATTGTATATAGACATACATCAACAATATATTCTATTCATTAATGAAATTTTGCTTCATAATTTGATTACAACAAACATATTGATGATAAAACCACTTTATATAGACGAACCATGCCAACTTCGCCTTTAATTACTATATAAAATAAGATCGACAAAACCACTTTCGCACCTCTTCATAAATAAAATTCGCCGAACCGGTAGTTTGACAAAACCACCATAGTTCGTACTTTAGGATACTGAAATCAACTTGATTTCGGTAACTTTACCGAAATCAACTAATTAAAATGAGCCAGGATTAATTATCTTGCTTACATGTATGTTAGCATTTTTGTACATAAATAACTAAAATTGACTTCCAGTGAAAAAATCTACGAAAATTTTTTTATTTTGATGATTTTTAGCTCGACTATTCGATAAGAATAAGTAGAGCTATTGCAGTCACCCGAGCGTCGGCGTCGGCGTAACCACTTATGTTAAAGTTTTTGTAATAGTTCAAATATTTTCAAAGTCCATTGACATATGGCTTTGAAACTTTGCACACTTGTTCACCATCATGACCCCAATCTTTAGACAGGAGGAGGTAACTCTATCAAGCATTTTGACAGAATAATGCCCCTTTTTCGACTTAGAATTTACGTTAAAGTTTTTGTAATAGTTCAAATATTTTCAAAGTCCATTGACATATGGCTTTGAAACTTTGCACACTTGTTCACCATCATGACCCCAACCTGTAGACAGGAGCACATAACTCCATCAAGCATTTTGACAGAATTATGCCCCTTTTTCGACTTAGAATTTATGTTAAAGTTTTTGTAATAGTTCAAATATTTTCAAAGTCCATAGACATATGGCTTTGAAACTTTGCACACTTGTTCACCATCATGACCCCAACCTGTAGACAGGAGGAGGTAACTCTATTAAGCATTTTGACAGAATTATGCCCCTTTTTCGACTTAGAATTTACGTTAAAGTTTTTGTAATAGTTCAAATATTTTCAAAGTCCATTGACATATGGCTTTGAAACTTTGCACACTTGTTCAACATCATGACCCCAACCTGTAAACAGGAGGAGGTAACTCTATCAAGCATTTTGACAGAATTATGCCCCTTTTTCGACTTAGAATTTACGTTAAAGTTTTTGTAATAGTTCAAATATTTTCAAAGTCCATTGACATATGGCTTTGAAACTTTGCACATTTGTTCACCATCATGACCCCAACCTGTAAACAGGAGGAGGTAACTGTATCAGGCATTTTTTTACTATCAAGCACTAAGAATAGTCGAGCGTTGCTGTCCTACCGACAGCTCTTGTTTTATAATATATTTACTGCAGTATACACTTTGATTTTACTAATATAAAATAATAAATTAATAATATAGTTGCTAATTAAACAACTCTATTTAAATAATTTTTTTTAGATCTCTTCAATTATATGCCAATTGTATTAGAAAGATAATTAACAAAAAAAGTTTACTTGAATATGGAGATAAATTTCAATTAGACATATAACATATTTATACAGTAGCTTTCCCAAAATTATTCATGTGCCAGCTAGTATCGATAAGATCATCAAAATCAAGTTTTGTTTATTTTTCTTTGTTTGTATGTCAAATTGAATCTTCATTAATTTTAAATATCAAAACAGGTCTCACATAAATTATTAAAACTTGCTTTTACACGTTGATTTCTGTATATTAATAATGTTGATTTTGGTTTGCATTAGGTAGGGCAAGCAATCATAAAAAATATATTTTTGTATAACATCATCAATTTCTATTATTTTTGTATTTTTTTTTTGCATGTAAGTTCAATTCAATCCATATTACTTATTTATTCAAAAATAATTAAAATAAATTGTTTAATTGTAATTTTACGAGTTGATTTCGGTTATGAAAAGTTGATTTTGGAAATGTTACCGAAATCAAGTTGATTAAGGTATCATTACGTACCGACGCCAGATTACTTCCGTCTGGCTTAAAAGTAGTTTCTGCATTAGTGTGGTTTGAGAAGCAGAAAGAATATCTCAAGAATCATAATTTCCCTTTGGATTTAAACCCTCGTATTTGGCAGTAATGTGAATATAACTGTGATGCTTTACCAGGGTTACATGTATACCAGATTGTTAACGCAGCCCTTATCAAAGCTTGGAACAAAAAACTGTCATTCCTCCACATGGTTAAGTTTTTCAAAAGTTATTACTTACTTGACATTGCATATACGTTTTTCGTAACAATTTTCAGTTGAATTATTTGATTCTTTATTGGCGACGCCGGTGAGTGACGGCGTCTCTTATGGAATGCTTTTTATTTTGGCCTATGGAAGGAGCTGTTATTATTAGCAGTTTATTTCATGTTGTGTTAATTAGTTTTATTTTGATTCATAAAAATCAAGTAAACAAATATTTTATTATATTTGTATTTAATAACTTTATGTAAAAAGCATGTGCATTGTGATATTATTTTTTTTTCAGATTGATATTCTCAGAAAAAACATCAAGAAACATTTTTATGTTTCTGCTATTGAATCTCTCATTTGCATTTGTAGAGCTATCCTATGGAATCTGGACAAATAGGTTAGTTACAATTTATGCTTCATTTCTGTCAGCATAATTTGGAGATAAGTAATAAAAGGGATAGTATCATGAATTGACTGTTGAACTATTGAAATCTTTGATAATCAGTGATACATCATGTTAAATGTAAGTATTTGTATTGATTTGTATACAACTGTTAAATACGTGTACATGTAATGTTAAATATAGTCAACATAATTTAAAATTGCTGATTATCTATGTGTGAAGTATTGAGTTTAAAATTAAGATTTTTATCCTTTAAGTTTCTTTTTTATGAGTAAACTTAGGATGAAATATTCTATTAATAATTAATGAAAAAACAGAAAAGAATTCATATTATTGTATTTTTGGGAGGGAAAATTGAGTTTTCGTTTTCATGCCTACACTGTAACTTGTAATTAAAAAATAACTGTTTCTTAAATGTTTAAAATCATGCCTGAAGTAATGCACAATTCAACATTGTATATAAGCATCCGCGCAGTCTGATTAGGATCCATGCTGTTCGCTTACAAACCCTATTACAAGTAGAGAAACTGATAGCGAACAGCATGGATCCTGATCAGACTGCGCGGATGCGCAGGCTGGTCTGGATCCATGCTGGTCGCAAACGCATTACGTTGGTTTTGTCGTGACACGGCTCCTTTGTCATGATTTGTATCATTTATCATTTTAGTCTGGGTTTGATATCTGATTCCTTCCACATGTTCTTTGATTGTACTGCACTGCTGGCTGGTCTGGCTGCCTCTGTTATCTCAAGATGGAGATCAAATGAAAATTATTCTTATGGGTAAGTTTTGAATTGATCCTTTACATCTTATATGTGTGTATGGAGACTTGGTTCTAAACCAAAAAAAATAATAGTTTAGTTTTGTCAAATAATGCTATTATTATAGCATTCATTATGTTTTTGGGGAAAACATATTTATTTTTTTTGTACATGAATATCTACTCAATCATTCTTAAAGAGGCACTTTACATCTGACTTCACCTGGAAAGGGTTAAAAAATTGATCTAGGGGGGTTTGGAAATATCGATGCCCACGGAAAAGTTTGGCAAATTTTTTAACTTGTGCCTAGTTCAAGTTTACTTGCCTATATAAAATTCTAAAATGATGGCCATATGTACTAATGATTGTAACTGTAAGTTTTGTCAGCTTGTTTGATTTACTGTACATGTGTATACATCATATTTCATACTTTCAGGTTTGTTCGTGCTGAAGTTCTGGCTGGTTTTGTAAATGGCCTTTTCTTGCTTTTTATAGGATTTTTCATCTTTTCAGAAGCTGTTGAGGTAGGTTTGATTGATAAGTTTATTATATAGACAGCTGTTACTTTATAATGTTTTAATGTTCTTTAATTTGTATTTTTAAAAAAAATATGATTTTGTACTGTTACATATTATCATTTTAATTTATGGATGTTTGATGACTTGTTTTTTTTTGTTTTGTTTTTTTTGTAAAAATAATCTCAGTCTTAGTCAGTTTAATCATACTCCCGACAGGAACTTTGGATTCTTTCATGTAAGGAAGCTATCCAGCTAGCTTACGGAACGTCCGTGGTTCTACTCAGGTGCCCGTTCGTGCCTGAGATAATGCACGGAAGGGCACCTGAGGTCTTCCTCCACCAGTGAAGCTGGAACGTCGCGATATGACCTATACTGTGTCGATGTGACGTAAAACCCAAAATAAACAAACAAACAAAAGTTTAATCATACTAATAAGTTTTTAGTTTATTATGAAAAAGAGTTATGGCCCTTGACTTTATCATAGTAACTTATAAACTAGCATTCTGAGTGTTTTAAAAGTATTTCCAATTAGTTACAAGTAATTTCCAATTTACATAATTCTGAAAAATCCTTCTACAGTAATGCTTATGCTAATTTAATGCACAGATTTAGCAAGTAATGCTAATTAAATGCATTAATTTTAAAAGTAATTTGCCCCATGTCTGTTATTAACAATCATTGGTATTGTTCAAAATGTGCTTTGAGTGGTTGTAAATTTGGCATGTGTAGTATTTCTTGTGGAGGAGCAAAAAGCAGAGTGGGAGAAATTAACCACCGTAGCTTATGACATTTCTTGAATCAATGTTAAGTTTATGTTTATACTTTGTCTTTATGCATTGAACTTAAAAGGTCCATTGAACTCATTAGAAGTGTGTTGTACTTGGGTGTGGAAATGTTAATTATCTGAATGTATAATTTATGTTTACAGCGTCTGGTTGAACCACCTGAGGTTAGACACGAGAGATTGTTCTTAGTGTCAGTAGGTGGTTTTCTAGTCAACTTAATTGGAATATTTGCATTTCAACATGGACATAATCATTCTCATGGAGGTGGTGGAGGTAAGCGTAACAATTATTTTATATGACAACAGTAAATTCAACCCTTGACCCCTCAACACCAGGCAGTGTGAGGAATAGCAGATAAGGAAAAACCAATGGTTACCTATATTTTTCCCTTTATCCCTTCACTGCCAGGGTTATGTAGCAGGTTATATGTCATCCTCTTAATGCAGGGGCTATTAAGCTTGGATTTATCCGTATGACTGTCCCTATTGTAAACAGCCTTAATTGTGGGATGGAGAGGGAGATAATCCAAAAGTTAGAGTGCCAAATATTCCCTTGGAATGAGGATCTGGATCACAAAGACTGGCTTAAAACCTGACTGGCTTGTAACCCTTACAAAATGTCACCTGTAAGCAACAATTAAGACAGTTTTACTGATCTGATGCATCAATTGCTAGTGCAGCGGGTAATCTTATTACAATGAAATATGTCATAAATGCTATCAATGGAATTTCTATCATCAAAAAATGACTAAAGTAAGTTGTTGTAGATGTTGGGTGGAAGTCTTGATATGAGTTTGTCTATTTTGTCTATAAAAAGTTGTTTCGTTACATATTTATTCATTTGTAGAACAGATTTGCCTTTTATCAAATTTGGAACTGTATATCGAGTGATTTCAGTGTTAAAATTAAATTGTCAGAAATAAAGTTATGGTCAGACTGTAGGAATAATATAATATTTATCAATCATTGTTTATTGAACTTGGTTTTTCTCGTTTATTCAGATCACGGGCATTCACATGGTGGACATGGACACTCACATGGCTTAGGTGAGACAAGCTTATTAGTTACCTTAAGTGTTGATGGGAATTTAATAAATTTGAAGATTTTTTTACCTGATCTATCATCCCATTAAGTATGAGGCCTTCCTGTCTATCTCACACTTCCTACTTAAAAGACAGATTCTGAGTGCTGAGTTTGTAAATATGTAGCAAAACATACAAAATCATGAATGCCTCTTTATTGCTGTTTGTTATTTTTGAATTATTAAAAATACATAGAAGAGATGGTCAAAGATTTTTTTTTTTACTAATGTATATGGCTGTTTCTTAGAAGTACATGCAACAATTGTTCTTACATAGGATTTTTTTTCTCATACCTGTTATTTAAATGTTATAATTCTTTATTGTGAAAATTTGCAACTTAAAGTTTTTTTCTGTTGAAACGAAATAATGGTATATTTTATATTAAGGATATACTATGCTCGTCTTTGAGTAAAATACTTTAATCACAGAAATTTATTGAAATCTATGTAATTCTTACCAAATATGTCTTAATTTGAATAAAAGAATGAATTAACTATGTATGGAAATCTGCATTCCATTTAACAGGTCAAGTAAAGTTCATCTTTTCTTTAAAAAAAATGCCGGTATTTTTAATGACACTATATTCATATTGTAGCCACGCATAGTGTGTACAGTTTTAAACACAACATATCTTTGTGTAAAGTCAAAACATGTTTATTTTATATTTACAAAGAGACTATATAGCAATTATCAATATTTTCTAGTATGAAATTTGAGCAAAGTATATCTTTAAATCTAAAATTTTGCACAAGTGGTAATTACTGATACTTGTTGTTATGATAATTGGTATAATTACTAGTAATTTGAAGCATTTATATGGCTTTATTTAAGCAATTAATTTAGTTATGGTAGTATTCCCATACTCTAACACTCTCACTTGTAATGTTTCCAATATAGTTCATACAGTAATTTTTTGTGCATGGAATAAAAGTTTTTTTCTCCAATAGTCAGAATTTGTCAAACGTTCCCAATTTAATTCTGGAAATTCCAAACATCTATTGACTGATTCTCAAATTTATGACTTTTTTCCCCAGGTTTTGAAGAAAATAACCATAAAGACCATGGGCATAGCCATGGGGGTGACCATGGACATAGTCATGATAGCCATGGACATAGTCATGAACCAAAACAAAATGCATCACAAAAACAGATCATGCAAGGTAATGTGACTTTGTGCAAGTTTGATTTCTGAAAGTATTAGACTTAAATAATCAAATAAAAAAAGCAAAAGAAAAAGGGGTAAAACCTTTTAAACCAGCTGAATTTGTTTAATTGCTTGGTCCAGATTCCAAAGTTTACGGGATTTTGGTATCAAAATACAAAAATTGAGCTACCAATGGTACTGAATCTAGTAAGACTGCATGGATATGCAGGCAGACCTGGCTCTATACTGGTGGCAAAGGCTGATCAGTTTTGGTACCAGCAAGTTTAGGGTTACACATGTTTAGGGTTAAAGGGGAAAGAACACTTTAAAGAAGTATTCCATGTGTAATATATAATATGTGTAATTAAATGATAAAAGGTCAAGCTGAATTAAATCAATCAGTATGTTGAGCATGCTTTTACTTTATATTGTGTTTGTTCCCTTATAAATGATTTTGACAATGCTTGAAGAGAACAAATAAGTAATATTGAAAATATGCAGGAAACCTTGTTGCTGTCTGTTGCCAGTCAAGATTTACATATATACTTAAAATGTTTTTGACAATTTGTTTCCCAATCTTCTATATTTAGAAATGAACATCATTAATGGGTTATAAATAGATCTTGGGACGCTGTTTTGAAAAGGGCTTGCCAGTGATATGATGCACTTTTCAAAAATAAAATTACTAAAATACCTAGTTTGAAACAATACAAAATTGATTTTTCAACAGAAAATAAAAGCTAAAGGCCGTTTTAAAGCAAGAACCAAAATCAAAGTTGTGTTAAGAATGTTTGCATTGTATCTAAATAAATAACATAGATATCATGTGTACATTACAGGAGTGTTTTTACATATACTGGCTGATACACTAGGCAGTGTAGGAGTGATCATATCCTCTGGTTTAATACATTATTTTGGTTGGATGGTCGCAGACCCAGTGTGTTCAATGTTTATTGCCATTTTAATTACTATAAGGTTGGTTGATATTTTATATTTCTTATAGATATTTAACCTAGAAATTCAGTGATTTTGTTAATACTTGAAGTAAGTAGGAAAATACATTAATTTTCTTGAATAGTTTACTTCTTAAAAGGAGATATATGTATGTATCAATTTTAACTCTCTATATTATTCTTAAAACCTTAAGTTCTAAAGTAATGAGGACATATTTAAAGGTAAATAAAATACTGTTTTTCTAAAATCTTTAAGCTTCTCAGTAAGAGAGTTATGCCAAAAATAAAAATGTTGGGCTTTTGAAGATATATTTAGGTGTTAAAATACCCCTAAGGAGGTACTTGGAATCACTGAAATCAATTTTCAGACACAGCTGTGTTTACTTTCTGCCTGCTGTTGCTATGGTAGCTTCTTTCATGTATCTGCCCATCACAAATATTGGCTGAAAATTTGATCACAACTCATGAAAAGTTGTTTATTGAAAATTTAGGGAAATCAGTATATTCTTCTTTAAAAGTGTTTTGTAGAATATCAGTGATCTGTTATTGAGTCCAATGCCACATTTACGGTTCCTGTTATTAAAAAGTGAATTTAAGCAGATTTTAAGTCAGTCTACAATACTTGTCATAGAAACATATATTTTAACGCAAGCTTTTTATATCATACAAGGAAAAGGTATAATTGCTATAGTAGTTCTTTACAGGGATATAACATGGTGTCAGTATACATCAATAAGGCATCAGTATGAATGAAGTAGAATTTGATACATTAATCTCTAGTGAATAAAAGCCTTTCTATACAAATATTGATCATTTGAACCTAATAACGTAATTTTCTGGTTTTTGTTTTGTTTCAGTGTTCTACCACTACTGAGAGATTCAATTGGTATTTTAATGCAGCGTACACCGAGGGAGTTAGATGATCTCCTCCCTGGCTGTTACCAAAGAGTATGTATCTTTCTTGTGTTGCATAGATTAAATTAATTTATAGAAGGTCAATTATTTCAATCATTGTTGGAGTCCACTTCTTGGACTTAACCAGTGCTGGTGTCATATGAATAAACATGGTAGTGACCTGTATAGGGCTCGAACCCATGATCCCTGGGTTGAGAGTCAGACACTTTAACCACTAGGCCACTGCTCCCCTTTCCTGTTAAACAGATTAAATACGTTGAACATGTTTTCAGTTTAAAGATATTTTCTTTCAATATTCTCAACAATTATTTCATTTTACCGTCTTTTGCATAATTTTTCGTTGAAAATAATCAGGTAATTCAGCAAGAATTCTTTTTCTGTTTTGTTTGTTCCTAGTGCAGGCCTGGACCTATATGAACTTATGGAGCTAGACTTGTGATGTTTACGATTACAGTGATATTTTGCATGATATTCACAATAAATTATAGGCAAATGTATAACATAAACCTATTTTGATCTTGAATTCACATAATGTACCAATATAAGTTCAAGTAAAAGAATTCAAATGAAATTATGTGTTATATGTTATAATGTATGTGACAGTACCCAAAGAGATAACAATTTATGATATGAAATTATTATTTGTGACTTATTTTCTTTTTCCCTGTTTTCACAGGTAAGCCAGCTTGAGGGCGTTTACAGTGTCCAAGAACCTCATTTTTGGACCTTATGTAGTGAAGTTTATATTGGAACAATAAAATTAGAGGTTTCTGCTAAAGCAGACTCAAAATATATTCTAAGTCAAACACACAGTATATTTTTGCAAGTAAGTAAAGACATTTGATAGCTTGACTTTACAAATATAGGGATATTCTACTCTCAGTGATAAAGATGTTGACTTTATGTTAAAGTTTCGGATGCTAGTACAGATGTAACGTACAAACAGGAATATATCTCAATAACAAAATGCATTCATACTTAGCAAGTGTATTTCCAATGAATAGGGGGCATCCGTGGTTATGGTTGTTGACGTCAAGCCACTTGCCTGTCACTGCTAGGTTCAAGCTGTGCAAGCGTATTTTGAATCTTTTTCATGTGAGAAAGCTAGCCAGCTAGGTAACAGAATATCAGTGGTTCTACTTGGATACTTGTTAATGCCTGAAATAATGCACCGGAGGTCTTCATGACATGATGGACTGAAAAGATTTCCAGATAAGATGTACCATTTGATGTAGGTTTGTGCCAACTAATCTTTGTGCAAAATTTTCAATCATTTCCGCACACTCCGTTATTCCAGATTAATTATTCAAATTATAAAAAAATTACCCAAAATTAAAAGCGTTTTAACGCTTTTCACTCAAATTGGGCTAAGAAAAGCATAAAAATACGATTTTCAATTTATTTCAAAGTATATTTCTTAACTATCTTTGCATATATTACTCTTTAAAGTACCCCAGCTCATTTATGTAATAAAATACAAATGTTATGTTTTTAGGGCTTTTAAACCTCAGTGGAGTCCCTTTAATGCCTGAAATAATGCACTGGCAAAGCTTGGAAAGTCGCCATTTGACCTGTGTTGGTGTGACGTTAAACTAAATGAAAAAAAAATCCAATGATCCAACCTACTTTCAGAATATTATCCCCTAACTCTGTAAAACTGTTCACAGTTGAGTTAAGTGAAAAGCCTTGCATATAAAATCTCCATAATCACTTAAATAGATTAATATCTAGGTTAATTTGCATAACTCTTATAACTCTTTTATAAAATTATTTAAATGATGTAAAAATGGTTAGATTTTGTAGGAGTACATATTATTCATTACACAATATTGTCAAAAAAATTAATTTTTTTCATACAGGCTGGAGTAAAACAACTTTATGTACAAATAGACCATGCCATGATGTAGCATTTCACAACAACAATATAAAGAAAATGGTGACAGTTTTTTACGTGACAAATTTGAATGGTGCAATATGGACGAGAAACAGTGCAAGATGAAAGTTCAAGAGAAGTTCTACAGTCTCTGACCAAAAGACGATTTTATCTGTTTTTCTTTCCTGCTAAATATATAGCATCATTATGCTAGTTTTAGCATCTATTCAACAGTTTTAGCGTATCGATATATTCAATGGTTAACAAACATTGACAGATTTAATGATGGTATGCTAGTGTTGGAATCTATTAAAGGTTTTAGCATCTGTTTGACAGTTTTAGCAACAGAATACCATTTTTTTAGCAAAAAAATACCAATTTTAGCAACTGTATGCCTTTTTAAGAAATTTTTTCCAACTTTGAAATGAAGTTTAAGATCTGAGAAATGCACTTGATACACAAGGTATATGTAAGACATGAAAGATGTGAGAAATTGATGACAAAACTTTCGCAAGGGTTTGGAATGAAATACTAATTTTTCAAGCACATAATTCGGGATATGCATTTACCATTATTCATCAGCTGTTAAAGAAGTTAAGTTGAAAACATCATCTGTAAAGTGCTACTTAGGTCATTGCATATTGCATTTTTGACATTGGTGTGTTTTAATAATAACCGCATTTTCTGCATTTTGTATATAAGTTTTTTTTAAATTCAGATTTTTTCCACCTATCACAGTTTTGAATGAAAAGAGATAAAGTCATTTTCCTGCCCAGCATATGCAGTGTGGAGAAGGGAGACAAGTTGTTGGGGGAATGAAGTTTTCATATCTCCTCATTTTTGTGTACAGGTTAAAAGGAAAGATGAGGGCTGGTGGTTTTGAGTTTGGCCTCTCACTCGTAGCGATTTTGGGTTTAAGTCCAACTTAGGGTCATGGACCAGTTTCCTCATGTTACACCAATGTGAGTAATGTCCTTGAAGCAGACTCAATTGTGGTTTAACTTAGTTTCATGCTTTTGTCACTGTTAAACTTAAACACCATAATTTTAAGAGAAAAGACTTTTATTGTTACAATAATTAAAAAATTATAACCTAATAAAATGTTCTTCATTTAATGGTGCCAAAATTTATGTTTTACATACATGCGGAGGGCATGTTTTTTTTTTAAACCGTCTGTCCATTTGTTAGATGGTTTGTGACAGAATATTTAAACCTGACCAACCTTGACCATTTAGGAAAGTTCTGCTACCAACAGCCTCCAAATCGCCCTCTAGATTCACTTGGAGCACAAAAGGTCAAAGTCACTGCCAGGTATGACATATATTCAGTTGTTATTTGTGATTTTATTTAGGCTGCATAGGCATTTTTAAGAAAATGCATAAAATTTTGAAAATATCTTAGTAAAATGGGCTTTACACCTGAAATAAAAATATATCAATGGCAGAAAATGGCAATAGTTAAAATATTTTTATCATAAGACCCAAACTGTTAAAGCATGATGATATGATTAGATTATTTTCAAAACTTGCTGAGTTTCCTGTACTTCTATAGTGCTTCATAGTGTACATGTCAAACTGAAAAATATGTAAAAACTGCCAATGTTTAGTGTTCATATTTATACTATCATGAACATGGTTGGTTTCATTATCATAGTTTAACATGTGGTGTCATACTTGTAATTAGACATGTCAATGCAGGCCAGGTTAAAAAAGTTTGTTTGCTGTCCTTTGACACTACGGAAGATTATTCTTTTTTTGCATATTTATTTTGTTTAGTTTTAAAATGCAATAATGTTATTTTCTAATTCCCTAAATTTGATCTGGAAAAAATCTAATTTGTACATTTTATAGAGAACATTTTCTTATGCCTAAAGGTTTTGTGCCACAGACTTTAATAAAGAATTAGTAGACTATGTCAGGAGACAGGGAACAAACCATGTTTTATTACTGGCCTTTGCTACAGAAAATCTCAGTATCGTCCTTTTGTATTGTCATTGTCCGTGTATGTTTTTACTTGGATATTTATTATGTGAGAACTTAAATTGGTTTCTTATACAAGTATTACAACCTTCACAAGAGAGACCATCTTTCTAAAATACTGTAACCATGGAAACAAGCCCTTTTTTTTTAAGTCCAGAATTTTTTTTAAATGGAAAATTTTCTGAGTACAAGTGGTAAAACAACATTATTTAAGAGATCAGTTGTTATGGTATCTAAAGGTGGACTTTTAAAGCAGGTTTAACAGTTGGACGGAATTGAGATAGGAATATTTTGATGTTGAAATTTTCTCATGACATTAGCTAGTCAGATAAATTATGATTATATTGTTATATTATATATATAATGGAAATATTCATTGTTTTGGGGGTTTTTTTAGGCAGCAAACTTACCTGTAATGTAAGTCAATATAAGTAATTCAGTCCTTTTGTGCCCAGGTTGAATAACACTAAATTTATATATAGACTTCAATTATGAAAAAAACGTTTTCTTTGGCTCCAATAAAACAAGATTTGAAACTTTGATTTGCTTGGATCTTGTTCCTAGGTTCTATTTAACATAAATATAAATAATTCAAAATCTAAAATGTATGTTTCCAAATAAGCACTACAATGTATTTATTTCAGATGCTTAAATTACTGTGTTAATAATAGAAAAGTTACTTTAGGTGCTTTAAAAAGCACAAACATTATTTATTGTAAATGCTGTAATAGTGTTCAAAAGAGCACAATTTAATTAAATTATTGTAGAAATAAGTATTATTTATTAACAATGCTAAAACTTATTATATTTACTATTGTACATTTAAGCATTTTTGATACTGTATATTGGGTTCTTGATTACAGGCATGGACAGGATTTTCTTTTAATTAAACAAAATTGGTTAATCAGTCTTAAAATTGCATGTGGTGTACCACTTGAATATTTTGAGATTGTTTTACAAATTGTTGTTTTATATTAAAAATCTGAAGCCATATTGTAAGGCACTGTTAAAACAGCTTCTATAAGTGTTAGTGATATATGTATGTTATTTTTCACTTCATATTTGTATATTTTGTTTCCTTCATTAGCCATTGTTTTGTTAATCATGCATCTCTTTAATTATACAAAACTTCATTATGGAGTCCAGTCTATAACTACCGCATATGATTTGCTGATTCTGGGCACAAGTTTTGAATTGACCAATGACAGAGTGCGATATGAGACTGGTCTATTTTTTTATTTTCTTGAAGCCCCTGGTCATACTTTAAGGCCATATATAAGGGGTTTGAAATGAAACTGAGCAATGGCATCATTGAGAATGATTTAATTAAATTGTACTTGGAGTTGTAGATCAAAATAAATGAAGGCAGCAGAAACAAAACAGCTAATTCTTCTATTGATATTTGATATGCAATAGGCTTCTGTAAACTCATGTTTGATAACATGAATTTTATACATTGGTATCAGGATTCAGTGATATTTGTCTTAAAATAGCAAATACTTCTGACAAATAATTTAACTGCTAAAAAAATAAAAGCGTAATTATTAAATAGGTGCATTCAAACTTATTAAACATGTAGATGAAATTGAAACTTTTACACTGCAATATTTCACATTTCAAATTGTTTAGACTTAATGTAGTGATTGTATTAGCTAGAAGGATATTTAAATACAAATTATTGTTTTAATTCAATTAACTTACTTATAGTTTATTGTCCAAATTGCAAATTTGCTCATGTAGAATGATATTTGAGAAACCGAGTGTTATCCCTTTAACCCTTACCCTGCTGGAACTGATATTGATTAACCTAGCCACCAGTATAGAACCAGGCAAGTCTGCCATCTGTGCATTCCTTTCAGGTTAACCAGGCTCTGTAAGTTAATTTTCATCTCAATATTCCCAAAATTGATAATGGACTGTTCCAAATAAATGAAACTGGACAAGTCCATTTAAGAAATTTCAGCAGGTTAAGGGTTAAATTTCACAGCCTTGGTATGAACTTCTACTTAGTTAAAAGTTCTTTTATTTTACTGTGCATGAATAAATAGAATGTCACTTGTTAACAGGGTTTCATTTTAAACTACCCAAAATACACAAAGTCTAGTCTAGCATAGATTTGCTTCTTCATTTAGAATGTTGTAACTACCCATTTACTAGCATCACATTCCATCTCAAGTATTGTCTCAAGATCATATAGGTTTATATTGTGAGTGAGCTTTAAACTGTATTATGTATTATTGTATAGGACATCTGTCAATGTTTATATCTTTACTCTTATTCTACAGAATTTCTAAAGTGGACTTGTCCAGGTACTATTTTTTGGCACTGTCCCATTATCTTTTTTTGGGGAGAAATGAGTGTTCATATTTTAATTCTTATTCAGCAACATTTCTAAGTTGACTTGTCCAGGTACTATTTTTGGAACTGTCCCATTATCAATTTTGGGGAAATCTGAAAACTTGGAATTTGGTTAGGCAGTACTACATACCAGTAGTTTAGTCAGGCCACACTGTCTGGCTGTATATAAATGGGGAAGAAAGTCCTGTATTTTAAGATTTAATACTGGTAAGCCAATACTTTGGTTGTATAACAAGTGCTATTTTTAATCGGCTCATATTTGTCTCATTTTCATGTTTGGATGTAATTTTCTGTTTTTGCTGCATTGAAATTGTACAAAATCTTACATATTATTTTATTTTTTGCAAAAAACTTTAATAATAATGTTGTATAAATGCTTGATAAAACAATAATCAAATGTTGTATACATACATTTCATGGAAATAAAAGTTTGAAAAAATTGTCAAACAAGTATGCTGTAATTTGAACTTTAAGGAGGGTACTGTTTCCGTTTACATGTGAAGTGTTATAATATGAAAAATGAAGTAAGCTATTCATAATTTTTATGAAATATTGTTTGTCATTTACATGAAAAAAGGAGTCATTTCTACATGAAGTTGCCATTTTGCTTTTAAATTTCATTGAAGTCATTTACATAGAAAGTAAGTTTTTAAAATCTGAAAAAATTATGTTTACAGAAGTATGAAATAAATTATTATGTGTAATACATGTATGTCATTTATATGTGAGCAAAAAGTCTTTTATAAGTGTTAAATGTTGTTTACATTATCTGATTGTTACCCATTGTGAAAATGTAGTGACTGTGTAATTGTTTTGTTTTAATTAGATTCACAATTTTTCAGACTTTGATGACTTTTCTGGTAAAAATGTTATTCCATAATACAATATTTTTTTTAAATGTAGCATAGAGCAGTTGACAGTATGAAATATTGCCAAAACAGTCCCATGTCACAGACCTGTGTAGTCTGTAATTAAAGATAATTGCTTTATTTTTGCTTATTGGTCAATAAATTACATTTTCCATAGTTTCTTCAATTTTTACATTGGAAAAGAAGGGGGGGGGGGGGATTTGTTCCCTAGTTAAATTTTTCCTTCTTTGTCTTTGTAAAAAAATTTGAAACTGTTAGAAATGTCATTGATAAATTGTTTATTTATTACAGGCTGTCCAGCGTCCCTAAAATTCCTAAAAAATCCTAATTTTTTTCAGTTTGGCTAAAATTCCTAAAAAAATGAAAAATTCAAAGGGAATTCCTAAAAATGCCCTATTTTTTCACTGAAATTCCTATTTTTTTATCTTTTGTTTCAACCATTTTTCAATCACAATCTAAATTTTAACACAGTCAATGGTGCTGATGTCATATCTGACTAAATTGCATAAAGTCACTTGTATTTACTTCAACTCCTGCAGAAATGTCATACTTGATTTATTGCCAGGTGTTATCAGAAAAATAATAAGAAACTGTTTGTTTTAAATGGAACAATGAAAATTATCCGACTTTGACTATATCAAAATGGTCACTTGTTTGAAATAGAGATAAAAAAATTTCCAAGCAAGTTATATTTTTTATTTGCTACAGAGTTTTTACCATTTACCTTAGTCTTAGGTGTATTCAAAGCAACTATAATTTACATGATGAACCACAAAATTTCATCAGACTTTATGCAGGGGACCTTTTTAATAAAATCTTAATTTGTAATCAAGTTATTTTCAAGTGATGACTGTAAAAATTAGATCTTTTGTATGTGATACCAGCTGGCAGATTTAGACAAGTTTTCATATTTGGTAATATTATAAAGTGGGTAAGGTAAAGTGGCAGTAATGATTGGATGCTTTTACCATTTTGCACCCCAATTAGTGTTCTAAGAAGTGACACCTCCAGCTGCCCTTTTTGTACACATTAACATTAGTCATACTAATGCAATGTACTGTAAATATGTTATAACATTAAGTGTATGTTTTTTTTATATCTGGAAAAAAACACTGTTAAAAATATTGCATAGATTGACTCTGTTGTGTAATTTTCTACAATTTTTAGTTTAATTAAATTCTTTAGTGGTGAATACCCTGCTGTTTGAATTTATATTAGAGTATTCCTGGGAATGACCTGAGTGGGTTATATTGTTTTAATTGTTTTTTTAAGAAAGATCAAGACTTGTTCAAACTGTACCAATCTCAAAATGAATAATTGATGATAAATTTTTTATGCATTTATAGCTACAATAAATTTAAAGCATAGTTTCTCCTTCCATTTACTATTGGCAAATTACAGCTTAACTAATTGAATATTGGTTGTTCTGGGATACTTACATAACTTTAAAAAAGTTTTCATTCTAGTTATGTTTTAATGTAGTAAAGTTTTTCAGCTCTTATTCATAGATCTAAGGCAGTTAAAGGCAGTTGACCAGTGAATCTATTTATTCACGGTTGACTATGGAACACTGGTAGACACTTTAGTTATAACTGAACTAGAGCATTATTTGTGAGTTACTTACTTTTGTATCAAATATGCAAAGTTGAGCCCAAATCATGGTCTTTTGGGGCCATATTTTAGTTATAAAATTCCAAATTATAGCCCTAAAATTTCTTTTACTTGCACTAAAATTCCTAATTTTAGCCCTAAAATTTCTTAAAAATTGCCCTAAAATTTGCCCTAATTTTTTGTCAGAGGGTGCTGGACAGCCTGTTATTACAAATTTTACTGAACCATACCTGCTTATGATTGATTAGCTGTTTTCTACTAATTAATTAATTAGTTGATTTGATTGATTGATTGATGTGTCAATCATTAATTCATTAATTGATGTAACTGAACCTTTGCTATGTATATATCAGGACTAGTCATCACAAAGAAACAAGCCAGATGGCTTATCAAGAGAGTATAACTATTCTATCTTACAGACTGGTTATCTCTAGTCCTGACATATTTGGAAAAAACTAATTTGATTGTACACAGTCTTTTTTGAAAATTAACTTTTTTACGCCATCAGATTATAAACTAGTTGAGTCATAATTGTCTTAAATTTTGTGAAGATTTTCTAGTCTTATAATTTATATCTGTGGTACAAATGTCAGATGCCATATCATAAGGGTGTGAATGAGATCCATTGCCAGTACTGGGATCAACTTTTTAACTCGTTTGTTGTTTTTTTTAATGACTAAGTGAGCTGTCTTACTTTGGCGTCAGAATAGGCAGAGATGGAACACTTGGTTTATGTTTAATTTGTGGCTTTAATTCTTTATAACTGTAAAATTTCATTGACGTCTTTTGGTCATCCTGATAGAAGACTGACCAACTCTGTCTTGAACTTTTTACACAATTATTCACCTTCTGATAATAGAAATTTGTGGCCAAAATGACTAACTATACCTTTTTGACAACAGAAATTTTGAGTTAATTTTCAAACTAATCCAACAAACCTAAGACATTACATATAGATTAAAGTCACTTAACAAGATCCATAATTCAAGTTTAGAATTTTACTTTAGAATTTTTAGACTTGATATGAAAATTCAATTTCATTATTTCCAAGATAACTCCGCACAATCCCTGTTTCACTGTCAAGCTTTTAGAATAGTCACTAGAACTGTTTGTGACTGCTTGTTTTAGATTTGCATGAGATTGTTATGATGTTATTGTTGTACAAAACCATGTGATCTTTGCTTTTTCATGAGACCAAATTGTTATTTTAATGCACAGTATTTTAATATATGTAAATTATGGTTAGGGGAAATAAAAAATCAACATTATATTTCTAAAATAAATTTCAGACTTTGTTGTTCTTTATCTTTTTTGTTTGTTTGGTTTATACAGAATTTATTTTAGTTTGATTGTGCAGGAAGCTATAGGCTTATAGACACACTTTCGAATCCATTCCTGGAACCAACCAGTACTGAGTAACGAGTGTAAAGTTTCTTGCTCAAGGAAACAACTTGCCCAGGACGAACACATGCGGCTAGCGATCATGAAATTACTAGTCGACGTGATAAACACTCGGCCATGCCACAGCATGTTTGGTTTAGACTGTACAAATTGTTCCCGTTTTTATTTAATTGCAATAATTATGTTGCAAATGTTGTTTTGTGTAAGAGATATTTTAAAATGTACAGTTAACTTGCAGGCAATTACATGTTCTTAATAATTCCAGCCTCTAGTACTCTGTTGAGCTGAGCCTTTGTAAATCAAATGATAATCAAATCTGTTGGTTTGAATCCTGACAGGGACTATGGATTTATTTCATTAAAGGAATCTTTCCAGCTATCTTACAAAACGTCGGTGATATTTGAGCAATAATGCACAGAAGTGAACTTCACCAGTCAAGTCGCCACATGACCTTTACTGAATTGTTGTGACATACCCCCCCCCCCCCCCCCCCCCCCAAAAAAAAATCTGATTATGTATTTACGTATTTACTGAGTCTACTAATAAACCAGTTGTTCAAAGTATGTATGTAATTATGTAACTACTACATTCTTAAGACACCTAGAAGTCATTCAGTTTTTGTCTCCATTATTACATTCAACATAAATATTTAGGACATTCCCTATTAGTCGGGTCAAAGACATTTTGTGGACACATCAAATGACCTTGTAGATGAAAAACAACTACAACAATACAAAATCTACCAATTTAATTTTTTTATCACATCTGAGAAAATGACCACAGGCAATTTAATAACAATTTTACTTGCATGCAAAATACATGATAAGATAAAAAGCAGATTTGACATACCTTCCATAAACAAAGGGGAATAACAACGATAAAATGGGAGAGAAAATTTCTGTACATGATAATTATAAATATATTATCTACAAATAACCTTTAGATAATTAAATTGTGTGCCTGTTTTCATCAAAGTTCAATAACCTTGTTAGATTATCTCTCAACTATAAAAGGAAGTGTGGAAGATCAACTGTAAAAGGAGAAAGGCGGTGTGGAACAAGTAGGACTTGGATGCAGGTCAATATTTATATACAGGCAAGTATTGTTGTACTTTACAACGCCTTTTGAAATTTCTGAATAATGTGCTACATTAAAGTTCTTGCATGACAAGAACGCCACCAGCGCCAAACAAGCTAGAAATCATAGCCAACTTTCTAACATTAATACATTAACAGCCATTGTTTATGCTATGTTCTATGCACATGTAAAAGAGCAGATTTGAATGTAATTCCCCATTTTTGACGACTGAAGAAATAACACTTGAATAGAAGTTGTATTATTTCCTGAATTGCAACAGCTTACTTTACTTACAATAACCCTTTCATATTTCAAACACTTTAGATCTGTTATAAACATGCTATAAATTACATGATTTATTTACTAAAACAAAGAAATATACATTTTTTTCACAGTACAAACAGTTATACAAGATTGTACAAGATTTCTTTGTGAAATTTCTTTTCCAATAAAATCACAAAAATAAGATAAATATTCAAATAAAAAAATACATTTTTAAATAGGTTTTGAAAACAAATAAGAAATGCCCATTTCTTCGTATATTACAGGTAAGCCAGAAAACAAATGCTTGTAATGGCAAGTTGGAAGTTTTTAACATAAACTTTACTATTCAACTTGCAATAATTATTTTAATGATAGCTAAGAAAACTGTGTGTTTGCTATATTAGTCACCAAAAAATAGGCATAAGCAAGCTTGTGTCTGTCAACAATAAGTGAGCATTTATAAAAAACAAGAGCTGTCGGTAGGACAGCATGCTCGACTATTCTAAGTGCTTGATAGTAAAAGAGCCTTGATAATGTTAAATTTTTTAAGTTCACAAAAGGGCTAATTTTTTTTTATAAATTCATGTTATAGGCCCTAGAGAGACTCTTATTATACAGTATTGGCTTGACTATTTGGAAGGTAATGTCACAAGGGTGTTTTATTTAGTGTAATAATACTAATTACCTATGAATACATAAATTTGACAGAAGAGGTACAAAGGCTTGTTATTAAGATGTTTTATCAAGTAAATCACTGCTTTATTATTATGAATGCATAAAATTGTCCCAAAAAAGGCACAAACCCTTCAGTAGTTATTGAGATAACAGCTTACAAGCAAAACTTTACCATGAATTTCTAAGTTGAAAAAGGGGAGAAAAATCAGCCTAAATGCAAGATAGAATTATGAATCTTTGTCAGTGACCTACAATTATGACCCTAAATGCATATGTGAAGTTTTAAATAAATACCTTTAATAGTTATTGAGATATGTAAAACTTGCATGTTAACATTAACCAAGAGACTAAGTAGAAAAAGGGGATATGAATCAGCCTTAATGCAAGATAGAGTTATGAAACTTGGTCAGTGACATACAATTATGACCCTCAAATTATGACCCTAAGTGCATGTGTAAAGTTTCAAGTAAATATCTTTGAAGACTTTTAAATTGTAACCAAAATTTCTAAGTTTCAAAGGGGCAAATAATTCTGCAAATATTGCAGGCAGAGTTATGCAATTTTGCAAACTGATGTACATTGTTACTATAAAAAAGTATTTTAAATTTCAATTGAATATCTCAAGCAATAATTGAGATATTTGACTTTACAAAAAACTTTAACCAAAATTTCTAAGTTAAAAAGGGGCATAATTCTGTCAATATTGTAGGCAGAGTTATCCAACTTGTCAATCTGATGAACCTTGTTACTATAAATAAGTATTGTAAGTTTCAATTGAATATCTCAAGCAATAATTGAGATATTTGACTTTACAAAAAACTTTAACCAAAATTTCTAAGTTAAAAAGGGGCATAATTCTGTCAATATTGTAGGCAGAGTTATCCAACTTGTCAATCTGATGAACCTTGTTACTATAAATAAGTATTGTAAGTTTCAATTGAATATCTCAAGCAATAATTGAGATATTTGACTTTACAAAAAACTTTAACCAAAATTTCTGAGTTAAAAAGGGGCATAATTCTGTCAATATTGTAGGCAGAGTTATCCAACTTGTCAATCTGATGTACCTTGTTACTATAAATAAGTATTGTAAGTTTCAATTGAATATCTCAAGTAATAATTGAGATATTTGACTTTACAAAAAACTTTAACCAACTCAGACGCCGACGCGGACTCCGGGGCGACTACAATAGCTCTCATATTCTTCGAATAGTTGAGCTAATAAACAAAAATTGTATGCCATTTAAGCTGCATGCCTCAAAGAGCAAAAATATTTCAAGAAAACCAACCTTGAGGAATGGTACTAAGATTTTAACAAAACTAATAAAAATGTTCACAATTCAAGAAATAATTTACACGTTATATGCAATAAATGACAGATATTGTAGTATTTATCATCACATTTCTACTTCATGACTAATGCAGTAAGAGCTATTTTTGCATATTTTGACCTCTTTTTTTGTGTGTAATTTACGTGGATTATAAGTGCTGATTGCAATGTGTAAATTACACTCTTTGTTCATCTTACAATATAATACTTTGAAATACATTTTCAAAATTTTCATTAAAATTAGCATGACTCTGGAGACCTGTTGCTATAAGAACTATTATACCTTTTTATCTTAATTAATACTAATACATGTATACAAGCTATAATGGTTTAAATTTAAATCTACAAACCATTATCAAGATTTACTTTTTGGAACATATTCTGTAGGTTGGGCCTCAAAATTCATTCACAAGTTATACATTTTAACACTTGGTTTAATAGTTTACATAACAAAACAGACATGTTCATATATTTATGAATTGATCAAATGTCAACCAAACAAGGCAAAATATTATGTTGATATGAATCTGTGAAGCAAACAAAAATTCAAATCATTTGTCATTGAAATCATTCCTTACAATATGTTTAAGCTTAACATTATCATTTTTTTTACATGCATTAAATAAATTTGAAATGAAATTAATACTCAAATTTTGTGTTGTTAATGATTAGATTTAAAAAAAAGAACAGCACAAACCTTGACAATATTAAGTGATAGGAAAGCATTCTATATATATTTATATACACCTCAGCCTCGCTATAACATTTGGTACAATAGGTTTTCTTCTTTATCACAAAAAAACAACTTATATAACAGAAAATTAAAATAACTTGTTTTACATAAATCTAGGTCACGTTTAAAAGAAAATGCTCAGTTTCAGATCTCATTAACACTAACAAGGTCGTCTTGGGATTTTCCAACGTGAATGGCAGAGGAAGACCTCCTGTGTCCCTCTATGTAACATTTCAAGCACAAAATGGAAATAACCAATTTTCTGTGAAACAGTCATTTTATACAGTCATTTTCTCTCCTTTTTATGATAAAATACACAACACTATTGAATGTCTTTTGTGACAGAGTTTTTTTGTATCTTTGCCATAATAAATGCGTATCAGACAATATTAGGGTCAGTTAAACAGTCACGTCTTTGTACAATATGCCAAGGAAATATACATTTTCTGTTGAGAAACGGTGACATAACTTTTTATATATACGTTTTTGCTTTGATGCCCTTAACTTAAATGGCTGCTTAAAAGTACCTTTTAAGTGACAGCATGATAAAGTGGTAAACATGTCAGACATGTAATTTAAGGATTCTGGGTCCCTGTCAGGGGGTAAGCCATTGTGTCTTTAAGCAAGAAACTTTACACTCATTGCTCAGTACTTGTTGGTTCCAGGAACAGATTAAAGAATATGTCTATAAGCTTAAAGCTTCCTACACAACCAAAGTAAAATAAATGCTATATAAACTTACAGAACCATTTTCAGAATTGAAATCCCTTATATCAACAAATGACTACTTCAAATTTAAAGTAAGCAAGTCAAAATACAAATTTAGCTGGCTAAAAAGCTAAAAATACAATTTATCAAATTTTAATATTCTACTTTCTTAAATCGTACAATTGCCATAACTTATTTGTAAAACCTATTTTATTTTCTAGCATTGCAAATTTGCAACAGAAAAAGAGCCAGAACTGCTCATCAAATAAATCAAGATGACAGAAATCATCCAGTTGAACATGAAGCTTTATCTGTTCTAAAACTACTCATTGCACAAACAAAAAAACAGAGAAAAATTCTTGCAACAGTTTACTGTCATGTCTCCTTGATTTTCTATTTTACAATATCATATGTAATACTTACAAAACAAGCTATTAAAAAAAGAGGAAAATATAACAGGGAACTCTGATCCTTATTTTTTACATTGTATACCTATCTATATGATTTACATATTAATGAACTGACTCCTAAAGAATATACACAATTTCATACCAACTGGCCAATCACAATACAAGCCGTTATACATCAGCCAATTACAACACCATCCCCTAGCCCCGCCCCCCCTTAATCAGGGGCGTTAAGTTTTAACCTTCAATTTCCCCCCATATTGCTAAGTATATACCTTGGTTTTGTTTGGGTACCAAATTCTGGCGACATTAAGTTGAGAATGCAGAGATGGGCCTTTATAATCTAAGTCAAAAACCCCTGTAATTATTTTCCAAGGTATAGTTTATACCGCATAGAGGACTGATGTTGCACCCGACTAGTGAATTATGCAAACTTTTCTTTCTCTTTCTCTAAAATAGCATTATTTCAATATAATTATATTATAAGCAGAGCAAAAATTCTCTTTGGCAATTTTTTTTCTACGCAAAGAAAAAATTCCAAAATCCTTAAATTTTCTCTATAATGTTCTTTTTTTACACATTTTTCGAAAGTTTAGCACAAGTAAGACCATATTTCTAGTCCTTCCATTTTTGAGGATCGAAGTTTATTTTCAGTACAGGAGAATACGTTTCTCAACCTGTTTTCGACAGATGGGACATTCTGCCATGCGATCTCCACACATCTGACATGTACCGTGACCACACAAAAATATCATGTTTTTCAGTCTATCCATACACACTGGACAACACGTCTGAAATAAAAATTTATATGTCATCATTATAAAACCTTTTTATACAATTTTAAACACTTTTCATCAACACTTACCGTACTAAGATTTGTATTATCAACTTGCTGTGCTTTATTTTTGTAACTGTATAAGTGTATGTGAGAGTTTTGATATTAAAATGCTAAAGTGAAGCAGACTACAGTAAAGCCTGGACAGATTGTGCAAGGCAATACACTGGTTGTATAGTCTTATCTCCACACCTGGCATTCAATGTGTCCACTAAATATAAACATATTTTACCTGTTCATTAAGACAAAGAAAAAAGCTTGGGCTTTAAAGAAAATCAATAACTATTAAGGTCATAGCATTCACTAGTATAGGGAGACCCTAGTTACTGGGGCATAAAACTAGGCGAAACAAAAACTTCCCAAAAGGCAGACAGATACTAGTAACGACAGCACTATATTATTATTGCCATCTCTGCCTTAAAAAATAAAATATTGACTGAACAATACTAATTGATAAATTTAACTACAAATATTGTCTCTGACCTGATCTTTAATATCTTGTAGTTGTTGTTGTAGTTTCTGTATGTCTTTTCCAACGTCCTTCGCTCCATTGTTCATTATACCAGCAGGTTGCGGAGCTGGTGGGGCTAGAAATTTAGAATATATAAATTATTTCATATAAAAGTAAATATTATTTGTTTGATTAAACAAAAACATTCCCCTGCTACAAGGTCCATTATTTTAAGATTACATAATACATAAAAAAATTTGGTATATTTTTTTTATTTCTAAATCGCAACCTTTCTTTATATAATTTTCAACTAGCTTTGATTACAGTGTTTTCTTTCTAACAAGGCTCCTTTAAGAAACAAAATTTCAGTACTACCACTGGATTCTATTCCAGTACTAACCTATTCACAAAACCGTCCTTGATTCTGTAAAAGTAGTAACTTATTTTTCCAAAATAAAAGCCAACTTCCCCATGAGATTCACTTGAAGCAGTAGTATGGAATAAATACATTGTAGTATTAAAATTTATTATCATTATTATCTTTTTTTTCCCATTCTTTTTTGTTTTTTGGTTGGGTTTTACTTTGCACCATAACAGTATTCATATAGGACATATGGTGACTTACCAGCTTTACTGGTTGAGGAAGATCTGAGATGCCCTTCCGGCACAACCAGGCACCTGACTTAAAAACCACTGACATTCCTGTAAGTTAGCTGAATAGCTTCCTAACATGAAAGAATTCAAAGACCCTGTTGGGATTCAAACCCACAGCAGTGAGGGGCAAGTGGTTTAAAGTCAACCTTGATTAAAATTTATTTCTGTCAATCAATTTGTGATAAATTTGAAATGTGTCCAAAAGTGGTACAAGTCAGGGGTACCAGTCATTTCCCATAACAAAAGAGTACAAGTCATTCCCAAAAACAGCAGGGTACCAGTCATTTCCAGACTGGTTCCATACAAGTACTTACGATTTCCTCCACAGCAGACAATGAATGGTACCAGCTTGTCTATTGATGCTCTACACTGTACACACTTCTTCATTAAACTTGCACAACCTGAAAATTAGTTCTTAATTAGTGTTGTTAAACATAATTCTTAACAGACACTTTAAAGACCCATCATGAACAAGTTTCCTTTGACATGTTTTTACTTCTCTATGCAGTAGCCATCTTAAAATTTCATTGCTATTTTTTTTACTTAGTATTTCTAGCTAAAATGGGATAATTGTATCTTGTCCTTTTTAATCAATAATACCAATAGGCATTTTAACAACTGTTAAATTGAATTATAGTTCTATTAATAGTGTATACATGTATATGTGTGTATGTAAATTTGACACTCTATCATGTTTATATTCAACTTACTGTTAATCAACAAATATAAAATGTAGGTTTCTTTTTGCTGTGAATTTACAGTGTAATAAGATCAACTTGTTATCAGTTTAAGCCAAAAATATCACATTTGATTATCTATATAGATGTAGTCTCAAGTATCATTTTGAATAGTAATAGATAGAATACATGAACATGGAGTTCATAAAGGCAAAAAAAAGGTAAAAGTGGGTCTTTATTGCTGAACTTTGTAAATTAAAATAACGATTAAAGTTTCAAAGACAAAAACCTTTTTTGACCGCAGTTAAATGATAAACTTTTGTTTAGAGCAACTTTTTTGTTGTATATACCAAATATTTGATAGAAAACAATTGCCATCAGCATATGATATATTGATATTAACTTGCAACAAAGTAGTTTCTCATGAGAAGATTTAGATACTTTTCTTCACATGAAAGAATTCGAAGTCCCTGGCGAGATTTCAAACCTAAAGCAGTGAGGGGGAAGCGGTTTAAAGTCAACAACCTTTACAACTTGACCACCAGATTTAAATACGCCTATGCAAAATAAATGACCACCATCAGCCTCATAACAAACAAAGGTATTGTCTTAGATGGTCTTTAAAGATATTACTCTTTGCCAAAGGAAAAAAAAAAGACAGACATTTGACAGAGATTTTGTCTGAAACAAGATTTATAAAGACAAGAAAGTCTGATAGAATCATTAGACAAGATGTAATTACCAGGAAATATTTAAATTGTCTTTGTCTGTCGATATATTAGCGTTTCTGAATCTCACACGCAGAGTATAAGATTTTTAAAATACATTACAATAAAAGTTTACCATCACGAATCTAAATAAACTAGAAATGTGTCAAAGAAAATGGATACACCCACATTCCAGTTTTTTGGGGTTTTTTTGTCATTCAACAGATAGACAGCTTGATAGTAAGATATGAACAAGGGCAAATCTATATGTCCTCCCCACCCCCCTCAACCGTCCAAGTAGTGGAAGTAGAAGAAATTGTTTGCTAAATCACATGACAAATACATTAAAGCAGCTTTCAGATTTTCTAAATTTGAATATGTTATATTTACATAAATCGTTTCATATAATTGTCAAATCAAAGTACATTGTATTGAGGTGCTAAATGAAATATATCATTGATAAAATACATAAACAATAAGGAAACCCCTTGATAAGTCTAACCTACCGATCCCCTCTCTGTATATTAATTAGATAAGCGGACAATTCATTTCCCAAAATATTCTTAAAAACAAATGTCACCAAGTTCTATAAATAGCGCTCAAGGCTGTTTTGAAGAAGGCTTAACAATGATATGATGCACTTTTTTTGGTAATTGTACTGAAATACTTAGTTTAAAACAGCACATAATTTAAAGAAAACAAAACAAAAAAACAAAAACTGATGGCCACTTTAATAATTATACATTCATACATAGCATCCTGATTCCTTGTTACAACAATAACTATGTTTGAGTAGTCTTGGCAATATCCTACAATCATGTTCTATCACTCTATGTTTCAATGTTGAAAAAAATCATGTAATTACAAACTTTAAAATTTGGTTATAAACCTGTATAAATCATATATTTGCATGACTGGAATTGTGGGTTAATAGTCATTATGTTATATCTCATGAACAGACTCAATCAAGCTGAGTCAGCAATTTTCACCTTTTTCATTATTTTCACCCATTGCTATCAAGTGATTTTACCTTCTCTGGAATTAATTTTTCAGACCTAAAAACATGTTGCACACTTAAAATTTGACTTTCAAACAAAACACAAAATACCTTACAAGTCTTGAATTCCGTTTTAAAGTAAAAGAATTCAAATGGCAAACCAAACTGAGCCACCTACTTACCATCACATGCACACATATGTGAACAGGGTTTGAAGAGAACTGACGCTTTCTTATCAGAGCACACCACACATTCTTCTATCTATAATATACAAATAACAACATCATAATAACATAGTGGCAATACAAATTTTGCAAGGGGGACTTCCATGAACAAGCAGTTAAGAATTGCTGACTTCCAATCACTTGACCCATGCTGCTATGGGTTTGAATCGCACCAGACTTTAGAAGCTGGATATTCTCACATAAAAGAATCTGTAGTCCCTTGAGGGGTTCAAACCTACAGTGTTAAGAGGCAAGTATTTGAAGTTGGTGACCTTAACCAAACAGCTACAGAGGCCTTAGCAGAGGAAGAATAATGCCATCTAATATATAGTGCTTTATGTAGACTGGAATTTAGTGCTTCCCCAAGTTCTCTTTCAAAATATAGAGGTGATTTCTTGTAATAAATATTGAGGATAATATAAACATTACAGTGTTGTTTCACTGAATTATCATAACCTACACTTACTGACATGACACCTCACAACTGTCACATTAAACAAGCATAGACAGTAGACTGAAAAATTTAAATTCCAGAAGTATTCCCTACACGTTAATTCTAAGAAAATGACATTGATTTCTCACCTTGGTTCGAGATTGCACATGCTCTTTACAGAGAAGGCATTTCTTTACCCTGGGTGAGCACAAGGAGCATGTTGCTATATGACCACATGGTCCAAATAATGTATCCCTCTTCAGATCGGAGCATACCATACACTCCTCGAGGGCTTCCTGGTCGTTACGAATAATGGCAACATTTGATGCTCCTCCCGGACTGAAATATGTAACAATATTAATATGATTAATTTTGAATGTGCCATAACAAAAGACTATGCCATCACCATGAAGTAAAGCCGACAGTTTGAGTTGTCTAACATTGCTCTATATCAAGCAACTAGAATATATTACATTTACAGTAAACTAGATTATCAACAGTTCATATTTTAAGACCTGGAAAGTCTAACACATACCTAAATACCTTATAAAAATGTTTATATACATGGGACATATTTAACATTCATTCAATATTTTATTACCAAGAACTAATCTTTTCTGCTCTTTACATGTGCAATTAATTTATCTGTGCTTCAAAGTTAGGGCAGTCCACTTCTCGCTCTTAATTTGCTGAATTTGCGTAATGGATTTACTTTGAATTTGGAACAGTCCATCAAAGTTTAAGTCATTTCAATATCAAATTACTAAAAAATATGCTACCCGCAGTAAAAAAACTTGATCAAACTGCACAGCCATTTAGGCTGGCCTGGCTATATACTGATGGCAATAGCTTATCACAGTTAAGAAATTTCAGCATTTAAATTCTGTACTAGTACATAACATCTACCAGTACAGAGTTTAACATAGATGTACTCTATACCATCTTAAGGATGAACACAAATCCTAAAACTTCAATCTCAAAGGCCTTGAATAAGACAGATTGCTTTTTGTCTATCATAAAACAGACAAATGAAAAATACAACAATACAATACATTTCTGATACCATAAAAATGAAACCATATAAGATAATATTAATATTTGACATAAACATAAATAACATGAGCAGTTTTATATCATAATAAGATAAAGTAGCTCTACAGACTGCTTCCAAAAATATAAATATACCACTTGTGTCATGCAAATTTGTATTTTATTAGGCTGGAAATATGCAAATCAATAATTCCCTTTTCAACAGATCATTTCAGTTCAACCCGAAACTATATGATGGCAGTGAAAATACTTCATTAGCTGTTCTCATTTTTGTCAATACAGGCAATTACCATAAGGGTCTTCATTTTTTGAATAATTTCAATCCAGAATTTTTACGTAAAAATTTGAAGATGAAAATTGAGGAAGATGTTATAGATTGGATAATATGTTAATACTGAGTTAATATGGGTTCTGTACCACAAATTTATTTCTGTTCTGATAAACAATCAACACAGTATTTTAAACAACAACAAAAAGCCTTTTAGTTTGATAAATCTTTTGTGACTGTTTTTCTTTTTTGTTTAGTTCAACCTCTCTCTAAATTGCACACGTTTAACCTCTCTTAAATAACCAAATGGAAACCACCCTTAAAAAACCTATGGGAACTAATCTGAAGGTTATTTTCAACAACAAAAAAGCCTTGTTTGATAAATCTTTTTTTTCATATGGTCTTTTTTTTCAACTTCTTTCTTAAATACCACAAGTATAACATCTCTTAAATAAACTAAGCATAACCACTCTCAAATAATCAAATAGTCACCACATTTTAGTCTTAAATAACTCATGGGCAACCTCTATTTCAAATAATCTAAGGGTAACCTCTCTTAAATAACCCAATAGTAACAACTCTTTATAACCAAAAGACAACCTTTCTTTAAAGGGATACTCAGACAAATTAATGACAAAATATGAAAATGATCTTATGTACTCAAATCACGCTAAAATGACATTTTTTTAAAGTCCCAGTATAAATGTCTGTATAAATTCTATATAATTATTTTGGGTTTAAACATTAATCTATCTACATGTATATATATCTCTCTCAAGTAGTTTTTAGTTACCTCTCCAAATTAATGCAAGAGTAACTTCAACAATAACCTGAAGGTAACATCTCTGAAATAAGCGAAGTATTACCTCTTTAAAACAGCACTAGGATAACTTCTTTCATTGAAAACCATTTTACAATAACATCCTTCCACTATGTGAAATAACAAAAACAAAAACATTTGTTTTCCATTAATGTTATCTACACACAACATGTACATAGATGAAGTACAAACCTCAATCTCTCTTTATGACATTTGGCAAGAGCTTTACATAGGTTAGGGTCAGGGCAAAGGTCAAGAGGGGTCTGTCCCTTCTTGTTTTTGATATTCAGATCAGCTCCATTGGCAGCGAGGAAACAGGCAATAGATGCACTCGACTTTTTATCTGCTCCTGGTGTACCAAGCCCCATCAATAGCTGAAAATATAATAAATAAGATTTAAAACCAAGGGCAGTAACTCTTGAATATGTTTACTTTAATTAAGAATAATGAACATTACTAATACTATACTGTTTTTCTCACAAAAAGTGGTCTACTATTTATGTACCAATATTCAATTTAATTTCAAGTTGTAAGGTAAACTATACACTGTAAATATCATATTGCCACTCTCTGAACTGGTGGAAAAGACTTCCAAGTACCTCTTAGTCAAGGGAAGTAACCTTGATGAAACAATCTGCTGTGAGTTATCTTTACTGGTGGAGGAAGACCTCAGGTGCCTCTCAGCATAATTTCAGACTCATGAGTAGAACAGTTGCTGCCTACTATATAAGCTAGTAACAAAGATAACTTGCATAGGATAATTCAAAAATCAACTTTTTAAATGTATGTCAATATCGATGAAAAGCTGCATTATTTTAAAACCCATTACATACCTTGCCCACATCCTGCATGTCCTGTAACTGACGTAGCTGGGACAGGGTGTGATGTCTCAAAGCCTCGTGTAGGGGCGTGTCCCCATCTTTATCTGGTACATTTAGGTTACATCCTTCTCTAACAAGCAACTGTTAAAATAACATAAAATACATTGCATAAAATGTGTAATGAAATGTCCATTTCAATGAATATGAACTATGTTTATTATCTTTTATTTTTAAATTTATTTATATATTTCAACTGTGAAGTGAAGTGGCCGCATGGCTGAGTAGTTATAATGCCATATTAGTAATCTAGGGATCACTTTCTGCTTAGGTTCAAACCCCATCAGGGGCAAGCCATACCCTTTTTTGAGCAAGAAACTTTACACTCATTGCTCAGAACTGGCTGGTTCCAGGAACAGATTAGATAATATATCAATCAGCTTTAAGCTTCCTATACAATTGACTATATAAATCAACTGTGAAGAATGATAGAAATCTGGAGGTAAGCTTGTTTTAGATAAAAAAAAAAATTATATTTTATTTATGTTAAGCACTGATAAGGCTACTAGCCGATACATCTGCAGTTATCATTATGTAACTATGTTACTTTTTTTATTTATTTTATCCATTTTAAAACTTTTATTTTGGTGGAATGATGCGAAAACAATATACAGACAAACATATAATTTTTTGTTGTCGCCAGTCCTAACCTTGGTATACGTTGAATGAACAATAAGATTCTCAAATATTCTGAGTCAGGAACTCTAGTCTAAACTAAGAGGAATTCCAATCACAGAATGACATTTTGTGAGGCTTCAGGAATCCTCATTAATGTTATTTATTGTGTTACAGCCTAGCAAAACATTTCCTAACAGTCTTTAAACATTAATACCCTTCAGAAACATGGGTTTGATTACTTTTGAAAAATTCAACAGTTACTGTTAGGTTTTCATTTTGTTTTAATGCATACCAACACTGATGAGGTCAAATTTATGATATTCAAGTTTTACTGGTGGAGGAAAACCTCTGATGACCCTCCATATAAAGTTAGCACATTTAGGTTGACATAGAATTTTTTTTTATATGCTTGCTTGTCATTATATCATACATCTTATGTCCTGGAGCCGTTGGCCCTAGAAGAGGTGAAGGCAAGTATACATTGATAATGATAATAAATAAGCCAGGATTTTTTGGTGGTCTTTCTTCCAATCTTCTTACTGACATTTTACCTTTTTATTTGCAGACTGCTAACCTAAGTATTTTTCTTTCTCAAATCTAAACCTCAACATGCGCAAACCTACATTTCCCCATCATCCCCCCCACCCCATGGAGCCATATAAAGTACTGACATATGATAGCATAGACGGGAATACCTTTTAGTCACAGAGAAAAAAACTAGACAAAGTATTAAGTATATACCCTGACAATCTGTGTATGCTGTCTCTCCACGGCTAGATGTAAGGCCGTCTGTAAGTTCACATTCTGAATATCAAGATTTGCTTTCCTCTGAAAATAACAAATAAACATAATCATTGCATTTCTATTTTTAATTACAAGGTAAAACAAAGCATGTAGCAACTTCAAACAATTGTAATTAAACCTAACAGTAGATTAATCTTCCTCGAAAATATAATCTCTCTATAATTGAAAAAGGTAACAACTGGTAAATCCACGACATGCAACATTTACACAGAACCTTGGTTTTTAAAGTCTCATTCAAAAGTAATTAATTTCAAAGGAAAGAAGTGAGGATCTCTAGATATATCTTAAGCCTATTCAAAAGCCTGTAATCAATTTCAGTGGAATGAAGTGGGGGATCTCTAGATATGTTTAAGTCTATTCAAAAGCCTGTAATTAATTTCAGTGAAATAAAGTGGGGGGTCTTTAGATATATTTAAAGTCTATTCAAAAGTCTGAAATCAATTTCAGTAGAAAGAAGTGGGGGATTTTTAGATATGTTTTAAGTCTATTTAAAAGTCTATAATCAATTTCAGTGGATTGTACTCAAGAGTTGAGCTTGTGATGTCAGTCAGTGTAACTCTTAAACCATTGTGCCACTAAGGTAGCTTGACCAGAGCTTACACTAGCTTGACCAGAGTTTATACTGTTGACTGCCTAATCTGAGCATTTTCACAATGAAATCTGATAAACAATGGACTGTCTCAAATTAAAAGAAAACAAGAAATGTGTCCATAGGTCATAGATGCCTCAACATTCCATTGTTTTGTCAGTCTGTATGACTGACATCTATATGTCGCCCTTAAACCACTAAGAGAGGGTATAAAATGGGCAAAACTGTATAAGCCCCTCCCCCAACCACTCCTTATGTGGATCATTATTTAAAAGCTTAGATACATTGCAAAAATTATATTTAACAATAATTCAACCTTCCAGTGAGAGGTCTTCACAAGTATGCCTCCTTTCATAATATGTCAGAAAAGCAGCCAATAAAGTTGATATTACATCTTCTTTATAGACAGAATAGAAGAAGAATCTATGGCATAATCGTTGTTTTATCAATACTTTTCAATTTCTTAAGATGAATCCATACAATATATTTGCACAAGTATCTGATTGATGGACGATCTTTAAAATAACAGCAATGAGAAAATTGGAATCATAGTTTGCGTTACAAGCACGCAGCTTGCTAACAGCATTACTGATCAATGCAAAACATGCCATAAAATTGTGACTTTAACATAGACTGATAACTCCATGTCACCATATAAAGGCCTCAAATAATGTATCATTACATGTATAGATAGTATCAAAAGAAAATACAAGTTCTTGATAACTTGCTTATCTGATGTCCATGCACATAAATTACTCTTCAAACCAAAATTAAAGTGACCAAGAGCTCAATTTCCTTACAAAAGAAATACAAACAATGGACTGTCTAAATCAACTAAAGCCAAAACAAACAAATCAAAATACAAACAATGGACTGTCTAAATCAACTAAAGCCAAAACAAACAAATCAAAATACAAACAATGGACTGTCTAAATCAACTAAAGCCAAGGCAAACGAATTAACAGTCAATATAACAAGTTATAACAAAAATCTTTAATGGGAATCAGTCATAACTGAAAAGGATTTGTAAACAAACCCCTATCTTATCATTCTCCTCTATATATCTAAATATCTGGGGAAAAAAAGTGATCCCTTGGAAGCATTTAAAGCAACATAATTACATGAAAATTGCAGACTCGGTTTCATTAAGTCTGTACATGAATGATAATGAAAAAGTTTAACATCCCTCATGCCCCCTAGCACCAGTTTGAGCGATACTCAATCTGCAACACTTTTTAATATGCTGGGAAGGACAAGAAAAATATTACAACAAGCCTATTTAATACAGTTATAGTTCATAACATGTTAAGAACCTTTAACTATTTGAGTGCCAGCTGTATACAAAAGCTGCCTTTGCTGCATAGAATAACTGGATTCTAGAATATTTAATGACCACTCAAAATTTTAGGATATTGATAACCCTTGACCTAGCAATGTACATACTCGAAATCAAGCTAGGACAAGTCAGTTATATCATAAAATATGTCTCATGGGTTATATAATATAGCTGTTTATAGTACTGCACATTTGTAACATTTGTAAATTTTATATACACAATTGCTGTGAATTTATGAAGAGATCTCATTTTTTCTCATGAAAATGGAGTTTGGTGTATTATAAATGTGTTATAAAGATTCCTGACAAGTTATATGGTCGTATATAAATGATTATTTACAATATTACCCGGGCCGCTACGCTAGGCAACTCAAACTGGGTTGAGAGGCAGACACCTGAACCAATAAACCACTGCTCCTTTTGGAGATCTGTTACAAATGAATGGTGCATAACAAGAAACAAAATTGCCCGGACAACTTCAAGCAAAGATACACATCTTGGTCTGGTCCCATATTGTTGCAAAGGTCAATAAAGACCTACAAATCTACATAACACAGCCTTATAACAATTCAGACCAAGATTTAACGATGACAGTATCATTGACAAAAAGTTGGGAAAACAATGTAACAAAAATCAAACAACAATCCATCCATCCCATAAAATGGACAGACATCATATAACAAAAGGAGTGGTAAAATTGGAATAATGACGATCCATCTCACAGACCACAGACTAATATTTCTCTTGGTTTTTTTAAACTGTTTGTTTAATCCAACCCACTTTCTAATTTCATGACGAATTAGTTCATTTTTTGGAAATAATTTATTACCATTTTCACTGTTGATGTTTTATTTTCTTAGAAATCAAAGAGATTTGACAAACAAGTTTTCAATTTTATTTATTAAAGCCATATTATAGAATTTAGGATAGTCTATGAATGACAGACTTGTGAGACCATGACCTTTAAAGTGCAGACAAGAGCTTGTTTGTCTATTATCTTTTCTATTACACAAGAGCGATCAGTAATCACACATGTCGCCTCATGACGGCCAATTTCATGTTGGGACAAATTTTGTGACAGACGGACAGACAGACGGACAGTGCACAACTAGAATTGTTACTGATCATTCCTGTAAAGTTTGGATAAAATTGCACCAGTAGTTTATGAGGAGTAGCTTTTGTGTTCATGGCAACACACAGAAAAAAAACATCTTTTTATCAAAGGGCCATAACTCGGCCAAAAATCATTCAACCAGAAAACCCGTGCAATATGCACAAGGACTTGAGCTACAGATCAATCCAGTAAAGTTTCACTGAAATTGCATTAGTGGTATAAGAGAAGTAGTCCGGACAAACTTTAAAAATAAAAATTATTAAAGGGCCATAACTCTGACAACAAGAACCGGTTGAACCGGGTGATGCTCCCCGAGAAGGTTCTGGACACAGGAAAGTATAAAAAAAATGAACAAAGGGCAAAAACTCCAAAATTAGGCAAAGCGGAGTTATGTTTTTTTGCACTGCACTTCTATTCAATGAGATCTATCTATCTATAAAGTTTCCTGATGATATCAGAATTATGTCCCAGGTAAAAGTCAAAGTGTAAAAATGAACAAAGGGCAATAACTCCAAAATTAGACCAGGCTTTGTTTAGGTTCTTTAAGCATTGCAATTCTATCCAATTATATCTAGCTACCTACAAAGTTTCATGTTGATATCTCTAATAGTTTTAAAGTATTGTCCAGGACAAAGTCAAAAAGTAAAAATAAACAAAGGGCAATTACTTCAAAATAAGGCAAGGCAGAGTTACGGTTCTTGTGCACTGCACTTCCACCCAATGAGACCTATCTATCTACAAAGTTTCATGTTGATATCTCTTATAATTTTAGAGTAATGTCCCAGACAAAGTCAAAGTGTTAAAATGAACAAAGGGCAATAACTCCAAAAGTAGGCAAGGCAGAGTTACCGTTCTTGTGCACTGCACACCTACTCAATGAGATCTATCTACCTACAAAGTTTCATGTTGATACCTCTTATACTTTTAGAGTTATGTCCCGGACAAAGATCAAAGTGTAAAATAAACAAAGGGGGATAATTCAAAAATAAGACAAGGCAGAGTTACCGTTCTTGTGCACTGCACACCTACTCACTGAGATCTATCTACCTACAAAGTTTCATGTTGATACCTCTTATACTTTTAGAGTTATGTCCCGGACAAATTTCAAAGTGTAAAATAAACAAAGGGGGGTAATTCAAAAATTAGGCAAGGCAGAGTTACGGTTCTTGTGCACTGCACACCTTCTCAATGAGATCTATCTACCTACAAAGTTTCATGTTGATACCTCTTATACTTTTAGAGTTATGTCCCGGACAAAGTTCAAAGTGTAAAAATAAACAAAGGGGAATAATTCAAAAATTAGGCAAGGCAGAGTTACGGTTCTTGTGCACTGCACACCTACTCAATGAGATCTATCTACCTACAAAGTTTCATGTTGATACCTCTTGTTGTTTCAAAGTTATGTCCCGGACAAGAAAAGGGGACGGACGGACGGACGGACGGAAAGACGGACGGACGGACGGACGGACAAGGCGGCGACTATATGCTCCCCCGAAATTTTTTCGGGGAGCATAAAAATCATTGAACCGGAAAATGCTGACAATATGCACAACTAGACTTGGTACTGATCATTCCTGTAAAGTTTGGATAATTTTTTTTTTTTTTTTAATGCGTTTATTTAAGGTCGCCGCCGGAAAGCCCATATGGGCGACCGTACACTCAAGTCGGGCCATCCTAGAGCGTCCCGCCGAGATTTTTCGTCGATTTTTTTTCCAGCTTTATTGATGGAGGAAGACCCCAGGTGCCCCTCCGGGCATTATTTCAGGCACGAGCGGGCACCTGGGTAGAACCACCGACCTTCCGTAAGCCAGCTGGATGGCTTCCTCACATGAAAGAATCCGACCCGAGTGAGGATCGAACCTACAGTGGTGAGGGACCTGTGATCTCAAGTCAGCGACTTTAACCACTCGGCCACGGAGGCCCCTGAAAGTTTGGATAAAATTGCACCAGTAGTTTATGAGGAGTAGTCCGGACAAGCTTTTGTGTATCTGGCAACACACAGAAAAAAACACCTTTTTATCAAAGGGCCATAACTCGACCAAAAATCATTCAACTGGAAAACCTGTGCAAAATGCGCAAGGACTTGAGCTACAGATCAATCCTGTACAGTTTCATTGAAATTGCATTAGTGGTATAAGAGAAGTAGTCCGGACAAACTTTAAAATTAAAAATTATTAAAGGGCCATAACTCTGACAAAAATCATTGAACCGGAAAATGCTGACAATATGCACAACTAGACTTGGTACTGATCATTCCTGTAAAGTTTGGATGAAATTGCATCAGTAGTTTATGAGGAGTAGTCCAGACAAGTTTTGTGACGGACGGACGGACAGACAGACGAAGGAGAAGTGATCCCTATATGTCGCCACTACTCCCGTAACTCCGTAGAGGCGACACAAACACTGTGTTTGTAATTTACTGTACCCCATAAAAGATTAAATTTCTGCAATGCTTGGATTCACATCTACATAATCCTGTTTTTAGATAACAGTTTTATAAAATTTATATACAAGTATGCACATTTCTTATGCACAAAATGTACTTTAATACAGATATTTATACGTACAATATTAAAAAAGAAAAATCTAAGAAAACATCATCCTTTATGCTAAATGGTATTTTATGAGGCTGTTGTTATGTACATTGTTATCTAAAATTCAATACATGTGTAATAATACTTCAATTCAAATGTACGATGACATTTAAAATATACAATATTATGTCATTCCAAATGCACGATGACATTCAAAATGTACAATTTCATTGAAATGAACAAAAGACATTCCAAATGCACAATGCCATTTCAAAAGGTACAATGCCATTCCAAATGTACAATGACATTCCAAATGCACAATGCCATCCCAAATGTACAATGACATTCCAAAGGCACAATGCCTTCCCAAATGTACAATGACATTTCAAAGGCACAATGCCTTCCCAAATGTACAATGACATTTCAAAGGCACAATTTCATTGAAATGTACAATGACATTTGGAAGGCACAATGCCATTTCAAAAGGTACAATGCCATTCCAAATGTACAATGACATTTGGAAGGCACAATGCCATTTCAAATGTACAATGCCATTTCAAAGGCACAATGACATTTCAAATGTACAATGACATCCCAAATGTACAATGCCATCCCAAATGTACAATGCCATTTCAAATGTACAATGACATTCCAAAGGCACAATGCCATCCCAAATGTACAATGCCATTCCAAAGGCACAATGCCATTTCAAATGTACAATGATATTCTAAATGCACAATGTCATTCAAATGACATTCCAAATGTTCATTGACCCTCAAAATGTACAATGACATTTCCAAATGTACAATGACATTCAAATCAAATGTCAATACTACTTACATCAGATCCAGTTCCATGCACAAGTAGCTCTGCTACCTCAACATGGTTGTTCAATGCTGCAAGATGGAGTGCCGTGTAGCCGTCATCTTTTTTCTCGTCAATGACCCATTGACGCGGAACTTTTGACAATAGAATTCTCATAGCACTGAAAATATAAACATAATGAATGTTAATCATAATAACTGAGATTCTGAGTTACATTTTGTCACCTTAGTGCAGTAATGGGTTAAGTCTATCTAAATCTAATAGGAGTTAACCTGTTATTGCACTAAGGTGATGATTTATGTACCATAACTTATTCTTGATCAGTTTTATAGCATAAATTTATTTTTTAATTATATATATTCACAATGTAACACAAGAAGATCAAAAATCTTTTTTTTTTCAATAAGCTATAACTTTCCCAGTGCAAATTCCAATATATTTATCATGCAACTAAAGTTGATAACAAATGAGATGTAAAAAAAATTGATGATGTTCAAGATGATGCTGATGATGAATTCATGATGTTCATGGTGATAATGGTGATGATGTTCTTGTTGGTGATGATGCTCATGATGATGACAATGATGGCCATTATAATGGTATTGATGAATATAAGCAATGTTGATAGTACTGATGACATCACAATGTTTATATATACATATTTTACACATTCCTTGACCAAACTGGTTTCCCCATTTCTCTTTTTTTCCTTGTTTTAATATTAATTAAATATTAAGCAAATCATTTCAACTGTTCAAACAAATTATATACTATTCAAACCAATAATGTATATTGGAAACCAGTGGAAAAACCAACATATTCTAACAGACACTTCAAAATTCAGTAAATTTGAAAACCAAATCCATATCACTGCACACAAAATCTTAGAAATCGAAGGAAAAGAGGAAAAAAATTGTTGAGTCGATAAATCACAGTAATCTAGATTTAAGACAAAACCTATTTTATCTAGACAATAAAACATCAAACATAAAAAACTTGGATTTTCGCCATTTTCCAGACCAATATAAGACAATTACAGGCATCATCATAGACTAAACATTGACATACAGTATTAAAACTCATTACATCTTTATAACAGACATAATATGTGTAAAAACATAATGTCTCACTGATTCTCCATTTATCAAATATGTCTTGTTTTCCTATTTCATTTCAAGGTCCAGATCATTTACTTCTAAACATATGAACTCTATGCATTTAAGTTTGATATATCATGTTATATTACAGGGTTTCAGAAAACTGGTAAAAAAATTTGCTGAGAATATTGTTCTCTACATTCATATTATTAGGAAAGTCAGACACCACAAGAACAAGAAGATTTTTGTTTACGGTTGGTTTTACAGTGCACCAACACAGTTCAGATCATACGCCACAGGAACAGGAAAGATGATTTTGGCCAACCTGGGGTGTTACAAACTTAAAGAAACACTTATAAAGGGTCAAAAACAAGAATGAAGTGCCGAGCAACTCTCATTATAAATGTGTCAATGCTGGGTAATATGATTGTATAATATTATACAAGTTTAGGAGAATGGGAACCTCCTTTTCAAACTAAACAGCTTTAGAAATTGAAGGTATCTGTGGCCAAGTGGCATTTAACCGCTTTTATCTCAAATCGTAGAGCTTGTTGCACTCAATATTGATTTTCAATCTAATTTTTTTTTATTATCTGTTTTATATTTTGCTATTTAAAGTGCCACAAATTTTAATATACAAAATTTTCAAAAAAATCAGGTTCTTATGTTTCTGGACCTCAGCTGAGTTCCTTTAATGTTCATGTATTTTTTAAAATTCTTGCAGCTCAAATCAATTTCCATGTCTCTTGTAACCGAAAACATTAGACAAATCATTCCCCTCTCAAAGGATGACCTTAAACATTAAGCCAGGCCTGAAAAAAAGCTAAAGTTACTGGCAAAAAAACTCTCTCCTGTTACATGATAATGAATCTAATTAAGTAATTCACATGTCTGCTCTCCCCAGCTGAGAGTTCTGTGTTCTTAAAAGCTGACAAACCTGTAATTAAACATTTCCCCTGGCGTACAAAATAAGTTCTGTTTGTTTTATAAGGAAGTGAATGAAATTTGGCCTGCACATCATGGTGTGATAGAAGTAAATCAAGAATAAAGAAGTCAGGGACATTTTGCACAATTGTACAAAGTAAAAAGAGGTAATGGAAGAAGATTTAAGTATATTTTTCCCTTTTCAATTAACTACTTTCAGACGAAGCGTTTACGTAACAAAATATTGTTTTCAGCAAAATGCTAAAAGATCATCTACAAAATGAATTCTCACAGTTCATGAATTATTCAGGATTTGTCACTGATACATTAACCCTGAACATGCTGAATATTTTAAATGAACTTGTCCCACTTTCATTTTTGGGACTATCCATTATCAATTTTAGGGATATCAATTTGATATTTAAAGTTTGTCAGCTAACAGTATAGAGCCTGGTCAGACTGCACTGAGACTGGCTCTAGACTATACTGGTTAGAAAGGCTTAACGCTTTCAGTTCCAGAACTTTAAGGGTTAATCAAAATTCTGGCAATACTCATTAATTGCTTAATGAGACAAATGTTTGAACAGCTCTTTAAAATATAATTTATTTTTTTATCATCATCAAAATTAATATTTCTAATCATTACTTGTAATGGAAACAATATGAAGGTTTCAGAGACAAAATGATGGGTTACTATGGCAATCTAAGATGTAACAAGACAATCAGAGGGGTTTAAAGACCTATCTAAATGAGGTAACGACAGAGGACAATATGAAGTATTTATAGAGCTACCAGAAAAGGTAACAGAGGACACTTACCTAAGGGACAAAAAGGGTTAACTTAAGAGATAAATTGCATTAAAGGGGCTATCTTAGAGGTAACTGGGCTGTTGGAGGTTTACCAATGAACTATATGTGGGGCTACTTAGGCTACTAAATGGGTTACATGGTCTTGTTGAGGGGCTTCTGTCAATCATGCTTAGATTATTATAAAAAAAGAAAAGAGAAGAAATATGCATCATGCGATGATCACTCATAAAGTATGTAAAGTGTACCGGCATGGACATGTGGTTAATGTGTCAGACTAGAAATCTAATAATCTCTAGCTGTGTGGGTTTAAACCCTGTAAAGGATAATCCATTGTTTCTTGGAGCAAGAAACTTTCAACTCATTTCTCAGGTGGGTTCCAGGAACCGATTTAAGTGTACTTATAAGCTTCCTGCACAATCAAATTAAAATAACTTCTGTATAAACTATGGTAATGATACATCAACATACAAAAAGGCAGCAGACAGCATCTTGTTGAAATAAATGGTTTAAATCAATTGCATCCCAACTGTAGTTTTGAGATAAGAAAATCCTTATTCCCTTCTGAATATTAGTATCCTACTATAGAGTTATCTATCCTAATCATTTTAGCAGCCACTATATAATTGGTATTACTTTTTACTGATAAAGCTTGTTCAGATATTCTCTTTCTCTACCTAACATTTCCCCACTAAATGATGAATGTTCTTGTCATATTTTGATAGAAATGGCTACATTTTCCTATAGTTCTATTATTGTCAAATGATAAATCAGGCCCTCATTGCCCAGACACTTAATAACATATGATTATTTTTAAAATGAAATATTGCCAACTCGCAAAAAAAATTCCTGACACTGGACAACTTTACTATCCTTAAAAACCACTTATGTTTTCTTCAAATTTTGGAGAGAATATTCTGCCATTACTTATAATTATATCAAGTATGAAGTATATTTCATTTCAGACAAAAAAAGAGGACAGATATTTTTTGTCATAAATTGTGTCACAGTCTGTAATTTTCTTCTAGACTTTAGTAACAATCAGATCATGTCACATCAAGTTGGATCAGAATTTACAGAACAAGTAGTAATCAGATCTCCACCAATAATTGGCAACTTCATTACATGAATCATGGGTGAAGCAGAACATTCAGGACACAAAATGCTTTGATCTTCATAGCAGTTTGATGTTCATCAATATCCTACAATACAAAATTTATAAGAAAGTGGTCAAAAATATCCAATTTCTGCATCAATGATCTTAACCTTGAAAACTTTAGCCAAAGTTGGAGGACCACCCAAGGTATGTTCCAATTAAATATGAAAAACATCTATCCATAAATGAAGCCTGTATGAGCAAAAGTGTAAAAATCTATTTATAGCATTGGTGACCTTGCCCCAAGTAACCCCGTACTTCACCCAGTTTAAAAGTGCATAAGGTATGTACCCACCAAATAACTGAAAGGCATCAGTCAATTAATGAAGGCTGTATGAGCAAAAATGAAAAAAAAAACTCTTTGAGCCCATGTGACCTTGACCCAAGTGACCCCAAACCCCTCACAAAGTTAAAGGACATACCAAAAGTATTTACCTACCAATAAAGAGAAGCTTGAGGAAAGTGTGGCAGATTGTGCAACAGAAAGTACAGAACTACAGACGGATGAAGCATCATTTCTGGGGGAGCATAAAACCCTCTGTATAACAATGAGGCGAAATAAAGACATGCTCTGTACAGTTTCCCATAATTTGCATGCAAAAAAAACACGCACACAAAAATTTAATACAAATTCCACACACCAGTCTGACGTAAAAGATAATTTGCTGAAGACAATAAAAAGCCAGTTTTAAGTATTTGTAAACATAGTAAATGTGAGAAATAAACTACCTTCTTAAAACTTGTTTTACAACATGTGAAATTTGTCTGATAAAATCATGTAGGTTAAAGTTCGGAAGTGTTTTAAATTCAATCCTCAAGTAGACTTTTTCTATGGGAAACACAGTTTAAGATGTTATTTTTCTTTTTTGCTCAAGAACTTCTTCAGAACTAAAAGAATGATGGATTTGTGAAGAATTGTACCTAATTTGTAAGGGCGTCCATTTATTTGTTTGTTTGTTTTATTGGGTTTTATGTCACACCGACACAGTATAGGTCATAAGGAAGCCCTCAGATGCCCTTCCATGCTTTATTTTAGGCACAAACAGGCACCTTAGTAGAACCACAGCTGGATAACTTCCTCACATGTAAGAATCCAAAGTCCCTGTCACGATATGAACCCACACGAGGAGGGGCTTCATCCATTTAATTTCTTCAAAAATTACTATGACCGGCATGCGACCAAT